TCAATACAAGGACCGAATCATGACCGGCGCTTATTAGTTGGCAAGAAGTAGAGGAATTTCAATTTTTTTTTGTTTATTTTTGGTTCCTTCTCTTCGCTTTTCTTGATCAATTTGGTTGTAATTGTAAAGGGGTTAAAAGACTAATATTATACTCGTGTGCATCATAAATGCATGTGGTTGATATTGGTTGGTGGCGTTTCTTCTGTTGGTTTTCACGAGTTCAACTAAATTCTTTTTTTTTTTTGTCCAGCTTCTTCCCTCCTCTGGATCCACAAATCGATGAGCATTATTGTTTTTTCAAGTCAAAATGTTTCAGTTTTCAAACAATAAAAATGGGCATTAATTTGTTGATCACTTGGCTCGATTTGAAATCAAAATCTATATGAAACAGGTAAAACGTCTTATTATTAGGGATTGTATATATGTAACTCATCGTTAATTTTACGTTTGAAATTTGAGAATGATTAGTTACAACGTTTTTTTTTTTTTTAGAAAAAATATAATTTCATTAATTTGTTGAAAATCGTCCAACTGCGTTTGACATTACAAAAAAATAGTTTAAAACGTAATTCACAACTTTTATTACATCTTCTATTACAATCACACTGTTGTGTTTGATAAATCTATACAGATTTATCCTAGTTAACGCTGGACATATCACGTATCGGATTTTAGACCCGGTTAAGGATATATCACCAATTATCATATGAAAGTCTCAATTTATAAATATAATAAATAGATTTATATTGACTTAATCTTCTCGAACGATACACAGCAAACCCGTCAGTATCACCAACAAAGTCACGGACCTTACCATCAACAAACAAATCCTACTCTCAACCAGTATATTGCGACCAATCCATCGGAGGAACTATAACGAAAAGAACTCTACCCTCTCAATAAATTATAATTTATTGAAGGAATAAAATTTCAATAAAAAAGAAGGAAAGAACTTCGTTTATTAAACGATAAAACTAAAATTGTGCTTATAAAATTAAAATAAAATTATTTCTCCAATCCTGTCATGGTGAGAAGATGGGGGAAGATTGATTAGTTACAACGTTATGTGTACTTTAGAACATGTTAAAGATCTCAAAAGATTGAAGCGAAAGAATCGAACTGACAAGTTGAGCGGAATGAATATATGCTTCAATCAAAACCCTCAGCCAATTGATGATCCAAAATCATTTTCACAACCAAACGCATATTTATAAAGCACTACTTTAAAGAATCGTGTGACCATTTTCAAAATGAGTTCCTATATTCTGGAAAACAAAAAAAAGTAAGCTTGGATTCTAATGCATTACGTTGTTATCTTTGTTGCCACACAGAAACAAGTTATTAGGACAGACAGAATTAGAAAACAAATTGAAATTGAATTAGCAGGAAACGTACAGGCATACACGATATCCATACATTTGTCTTTTTTTCTTTTTTCTTTTTCTAAAAAGTATCTGTATATTAAATCAAGTATGTATACTATTACAATATATTTTAGCATATGCGAGATTGTGTATATCACTAATATCATTTCTACTGACTTTTGTCGATAAACTGCAAGTCTATGTTTTAATTTAACAAATTAAATATACGATGTTTTTCATTTTAGGACGAAGTAAATATTAAAATTATTCGCATCGTTTGAAATAAATTAGATGACTCAAAAGTTTGCGTTGACAATAAATCCACAGAAAAAAAACTAGTGGGATTGGAAGTTGTAATGGTAAATCATAATCATACTCCCTTTGTAGTATAAATTTTAACTCAACGTGGATCATTATTTTAAATTTTTAATCTGATGATTTCTTTTTAAAGGTGTAAAGGGTGTACTTCGTTTTTTACATAAAGAGAGTGATTGCATCAGACACTTTACGATAAGTGATTAATCTATTAGGTTTACAATACACAATTAGTTGTCCTTTCAATGATTTAATTTTTCTTTAAGAAAAGAGCAAACTTTGCAGTTGCTAATTGTATTAATTTAGGCAATTTATCGCTTTTTGTGGATTCGATACTGTCTTATTGTATGAAAAAGCAACTTCATTTTTTTTAATTAAAAAAAGCATGCAAAAAGAAAGTTAAAAACTTGTCAATGACGCCAGCCAACTACATAATGGAATTATTTATACGTGTTTGAATTATTAATATATCAATTCTGGACCAAGTTGGGAAATTAGTCATGCAACATCCACAACAATACTATCTCAGTTCAAAATATATATATATATATAAATAATGTGAACTATTTTTTGCCAAAAAAGGGACAAATAAAACGAGGATCAAGTACATTTAAATAATCGATTTTTATTTTTTTCGAATAGGCATGTAAATGACCGTGATATTGTCAAAGTAAATTGATATCCTCAGAATTATACTCATTTTGGCCTTTAATAAAGCATGATTTTGAGTTAAATTTAGTATAAAATTATATTATATTATAAAAATAAAATAGAACTAGAAGAAACTAATGCCTTGTAAATAAATCATGTAAAAAAAAAAAAAAAAGGTCATGTAAAAGTATTACACAAGGTTTCGTCATGAGACCTTACCAATAAGGTCCATAAGTCATTCTCACATACCTTTCAAACGATTGACAAAGTTCAAATAAAATAGTAGCACAAAAGAAAAAGAAAGTGCAAATTTGAAAGGTCTAAACGAGAGACACATAAGAATGAATTTTCAAAGCAATAAAGAAATGGGTTGATTAATGGCTTTTAAGCTTTGATCAGTCGCCAGAGAGTTGAAGTAATCACGCTGACGTGGCTTCATCCCTTTTTGGCGTTTTCCACATTCTATACCCCAAGCCTGAAACTTGGCGTCATTCAGCCGTATGCCACTGCAAAGATTTCTTTCTTTTCTTTTCTTTATTATTATTATTTTTTTTAAAGTTTGTTTTTTAATGGAAAAAAAAAAATCCTAAGGAGTAAGGAATATGAAGGAAGTATAATTGAAAATTGAAAGTTCATTAATAAATATAGACAGAAAAAAAATAAAGAAATTAAAATTTCATCACAATCTTTTCTAATAATTTAAAGCAGTTGTAGTTATTTACAAAGTTTATCGTATCAAAAAATAGTAATAAAACTTTAAAGTATGTATGCATACTTTTTCTCATTCACACCAAATTAATAAATAATCTATCCATTTCAAAATAATGATACTTGCGAATGAGGAGTTAGTTCAGTGATAAAACCACCCTTGCTCCAAGAGCAGGTCATAAGTTCAATCTTCCACTCCAACAAAAAGTGAGGGGCTGGCTCTCACCTTGCCTATTAGCACCTCTAGGGACTTATTATGGCTAATCCACTAATGAACCTTTGATTTCGCATCTGAATTTGTCATATCCCCCATTATGATTTGCAGGCTATTGCAGTGGGCGTGATTTATCCCCCACTGTGATTTGCAGGCTATTACAGTGGCGATGAGTTTACCCATCTCATGTGAGGTTCTCGGCGTTACAAAAAAAAAAGAAAATAATAATGATAATGATACTTTCTATATTAAAAAAAAATAGTAATGTTGTATTTTGAAATTAGTATTTTTTATTATAAATGTGAAAATTCAATGCAGATTATTTTTAAAGTACGCATACATAATTAATAATTTTGTTGGGTTCAAAAAAGGTATTTTTAGTGTGTTATTTTAATTCGATAAATCAGGCTCTTATTATAGGCATGGAAATTATTGGTCACCGTCGATGAAATTGAAAGGACCCGCCCATAAGGAATATCCTTTTGGTACCAAGTGATAGTATCATTGCGAGGGGGGATCAATAGTAGTACATCCATAATTTCGTTGATTACGGTTACTTAATTATGTTTATCTTCTTTCCCAAAATTACTGCGCTGACAAATGTACCTCATTTTTACCGTTTTGGGCACATTAACCTCTCAGTCATACGAGACAGAGTGTTTAATTGCCCAAATAATTTACCATCTCAATTATCCTAGAATATAGGACCGCTACTGAATTTTTAAATTTAGACGATTAAATCTTATCATTAATTAGATGGATTTTCAGTCATAATCCTACTCTTTCTAGATTGTAATTAATGTTAATATGAAAAAAGTTGTCAAAGTATAAAATCTTGTTCATTTATGATCAACATTATCTTACAAACTTTTTATAGAGTAACGAATGGTTAAAAATGATTATAAATATAGTGATTTTAGACACTAAGTTTGTAATATTAAAAAAAATGTGTTTAAATTTTATATCTGTATGTAATCTGTATTCCATATTCAAATATGTAGTTAAATGACACATAATTCATGAGTCATTATTGTTGTTTTAACTTTTAAAAGTCAACTCTTAAATCTTATTAAAAAAAAAAGCTGGAGCTCATGGTTATTTAATTTAAAAAAAGGGAAAAAAGAAATACACAAGATTAATGCTTATAAATTACCGCTTCCTATATAATTGTTGAGATCCTATCAAATTTGAGATTTCACTTTTAGTACAATATAAACTATAAATCAAAACACAAACTGGACAATAATTATGGGACGGAGGGAGTATTTAATACTCTTTTGGGAGTAAAAAGGAAAAATACATATCTAATTTGTAAGAAAATTATGACACCCGGTATTTTTATTTTTACTTAGCGTGACAAGATGATAATATTAAAATCATTGGATGGATAAAGAATCAGATCATTAATGATATTGGAGCGATTTTTGGAATTATTACTATTACATACTCGACATTTACCTTAAAACTTAATGACATTTACATACTTAGAGAAAATTTATCAGTCTAAATTTTAAAGTAAAATGTTGCCCTTCTTTCAACATAGAGAGTGTGATCCATTTAGATAACCAAATGTAACTTGCAAAACAAAAAAGAAGCAGAAAATTAGAAGGAAAAAAATAAAAATAAAAAAATCCAAGCCAAGAAGAAGCTTCCTCCCTTTGGCCACGTCAGTAATTTCTTTTGACAAAAATAATCCACGTCATCAGGTAGTGCCCCACTGGTACGGACAGATCAGCATACCTGATTCCCCCAAAGCTCCCAAAAATCTCATATAAATCCTCGCAAAAGCCTCTCAGACTCAAAAACCCTCTCGTTTTCATCTCTCAATTTTTGGCTGCAAATCTTCCAAAAAATATAATTTATTTTTTTAAAAATACTATTTTCCTTTTTTTTTTCCCCTTTAATTTACCCTGAAAATATATTCTTGTATAGTGTTCTTCCCCTAAACATAGGCAGACAGTACGTATGTTTTTGGGTTTAGTATTACCGATTCAGATAGAATTTTCCAAAAAATTTGAATCTTTTTTCGTTTCTACTAACCGAGAGTCCTACCTATAAGGGAGCGGGAGCAGGAATTTGAGGGGGTTGCGGGAAAAAGAAAAAAAAAAAAAAACAGACCTTTAAAGAATTGTAGATGCCGCCGGCGGCCGGCGTAGTAGCACAGTCCGATCGAGTATCGGTGGTGGGTCCATCTCCAATGCTGATGATGCAGAATCATCATCACCTGATGCAACAACCGGGTTCGGTTCTTCCCGGCCAAGGTCCGGCGGTGATGCCGGAGAGTTTCGCCAAAGACGCCATTATTGCCTGGTTCAGGGGAGAATTCGCGGCGGCAAACGCCATTATCGACGCCCTGTGCGGCCATCTCAAGCAGCTGGATGACGGCTTGGGATCCGGGTACGAGTCGGTTTTCGCCGCCATACACAGGCGGAGGCTGAACTGGATCCCGATTCTACAGATGCAGAAATACTATTCCATTGCTGATGTGGCGGTTGAGCTCCGGAAAGCCACCCTGAATAAGAAGATGGAAAGGGATGCTATCATCAAAAGGAGTAATCAACACCAACGACAAGAAGAAGAAGGAGAAGAGGAAGAAGCGGAAGAGGAGAAGCTGAAATTCGGGTCGGCTCCCACTTCTCCGGCCGCAACGACCAACGAAAAGGAGAAAACCGTTGAATACTCTGTTTCCGAATCAGAGGAGACTTCGTTACCGGAGGAAGAGGTAGTTGACAGTCATGGGGAGAATCACAGTCAAAGTCATAACATTAACGAAAATGGAAATGGTGATGTGGTTGAGGATTCGCCGGAGAGTGAAATTACCGATACAGGTAAGTAAAATCTTTCATTACTCTCAGCCGGAAAAGGTTATAAAAAAAAATCATCTTTACTCTTCTTTTCTAAAAAAAAAAAGAAAAAAAAGAATCCCTTCTTTCAGTCTGACATCTGTGCAAATTTTGGCAGTTGCAAGTCAAATTAGACTTTTTATTTCCTTTTGTTAATTTTATTAAAAAGTCCTTTCTTTTGGGTCTTTTGAGAGATATGAAAGCTTGTGGTTGAAGGGTGAGTGAATCTCAGAAATCATTGTGTTTGGGGTTTATACCAGCTAGTATGTTGGATCTCCGATCACTTGTCTGGCCGAGAGGGTCATTAAAAAAGACGCCGTTTTAATCATTTGTTTAAAACAAAATTCTCTGGGTTATAGTTCTTGATTTGCATTAAAAATGCGATCTTTTTCTGTTTTTTAATCAACATCTCATCGCCTTTATTGGATCTCGTCAAGTTTTTTTTTTTTTTAATTTCTTGAAACAGTAAACAAGCTTTTTTTATTCATCCATCTGGAGAAAACGCAGCCGTGGTACTTTTTGTACAATCTTTTCCGTTTTGGAATCATTACTCTTCATTTTCCACAAACGTGTACTGGGTTGGTGGTGGTGTTAAATTTCAAGATTCTTTTGTTTTTTTAACCCATTTCCCACAAAAGTTAGTAGTAATTTCAGCTAAAATTCAATTCTTTGGAATACAAAACATCAAAATTAAGAGGTTGCTGAATGTCTCAATCAGGACTATTTGGTTCATTGATTTGGACTGTGGGAGATGGGACTGGGTAGTTTGGTTCCACAAGAAGTATCTGGAAATTCCACGTTTCTAACATACTTTTTAGACTTTTCCCTTTTTTCTCCCGTGACAAAAAAAACCCAGAAATTATTACTATTGTTATTATTACTGATGAAAATGACAGGTAGCTATCATGCATTCATGATTAACTACTGTTGTAGTAATGATAATAATAAAAATATATACTAGTATGAGTTTTGTTTCTTGATGCAAAGGTTTTTAGAAAATCAAGGTCTGTTACTTTTGGTCCAAAAACAAGGAGTAAATGAAATTAAATGAAGAGGGAAATGAGAAGAAGAATCAAGCAACTGGTTTTGCAATTTCTGGACTGAGAGCAAAAGGAGTCAGTCTTCCGGTGTTACAACTTATGCTACTGTAAATTGGTTACTGACATAACATAAGACGAGGGAAGTGCCAACTTCGATGTGTGTGTCTAAAATGTAGTAATAAGAATCATTAAAAATTTCAGTGATTGGTGGGCGGCGACGCATGCTCCAAACGGCGTGTCACCGCTGCCTGCCACCTGTTCAATTTACTGCTTTGCAGTTTGCATCTGAGTACCTATTGAGCCAGGTTGGTCAGAGAACGAGAACCAGAGTGATGGTTTCTTAAAGAACTTTAAAAATTGTGCTTTTTGACATTTCTATTTTTGGGATTTGAATTCCATTTCCCCAGGTACCCCTTTTTTACATTTTTTTTTTTTACTCTTCTGTTTTCTGTTGGTCCCCTCTAATCTCTTGTTTTTAACAAGTCCGGGTCAAGATCAGTTTGTTTGCATTTATTGCTGGGTTTTTCCTTGATTAGATCTTTTAAAAAAAAGGTTTTTTAAAGTCTAATGCTTTTTGGTTTTTACTAATTTTTGGGACTTTGGACTTTGGACATTGAGACGGTGGAATCCCATGTCAAGAATGTGGCAAAGGAAGGAATAATGTGTTAGTGGAATAGTGGTCTTGGATTTTATTTCCTTTCTCTCCTTTTTGCTTTATAGTTTTGGTGCGGTTATGGTGCTTCCCAATTTTGTCTCAATGTACAAGTTGACTATTGGATAGTGAGTGAGTGATGAGTTTCCTGTGTTGTCTGTAAAAGCTGTAAAAAGCTTTACCTATATGGTAGTGTCCGTGATGGGATTCCTTCACTTTTTTGAAAATTTTCTGATCTTAGGACTGGTTCCTGTGGACAAATATTACAACTTTTCACCTTCCCTTTTGGTCAAGATATGAAATTATGGTTTGAAGGTTGGTTTTGAAAGTTAGTGGTAGGATTAATGGTTCAGAAAGTTCATACTTAGGCTCAGGCTTTTGCTACTGGTGGTTGTCACATTAGGAATCCCACTAAATAGTAATACTCCATCAGTACCGCAACATAAAGTTTACCACCAAAGGATTGTTTTCCATATGAGAATAAGAAGCTGACGTATAACTGATCAGAGAGCTCTGTAAAAGTTTGTTTTTGTGACTTCATGAGGCTTGGAGGTGGGCCATATTTCCATAACAGGCTGCCTCCACAATCTGAAACCGTGATCTCGAGTCACTTGTCGATAGCTTTTACCACTGCATCAGGGCCCTTTGCAATCAGATGTTACATCTTAATTTACAAGCGTGAAATTGACAGTAACTTATAGGTACTTACGGATAAGATAGTAAATGAAGGGAATTTTTAGAGGAAATCTAAACGTCTTGAGATCCTACTGCCGAATACATGAGACTCTAGGAACAACTGAAGTTATCCGCTCTAAAGGCTCCATTTCTTTTCACAAAATTCTATGAGTTTACCGTTATGTGTGCTTTGAAACTGGAACAATTCCCATGCCATCTATACTACTTTAGTTTTGTTTTTTCCTTGACTCTTAGTTTCATAGTTCTCTTCGCCTTCACTGGACTGCAGGATCTCAAGAAGTGCAATTCTCGCTCGACAATGTTGATATCTGTTCTAATCATGAAGGATGTGAGGCACGTCGCGAACAGATTAAAATTACCAAAGGATTCATAGCAAAGGAACCGCTGAAAGGCCACATGGCAAGTTTTCTTCAATTCCTTCCTTTTGTAATTTCTTTTCCAGATGTAATTTGGTAAATGAGTATGCGGGAAATGTAGTTAATGTCTGATGTCTCTTTAGTAACGTACACTTGGGCTTCCCATTGACATGCATTCTTTTCACTCTGACCAGGTGAATGTTGTGAGAGGACTTAAGTTGTATGAAGAAATCTTCAATGATTTTGAGCTCTCAAAGTTGAATGACTTTGTGAATGAACTCCGGGTTGCAGGCCGGAATGGTGAACTCTCAGGTGGATCCTGTGATTCGTGATGCTTTTATAGTGTTAAACTTGTTTTCCTTTTCGGACGAAGTTATGAGATAGTAAAGGGCATCTTCTGTAGGTTTGCTTTGAGCAGCAGGTTTGGGCAATTCATTTTACTTTATTAGTCATTTCATTTTCCTGTTCTGAGGCCATGATATCATTCAGGAGGAGTAGCTTACATTTAGATAAACTTGCTTAAAGATTTTCTAAAACTGGATCTTCATTTAACAAAACAAAGGTAGAGACCTTCGTATATCAATTCTCAATTGTCATCAACCATAGATTTAGATTGAACCCTCTTGCTATGTGTCATAGTGATTCTTTTGCTTTCATTTTCTATCACCTTGATCCTTGCATAGTCATAGTTTTGCCAGCAGAAATTGAATGTCAGTTGAGAAACCGCATTGACACTCTTCCAATATTAACAGGAGAAACCTTCATTCTGTACAATCAGCAAGTAAGAGGTAACAAGAGAGAGCTGATTCAGCTTGGAGTTCCGATATTCGGCCCCATAAAAGATGACGCCAACAGTAAATGTCGAAAGAGTAAGCCATGTTGTTTTTAGTTTTGGTTATTACATAGGACTTAGGTATGCAAGCTGCAGCTAATACTATGCAATTCTATTGACAATTCAATGTCTGTACAGGCCATATTGAACCAATTCCGGCATTTCTCCAAGGTGTGATTGATCACCTTATTCAGTGGCATATCTTTTCAGAAAACAGAAAACCAAATGGCTGTATCATCAATTACTTTGATGAGGTATTGCTCTGGTCTTTGTTTTGATTTGCAGTGCAGTGGCTACTGGCTTATCAGAGCATAAAACAATTGTTTGCCATCTAACCTCTCCATTTTGAATTATGTTCTCATGTGTCTTTATTTGGCTATTATGTAGGATGAGTATTCACAGCCTTTCATGAAACCACCGCACTTAGATCAGCCTATCTGCACCCTGGTTCTGTCTCAGTCAACTATGGCATTTGGCCGCACTCTTGTTAACAACAGCGAAGGCAACTATAGAGGGCCACTAATGCTTTCATTAAAGGAAGGGTACGTCCCCTTATGAAAATTGATTTCATTGTTCATCCTACAACTTATTTGCCTTGTCATTGTGATTTCTTCTCAATGTACATTAGCTTCCTTCAATAAAAAAACAAATCTCTTTTTGGTGTACAATTTCTTGTAGCTGACCTTCAACTCCCTCTATAAGAGAATTTTATGGACTTAATTTGCTTTTCACAGATCTCTGTTGGTCATGAGAGGAAACAGCGCTGATGTTGCGCGACATGTCATGTGCACGTCTCCAAACAAGAGGGTGAGCATCACATTCTTCAAAATCCGGATGGAGGATGAAAACACCTTAATGACAATGCAACCTGCAAACAGAGGAGCCATGACCGTATGGCAGCCGGGAGTTCCAACCCCCAATGGAGCATTCAATGGGATAGTACCAATGGACATGGTACCAAAATGGGGTGCCATTAGAACTCCAGTGGTGATGTTAGCCCCATTAAGGCCAATGGTTATGAACCCTAGAAGGATGTCGCGTGGCGGTACAGGGGTTTTCCTGCCATGGACTGTCGGATCAAGAAGGCCTGCAAGACATCTTCCTCCACGTGCTCAAAAGAGTCGACTCCTTGCACTGCCTTCTTCAGCCGAAACACGGAAAACCGATACCTCTGGCCAGTGATTGGCAATGAAAAGTGCCTGCTTTCAGAGAATCTGCCAACTTGGGATGAAGAATGAGGCTTTGTGAGATACTAATTCTGCTTTTCCTTTGGCTTTTGGCTTTAGTGGCTACACAAAAAAAAAAACCAATATAGGCTTTAGAGTTAGTTTGAGGGGAGTGCAAGTTAGCCCAAATTTAGTGGCTGAATTTTGTATGCGGTTTTCTTTAGTTATGTTTACAGAATAGTCTAAATTGTTCATTGTAGTATGTGAATTAATCCGGTTTGAAAATGAGTGTTTATTCTTTTTAACTATGTGGGAATGAGGGAGCTACTAATATTATCATCGCACGCTATCGGATATATGGTCTCTCCGCAAATGCAAACCCTGGACGCCCCATCTTGCACATTTCCTTTCTCTTCTTTGAGTTATACTTTAAATTAGATGGGATTTTTTGTTTCACTTTTAGTGTTATAGCAGCTATTGTGTTTCGAAACTACATTTATTACAAGAACACTTGCTATGTAAGATAAAGCTTGCATTTGCACGTTATTATCACAACAATTTGAATGGTAATGGGAAAGAACTGCAAAAGCCAATAAGTTTTAACCAAGTTACCGTGGCGGTTGGTCTTTTGAATGATTGTTGTAAGTGGCTTATTAGGCTAGGTCTTTGTCATCCCTCAAACAGCCATCAAATGTGGTGCCACATCTGAATAGTTTACACCAAATTGGATGGCATGAAAGGTGAACACAAAAGAATGTATGGCTTTTTTCTCTTGGTATATATCACAGATGGACTATCTTGAATTTGGATATTCTTAATGCCATCATTGGATATTCTGAACTACCAAATGCCAACTAAAAGGGGCGTGTAGTCCTTCATAAGAAAAACACAATGATGAATGCTGATAGAGTGACAGTGATATCAAGTCAAGCTACTCTGTCAAATTGCTTGACACAAAAATAAAGAAAAGATCGAGCACGGGCCTAGGTCGTAATATGCTTTTGTAAAACCATCCATCTTGGTTCCATAATGGCTTGTGTATTTTTCCTTGGTTAGCCCAAGATCAATAGCAGTAATAGGAGTACCAACCTTTTCGACATAATCAAGGTGACAAAACTGATAAATTGCACTTATGAAGCTTAACTGCCAAAGTTTCTGCTTCATCATTAAATAAATGTCCTTACTTATCAGCAACGTCCCAAAGAAAGAAGCAAAAAATCAAAAGAAAAAATAGTTAAACTCAGGTTAATTTACCAACTTTAACAAAACTCCCTCCCAGAAAGGTTTATCATGAATGGATGATCACTTGGATAAAGGTCTACTCTCACCAATGTTACAGATGAAGTACCAAAAGATGCATCAGAGCAATTTTCAACAGGCATTTCACTGAACAAAGAACAAAAAGAAGTGTATTATGAACATGTTTGCTGATTTCATTGAATAAAGACCACAAACAGGTGGAAAACATTCACAGTTTCAATCACAAACACAGTGAAAGGAACTTATCCACCAACAAATTTGTGAATTACAACAAGTAAAACTTTAAGAAAAAGAATAAAAACAATTGCTCCAGTTCAGTATAAGCTTTTTCATGTACTTTGAGTTCCATTCATATCCATGGTTCAGGCGCTTTGCATCTTCTGTATCCAAGTTTTCAAGTGCATTGAACAATCACACATCAGTCATCATCTTCAATGTCCCAAGTCAATTCTTCATCTTCGTCTGCAGTACTCAGCCGCTTCCTCACATCAGCTCTATTTGGGCTCACACCTTGAGTAGGTTTCTTCTCATCTCCACTCCCTATATCCTCGATCTCATCCCACTCTAAGTCCTGCTCCTCATGCACAGACTGCTGGCTTGAAACAACTGAAATATCACTGTCTTTACCTGATTCACCATGATCTCCACCCTTAGCATCTGAAGAGGATGGCTTTTCCTCATCCTCGGTTACTTTCTCTACATTCTGGACTTGAGAATTATCATTTACAATCTCTACTTTCTCTTCTTCGGGAGGACTTACCTTACTCGACTCATTGGACTCGCTAGACTGCACTGTTTGATCCCCCTTCTTTGCATGTTCAACTGTGGATGCGTCACTTCCACTGGCATTACCAGATGCTGAATTCGAACTTTGCGACTTGTCATTGGCACTCTCTGCATTTGAGGCAGACACTGCTCTCTTTTCAACCTCATCCCCTTTTGACTTCACGTTCTCATTGTCGTCTTCATCATCATCTACATCCCAAGAAAGCTCCTCATCATCATCAACAGAAATCGCCCTCTTCACAAGACTGGCTCTTTTACTCTCTTGAAGCTGGAGCTTATGCACCCTATAAAAGTATCGACACCAAAACGTCTCCTTGTCAACCACATTGGGGACAACCACCTTTGAGTAAACCCCTTCCAAAGCACCATTTTCTCCAATCAAATTCGCAATCTCTTCACCTTTATCAGCAAGAATAAACCCTGATTTCCAGTTTTTATAGTCCTCAGAATCCTCAGGATCCTCAACAAAAGTATTCATATCACTTTGAATCGCATTCAATTGCGCATCAAACCGGCTATACCTACCGGAACTTGACAGTTTACTAGTATCAGGTGTATCGGATTCGACATCAGAGTATGCATTAGCTGCAGTAGCCTCCATACCTTGCGAGATAATTCCGGCCGTGGATTTGATGACCCCATCTATGGCGTGGCTAACTGATTCCAGAGATCCATGAGCTACCGACGCACCAACCTCGATTGAAGATGGGAGTTCCTTCACGGCCCGGCTCGCCACTTCGCGGATGATTTCAGTTTCCTTCCTAAGACCCGACCCGAACTCCTGCAGATCCCGGCGGTAAGTCTCCAGCACCGACTCGGATCGAGTAGCGAGGGTCTTCACCAAACCACCGAAGCTCCATCCACCGACACTCGCAGCAGAGCCAGGAGTAGAACCATCACTGACGGCAATAGGTTTTTCATCGGAAATCTCGTCGGAGTCGTTCTCATCGTCGGTTTCCTCAGCTCCATCGTCCGCAGAATCGGGGCCGGAATCATGGATCTTGACCGGCTTCGGGGGGTCCGGTTCATCTGATAAAATGGATTTGAAGAAATTCATTATGAATGTGAATCCAAATTCTGAAAAGAGAGATTCAAATTAGGGTTCAATCTGGAGTTCTGAATCGATTTCGATCAAATTGATTTGGGGGCGAATATATATGGTAAGAAATTGTTGTCGAAATGACGAAATGAGAAGGTACGAGGAATGTAACATTTGCTCGGTGAATGTTTGTATTGGGCCAATTTAGCGTATCAATCCAAGCTCAAATTAGGGCTTTACTAAAATCGAGTCCACAATAACATTCTATTTTAAAAGCCTTATGTGGGAGCTCTGATGCTATCGTTTGAAAAGGAAAGCCCAATTTGTCACCTTAAATGGACAAAATGCACGAGTAGTCCCTCATCTTTCTCTGAAGTCTGAATTTAGACCCCTGCATACAAATAATCTTTTATTACTCCGATTGATTCCATTTTAATAGTCCATCTCATTATTCAACTAATAAATTAAAAGAATTAGAAGATAGAATGTAATGGAGGAAGCATTATTCAAAATTATCTTTACGTTAGTTGACAAATTCGTAAAACTGATAAAAATTGGTATTCGTTGTTTAAATTATCTCAGACTTGTAATTAATTCACCGCAAATTAACTTTATACGTATGAGAAAAAATTTTGATTAAGCATAATGAGTTCTTAGAATTAGTAAACCCGGGCCTTTCGAAAAAAAAAAAACAAAAGAATTTAGTAAACCCGATGGTTGAAGTAAAAACTTAAAAAATACTCCACGACAGTTTTGTTTAGGTCTAAAGGGAAGACTCTGCCTAAGTCGACCTCAAGTCAATGCAGATTTGAGGCAGGTGAATCACGTGGTGATCTGCACTTTGTTGATCTTTTGCTGAAGAATGAAGCAAAGGAAGAGTTTTGATTCTGTCTCCAACATTGCCACCGCACTTTTTTCACTAAAGCTGTCAATGTGGAATCTTGCCGAGACTATTTGCCTGAAATGGGTTACATATATTACTAAACTACTTTCAAGATTTCTTATCATTTCCTATCAATTCCGTGTGTAATAGATATTTTCAGAATTATATTCCCCTCCTCACTCAAGAGCTTACCATTAAGGAACACTGCTTTTGCTTTTGAACTAAAGCCAAAGCAAATTAACCAATGGAAACACAACAAAGAAACGCCTCTGAAACAGGGCCGACTCTGGAGCCTAGTAAAAGAGTGAAAAAGGATGATTCAAAACTGTACCCAATTTTCATCACTTTTTCCGTGTTGCGTTACGCCTTCTTCAAGGAATCGAATATGAGATAATACAACTTGTTCCATCAAGAATTATTCCACCATTTCTGGAGCCCTCTCCTTTAACTTTTATCCCATATCCAAATCTTAAGTTTTTCTTCTTCCACCCTTTTTCATTTATTGTATCCAAAATGGTAAACGGGATGGACAAATTTCAGCCTCAGGGCATTTGTCAGCGGTTCTTGAAGTTCCTCATTGACAACCTCCTCATGGGTAGTAGCAGTAGTAGTAGTAGTACAGGGATCAAGCGGGTCACCCTCGGCCCGGCCGCCGGCGAATCGGTTGAGGTTCCGATCGAAACTCCGTCGAGAAATGGCAGGAAGAACCCTGTTTTGAAGAGATCGTCAAAGTCCGGTAATGGTGAAATAGTGATTGAGTTCAGGCACATTGAGGCCAGCAATAACGGGCCTTCAGTTCCAGTTCCGATTCAGAATGGCCTGATTGGAAATGATGGCCGGACCAATTACAACGGTGCCAGAAAAGAAGGAGAACAGAGTAAACCCGATCTCCCCGTCCAAAATGTGCATCCGATTCCACACCCACAATCAGGTTCAGACATTGATAAAATAGCGGAAACTTTTCTGGAGACAAGGAAGAAAGTGTGGGAGAAGGCATTGTTGCATCGGGCCTCGTGAGGCCGGTTCTGATCAAGTTTTCCTCTCTGTTTCATAACTTCATTTGCTTTTCTCCTCTGGATTGAATTTCATCAAATTATGATAAATAATTTTCCTAGATTCCTTTTTTTAAGAAACTTTTTTTTTTCTGCTGCTTAGCAACTTTTTGATCGTTGCAGATTGAAGATGGCTTATACCTTAGTGATAGATGTTACGTTGATGATTGAGCAATCATGTACCTTTATTATTTGTACTTCATTTATCCCAAAATGATTATCCATTTGTTGTACTAACGCATCAAATTGTACAATCATTTCGATACAATACAGAGTAATGAGTAGTGAACCGTAGTGTTCAAATGTCAGTTTTTTTCCCCTGGGTTCAAATATAGTTGGCCGAAACGACACACTACTTTTGACTACTGGGATGATCAAAGAAAAGCACTTCATGAAATACTGGTAACAGACTTGATATTGTTATTAAAAAACACCATAAATACGATCAAACTTCAAACTTGATTAAATTTATAATAGCAACTTGGATATCTCCAGTTAGAGTCTAATTTTGAGGATGATGAGAAGGAATCATTCATCCCTCCACACTATTTTGTTTGATGGTTTGTTAATCATCATTTCACTCGAAACTTGATCGAAGTTACTCCAAAAAGAAACAACAATTGATCATCCAAAAAAAATGCCTCAATCCCCAAACGCTCTCTCCCCTGTGACCTCACTCGGAAATTAATTTGAAATTCCGAGCAAAGGGTCTAAATGAAGATGAGATTCGTCTCTCCTCAACAACCAAATTCATCAATGCATGCATGACATCGAACAAAGAATCATGTGAACCAAATTGCTACCTAAAATCTTGTCTTGATTATTTTTGTTTTTTCTCTCATTAAATTATGAGGTATATTGTAGAACTCTCCTGCTTATCCTAATTTTTCTTTCTTTTTTTTTGTTTCGTTTTCTATTTTTTCTTCTTTTGTTTTTTTTTTCAAGATAATTTCCCCTTTCTCTCAATATCCAAATCCCTCCATTGATTCAACTTGATTAGCTTGCTATTGAAGCATAAACCTCCAGCAATCCAAACGCATTAGTTTTACTCATCAAAAGTATGTTTTGAGGAGCGATAAAGATCATACGGAGCCCAAAGATGATCAACATTGCAAGGTTTCCTGGAATCCAACCTCAACCATGGCTTACCCTTTCCACTCCAATGCAGCAAGCTAATCGGACCCGGATGCAAATTCCGGCATTTCCCTTCAATGTTATCGCCGCCCAAACCATGCTGATTCCACCGGTGATCCACCGCCTTAATATTCCCGGCGAGCACAAGCAAAAACGGCGGCAACGAACCCAAACGGTATATCCTCCTCTGTTTCTGAACCACCATCCAATCTTCAACTTTCTGAGTATAGCCTCCCTGCCTCCATTTCTCCACGTCCACAATCATAACTCCGGTATTAAAATAACACGGTCTTCTTCCTTCAAACGTTCTGGGCATCTCCGGGTCGGACCAGAATGAATCAGTAAAGTAATCGGTGAAATTCGCGTGGCAATATTCCGGGGCGGCGACGACTCTGTTTTCCAAATCAACCCTCCATAATTTCGCGATGTCGTCGACCATGACAAGATCGGAATCAAGATAAATAACCCGTTTCACGTCGCCGGGAATGATCTCCGGTAAATATATCCGGGCATAGTTCAACGGCTGGTCCAGAGCTTGACGGATGGACTTGGAGATCAACCCGCGTACCCGACCCGAATCAAAACGGTACACCTTGAAGTTGAGGTAAGGGAAAGTGGATTTAATGTTGGAATAAACCTCCTGCTCGTGACGAACCCAGAGGAAATGGAAAACCATGTCTTCCGGGCAAGTTGAATGCTGAAGGATGGACAAAACGGCGGCCATGGTTCCTCGTAGGTAATTAGCATCCAAGGTCATCGCAATGTGAATTTGGTGGTCAACGCCGCATGTTTCCCCGTTGCGGAAGGCTGGAGCTTCCCGGAAAAGAGGGCCGCCATCCGGGATTAGTGGCTTCCGGACAATGCCGAGACGGATGCCGGCGGCGGTGGCGACGGAGGAGGGATGCAGAAGAAGGGGGAGGAGGAGGAGGAAAAGAGACAGGTGGCCAAGGAGGAGTAGAAGAAAAGGGTGGTTTTCGCTCCGGGTCAAGGCCATCCTGCTCTTTGCATTTTTTTTTAATTTTATTTTAACAAATTTGAAAAAAAAAAATATTAAAGTTAAGGGAACAAACCAAAAAAAAAGTAGCAGCCATTGGAGGGCTGCAGGTTAAGAGAAGGTTTAGGAAAGGTTAAAAAAATGGATGACACAGAAAGTTGGTTGTGGAATCGTGAGGAACATCACAAACCTCGGAGAATCTTTTCTTAATTTCTTGGAAGAAGTTATTACTACGAAGCTATTTTATAATATGTGCATGCATTCACGTCATGTTTGTGTGATTTCTTGCAGCTTAATTTTATCAAGTTTCTCCACCTTGAGAGTTACTTCACGAATTTAGCTATCGATTTTAATTAATTGACAGCAATAATATGATGAAATATTTTTCAGACAGAGATTTCTTTCTCCACTCATCCGTATGTAGATAATACTCTTTTTTTTTATAATTTTTTTTTTCCTTATTTGCTTTTTGACCGAACATGTCTTATTACACAATTTTATTAATTACTAGCAACTATTCCCTCATGTTCTTATTATAAGACAATTTGATTTGTCCTAAGTTTCATTTAGTATGTTTTTCAATTAAAAATAATTAAAACTTTAGAAATATTTTATAATAATTGGGATTACACAATAAATATGATAGTACTTTTTAAGTTTTTATTTTTAATCAAATAACATATTAGATGAAACTTAGGATAAACCAAAATAATTTGTAATAAGGACAGGAGAAATACTTATAAGAAAAATGATTGTATATAGCTACTGTATTCTTGTTTTTAGTGGAACAAGCACTAACACCTCCTATTCTGTCGTTAAATTACCGTAGAATTTATCACTCCCCCCTCCCTCTCAAAATTATTATTTTATCATACTTTATTGTGTCTGATTATACAATCCTACATGATACACCAATTGCATACAATATTTTCTTATACGTACAAAACCTGAACTAATCAAAATAACATTGCCTTTGCTAGTCCTATTTGATGTTGCAATGTGTTTCATTTCATAATGTTGTGATATTTTCGATGGTTTATAACCAGCAAAAGTAATATTAAGCAAATAAAATATTGTTGTAAGAGAGAAAGTGACCAAAAAATTGAAAAATGAGACATAATAAATATTTTAAATTCCGATTTCTATTAAAATATGTGAAATTTAAAATGCAGTAATTTTTATTTATAACTTTCCGTTTCTGTTCAAAACAGAATATACAAAAACATTTGACTTATGTTGGACCATTTAACCTAATTTCAGTAACTAGGAGGCAGCGTGAATTGATAAGTTTCGGTTAGGGGGACCAAAATTGTAAATTTAAAAAATCATTATAAGCCATTTTCCCCGCCATTTTCCCCGTCTGTAATTAGGGTTTTAATTGTGCAGGACTGGGGGTTTCGCTAGACAGCTGGTAAAATCATGAGAGGAGAAGTGGAAATACCGCTGAACAAGACGCAGAAGCTAAGACTGGAAAGAGCCCTCGAGAAGTTGGAATCGATTTCCTCTAAGGCCAATCTTTCCGATGCCTCCGTCACCGTCGCCGACGAAATTTCCGTCAATTACGAAGACGGCGTTCTCCAGTAATCAAATGGAAATTGCTTTTGAACTGTTAAGTACTTTCTCCTCGGCCTATTATAGCATTTATTGATTCTTCCTCTTATTTTTGCGTTGTAAGGGGGCATGGGACGTCGGAGATGAACGGACGCCTGGTGGCAACCGTCTGTGGAGTGGTTGAGCGGGTTAATCGACTTGTCTATGTCCGGGCTTTGAGGTCAAGGTAATTTGATGCAAATAACTCCGTCTTGAAAGTTTGTGGTTATGGCTTTTTTTGTTAATTGGCTATAAGCTTAGATATTCTGTAATGACTTTGTAGGTACAAGCCTGAGACTGGTGATATCATTGTTGGCCGTGTGATTGAGGTGGAAATTTGATCACATTCTTTATTCTTGTTTAATTGTTTTAGTTATCTGTGTAATATTTAGAGGTGGGAAAGAATATGTAATGACTCTTTTTCTATTTTCCGTATTGAATCATGGCCTTCTGTTTTCTTAGGAATAGCTATTTGTATGTTTGATTCTGTTGGATCTTTTAGAAAAGGCCCTTATCGTCTGTAAATGTAGTTGGTATTGTCTTCATTTTCTTTGTTGTTTCTTGACTGTATACTGTAATTTGTGTAGGTGGCTCCTAAGCGTTGGAAAGTGGAGATTAATTTCAGCCAAGATGCAGTTCTGATGCTTTCTTCTATGAACTTGCCTGATGGCATCCAGGTTATATGTTTCTACTTTCTACTGATGATGCGTGATCCTTTCTTATGCACTCAGTGGAGCTTGTACTATATTTTTTTGTTGTCTCAGAATATCTAGCGAAGTAAATATGGAGAGGAATAACAAAGATTTCTTTGCTCCTAAGACTAACGCACTCTGATTTTGGATATGTTCTGTGTGTTCAAGTAGCAAAAGTAGGAGATTTGAGTATTGTCTTATCATGATTGACTCTTATTTCTCAATTGTTGCATTCCATGAAAAAGAAGAAGACTGTTAAACAGTAAAGAGTCCTTTGTTAATTATAGCCACTGTTTGGGAAGCCAAAATGCTGGAAAAATGGGAAACCATGGCCCTATTTGTTTCTCGGGTTTAAATGTTGACTTCCGATGGAAGAATGATTCCTGCTGGGATTTGACTGTAACTCATCTTGTTATGTTGTTCTAGAGGCGGCGCACTGCAGTTGATGAGCTTAACATGCGGAGCATATTTGAAGAAAATGACGTTGTTTGTGTAAGCCCCCTGATTTTTCACCTCTTTTGCAAGCTGACACTCTGTACTCTTGATGAATACTGTTCTTTTGTTGAGCTTCTTGGATATATGTTGATTTAGGTGAAACTTGTCTTATTTCAGGCTGAAGTTCGTGGTTTCCAGCACGATGGAAGTCTACACCTGCAGGCTAGGAGTCAGAAGTATGGCAAGGTACGTCTCTGTCATTTAATCTAGGCATAGCTGCGTGACACGCATTACTGTTTGAGATTCTGACAAAAATTGGTTATTCCGCAATCTTGGGGAGTGCTTTTGTATCCATACTGGTTCCGATGACTAATTGTTCTTCTTTTGTTTTGCTTCTCTCAATTTGGTGGTTAAACCTTTTGTGAGGAATCTAAACTTTCACTAATCATTACTGCATCCATCACATACCACCAACTGATGCAGCACTATTGATTGCTCAATCTCAACTCGTAATGCTACTGATATCTTAATCTCAACTTGTTTTGTTACTTTCCACAGCTGGATAAAGGTCAGTTGCTGAAAATCCCGCCTTATTTGGTGAAGAAACGTAAACAACATTTCCACCATCTAAATGACTATGGAGTTGACTTGATACTTGGCTGTAACGGGTTCATTTGGATTGGTGAACATGTTGCTGCTGTAGATGACATGGTAGTAGATCAAATAATCAAATCTGAGCAACCAGATTCCAAAGCAGGAGATTCAGTAAACTCTGATGAACAAGAACAGAGTTACACTTCACTTGATATTAGGCAAAATATCTGTAGAATGGCAAATGCAGTCAGAGTGTTATCATCTTTGGGTTTCATGGTTACAATGGAAGCAATAGTAGAGATAGTAAAATTGAGCAACTCCAAGAAGTTCGATATACATGATATGCTTGGGGCAGAATTCTACGTTGTTGTTGCTGAGGAAGAAGCTACACGTCGAAGCTCTTCAAGTAAGAAGCGATAGACCATTTCCCTGTATGCTGAACTGGTAATTAGAGTATTTCTTAGCTATGGAGATGTATCTGAAGAATTTTAAAATAGTTGATGCCTCAATTCTTTGTTTTACATCTTTGTGTCTGTGGTTGTATGTTAGGTTCTACGTAATTCAAATCTCTATTAATCGACACTTGTTGCTCAATGTTTTAATCATAGCCCTTTTAACTTTATTCTTGAAGTTGTTGCAAGAGATGGTAGTAAATCAAATGAGCCCCTGATCTCAGAAAGTCTATTTCTTCTTTCTTTAGCAACACATAATACACCATTCATTGTACTGCATTCACCATAAGACAACCACAAAAATAACATCCAGGGAAATCTTTGCCCAATTTGATTGTAGGATTAAACACTTGTTCTGTACATCACGAGACCAAAGTTACAAAATGCTTCAGAGTCACAAAAGTCGTCAAAGCTTCATATGTGAGTAGAGCCTAAATATTGACAGCTGCAGTCTATAAAGTCTAGAGTTCATCTTTTGGTTTAGGGTGCAACTTGTAAAATGCTTCTTCATCCCAATAGTAGGGGTACTTCAATTTAGCTGCAGTATGGGGCATGAACCAATCATCGTATATAAACCTGAAAGTAAGAACAGGCGAGACAATTTCCATCAAAAAGGGTAACTAATAGGAACACTCACATGCCATCATTAGGGGAAACAACATCACCTAAATCTTTATCCTGCTATAAGTTATCAGTAAAACGAAGAAAGGCACACTAAGACATTTGTATGTCCAGGCATGATTGTTTTTGCATATCCTAATGCATGACAAGAAACCATATATGGTATAGTGTGAAGAGTTGGATGTTTTGCAAGCCAAAAAGAATGTGAAGAAAACCGAGTCACTCACACTTTCACAGGTGGCCGAGATATAACAAATAAGAACTGTAAATCCTCCTCTGGGTTGGTGTTCCATACCTGTAAAATATGAACATAATGAAGCTCAGCATTGACGAATATTAGCGTTACTATGTTACAGTCATTGAGAACTCTTGATACATGGTCCAAATGTTTTACCGAACTCAACGAAATTTCATGCCCGCCAACAACAAAGAAATAAGGAACGAACCATGGAGTATTGACAAAAGGCCCAATTTGATTTGTTTACAAAGCGTCAATCCTCAGCAATTAGCCAATGAGATTAGTTGTTCCCCATTTTGTATACAAAGGCTCATACATTGTTGAGTTGAAACTATGACATTTTATTAGTGTCATACAATGTTGTGACAAAATCCAAATTCCCAGCAATTTGAGTTGTATAAATCTAAAGAAAGACCCAATGAAAAACCACCAACTGACCTGATGAGCATCATTAACAGGGACATGAAAGGTGCTATTGGCATAGATAGGAAACTCAAGGGGTTTTCCAGGGTGTCTCTGATCCGTGTTTGATGCAAGATAAAGAGTGCCACTCCCTTTCAGTACCACAAACACTTCCTCGCATGAATGCCTGTGAATTGGGGTGTGAGTTCCAGGTGCAAATGTTTCATCCGTACCTCAACCTGGTGAAACAAATTACACCTACAAATAGGTAAAATCTCACACAAACGATAGATAAGGAGGAAAAACTACAAACATTCTTGAAACCCCATCAAATTTGAAAGAAATTTAACAGGTTGCCCTAAAAAATTTCACCTCTTTAAGCCCGTGTAGAAGTGAACCGGCAACAGTCATGTCGGACAAACCGGGTCTGCCATAGCTATATTGCGGAATCTCACTGATGTTCCTCACTAACGGAAACCCTATAGAAAAGTGATGTGATTCACACACAATCAGTTAACAAAGCTCTCAATTTTCTGGTTCAACGACAACATTTCTGTTGATAAGAGGGGGAAAAAAAGCAAAAGAAGGAGATGAGTGATGAGTGGTGTTTGAGAAATTACCATTCGAGGAGCTGCCATAAACTTTGGCAATAGAGCAAAAGCAGATTAGAGCCAGCAACTGCAAGCAGATTTTGCAGAGTCCATGTCCATCCATGTCTGGAAAGAACTAGAAAAGCTACGAAGTTTCCTTTTTTCCAATTGAATTAGTGTTTTTCTTTTTTAATTGTTGGTTGCTTCTTCAAAGTTTTGAGGAATTTGCGGCAAAGGGGTTTATACAATATGGATATTCTTAAAAAGGACGAATCTTGGATTATTTCCCAAATGCAAAAGAATTATTCCAATTGTATAACTTTTGTAAGTTCAGATTTATTTTATATAGGAAAAAAAGACCTAAAATTCCTTTTTAACTTGATGGAAAACGATAAGACTGGAAATTAAGTTTGGTAATGGGCAATCATGGAATGAAATTTCCAATTATATGTGGAAACACCAACTTTCTGAATGAAAAGGAAATCGAAATCATGTAAAATGTTGGTAGAAGTTTCCTTTTCCATATTATTTTTTGGAATTTCCTTCTCGCCGCATATCGAAATTAGATTGAACCAAATCAATAAAAACAACACTCCATCTCAAAAAATAAATAAATAAATAAATAAATTATCCGCTTTAGTACACTACTATGCATGCCATGTTACAATATATCCCCAACCACTTAAAACATATAAAAAATAAGTGAACATCGTGAAAAATAAACAAATTCAAATTTAACCCACGCGAACGAGATTCTATAATTTTCTCAATCAAAATGATTTTTAGTTTGTGATTTAAGATTGAAAAATTTTAGTTCTTATTATAAATAAGAAAAGATTATCGTAATTTTAGCATTTTTGCTATTATTATCATTTCCACCAAATCAGATTTTTAGATTGTATTTTTTAACATGATACTCTTTTAAAAGAAAATATTGTTCTTAGAGTTATTAAAACATTAAAACAAAATACATATAATCACCTAAACTTCACCAAATAATAAAATACTAGGTTTTGGACCCGTGCCTTCGCACGGGTACATAATGTTATTTTTTTTCTTCAATGTAAACAATTTTTACCAGAATAAACAAAATATAGAGAGCATAATATGTTGTTTAGTTGCGTCAAATAGATTACAGAATTATGTATTCTCTCTGCCCCGGAATTATTATGTAGTTAGAATTCAATTTTTATAATACATTTTGTATCAAACTAAAAATTCATAAATGCACAATCATTTTGCAACACAATAAGTAATATTTATCAGCAATTACACATGTCATCAACCCAATCATAAATGACAATGAAATCTTTAAAAAAGATTAAGAAAAGAACTATTGCATAAATAAGATCGTAATTTTATTTTTTGTGTGTGTGGGGTTTAATAGAGTAGAAAGACTAAGAAAAATGTATATTTGACTTATTTCTTATACGAATCAAGAACCATACATAATATTGACAATATTCTTTTTCTGGTAAAAATTAGTCCACAATGCAAAAGAATTTCCAATAACAAAAAGCTTCATGTTTAATACTTCTGCCGTATCATTTACCATGACAATATATTTACCAAAGAAGGAACTGCTTCAATACATTATGTGCTAAATTAAGAAAAACGATTTACGAATCCTGAAAAAAAGGCTCTTGCATTATTTTGATCACTTTTCTGTTTTAAAACCAATTATCAGAATTATCATTCTCAACCAAAAGTATAGCAACTTATAAAATCGTAAATCACCGCCTTTTACTGTTTTTCCTTATACCGTAACTGCCGTTTTCATTTTCTCGGCTGCACAAATGTGATTGATTTGCGTTTGTCTTTCTGGTGTTGTCAGCTTTGCCTACTCATTCAGATCTAAATTCTTCTGCAAAATCACTTTTATTGAATTAGAATAAGATCAAACAGGACTAATAAAGCAAATTTATTCGGCTTCCTAAAGCAGTATATGTGTAATTAAGTAAAGGATTTACCATTTTGGAGGGAACGATTCAAAATTTATGCATTATAGCCTCTGTTTCACTGAAGAGAATTTTGCAAATATTAGTTCCCTTATTAATATGAACGTGTGGAGAAATCATTTTTGAATTAGAAGGTGATCGTTAATTTGGAATTGAGAGTTAGTTTTGGAATATGATTTTTAAAAAATTGAAGAAAAGATGAAGTTTTACGTTAGTTTTGTCTTTGTTATAATTGGTGAAGAATTAGCGGGGAGAATTTTAGGGATTTCTTAACATGTGGAATTTTGGACAAAACTTGATTTTTGCTATAATGGGGTTTATAGAGAAGTTGATCGTTAATTTGGAATCGAGAGTTAGTTTTGAAATATGATTTTTAAAAAATTGAAGAAAAAAAATGGATTACGTTGGTTCTGTTTTTGTTATAATTGGTGAAGAATTAGCGGGGAGAATTTTAGGGATATCTTGACATGTGTAATTTTGGACAAAACTTGATTTTTGCTATAACGGGGTTTATAGATACGACAAAGAAAAAAAAAACTTTATAGATAAAAAAGCAGAGAAATTATAATTGTAGTGAAAAAAATCTAATGACTAATGCAAAGGCAAAATTACCAAGTGCAAGTCTTTCTAACTACAGCTAACAAATGAAAATTTCGTAAATACACGTGTAACACATTATTCACTATCTCATCTCACTTTATTTTTTTACTACATGTATTCTTTTCCTAAAAAATACCATATACAAAAAGAAAAATGATATGAATTTTTTTCTTAAATAAAATAGAAAAATGATATGGATAGTGAAACATAAATAGTGAAAAAGGTAATGTAGGTGAAGTACTATGACCCTTCTTATTTTCTTTTATTGATACATTTTAGTTACATTCTTTTACTCCTAAAAGTTACATTCTGACCTGTAAATATAAGTCATTATGAATTTTTACTATACTATTTTCATGGCCTCTATCTTTTTTCTTATGTAAAAGTTATAACATCTTTTATCCAAAAAAGAAAAAAAAAGAAAAAAAATGAAAAGAATTACCATTGGTAACTCTCTCCGGGGGTTTTATTATCTTTTCTCCTTATTCTGGTCCAATTCTGTAATTTGATTAAACCTTCTTTTATACGTCAGTTCTTAGATATGATTTGGGATTTTCGCGCCGGATCAAGTTAGCAGAAGCCTATGTTTCCGACTGGCCCCGATCGATTTTTGGGCGAATGGGGCTGGATTATTGAAGAGACGGACTGAACTATGGAAAGCTTTCTCGGGGATTTTGTGTTGCCGCTGCTACTTCTGATAGGTACTTTTCTGGCCCTTTTCTGGCAATTCAATTGGCGACGGCGTTTTGTTATTGATTTTGCAGGTGAAGGATGAGTTGAATTGACTGAATGAGTGAAATTGCGCACATTCTTCCTTTTTTTTATTTTTTCTTTTCTCAGCGCTGTGTAAATTTTTAGCTGTCAATTAGTAGTAGCTCCTGGAGTGAGCTTTGAGGATTGAGGTGGAGTGAAGGGCTTTTCTGCAATGGTGGAAAACTAGTTTGGACATAGAAATTTACTAAATAGCAGCAATTATCAACGTTTTACTACTTTCCTTTTGGCCTCTGGGAAAATAAGGGTATAGAAATAAGATGCATTTATTCTAGTGCTGCAGATGTCTTATCTGTAAAACATGAGAGAAATATGTGTGTAGAAGCTTTTAGTTTTTCCGGCTCAAATTATTATGAAACAAAGGAATGATGACATTGATTCCTTTTAAAAGAAGGGTCAGGAAAGACTTACAAAAAGAACTACAAGAAAGTCAATGAAAAGATGTGTGTTGGCATAGTGAGGTGATGATATATGATCAAAGTATCCGAGGTTTAACAGTGTGATAAAGGTTTAATTACTGTTGTCATTGTACACATTTAAACTCAAAACTGCTGGAAATGAAATATGCTTGTATCTAGAAAAGTGAATCGTAAGTTCTGTAAAATGTCCTTTGGATAGTGGGACACTTGATGCATTCTTAATGAATATGCCTTTTAGCTCTTACTCATGTATCGTGTGATATTTGATGTAATTCTGTTAATCTGGACTGGCTGAATTGAAACATGGAGGTCCTCACGCTTGATCGTACATGCTTGCTTTAGCTAATGTACAGTATATGTCTTTGGTGGCTGTTTATCTATTAACTATTATACTTTTGTGGCTTTCTTGCAGCTGGGCTACTGAATTGGAGTTTGATATCCCTAATTAATTTGGTGGCTTCTCTTGTAATTCGATTCATTGCGCCTAAAAGAGGTAGTGAATCCACTTCTTTTGCTACTTGCATGCAGTTCTATGCTGTTGTAATTTGTTAAATCGGTGTGAAGATTTACAAAGTTAGTTGGTCTCCTTCTAGAATCAGCCTTTTGCCATATATTTTAGAAATTTAGGTTGGATGCTATGTAGTTTGTAGTCAATGGCTGCAGCTTTACAATGGGTGGCAATTACATGCTACATCGAGTCTTTTCTAACAGAAATAACAATACATGTTTATGTCTTTGTTTCTGTAGGATTTCGTTTCAAATACAGAAATTCGTTCTTGTGGTGCATTTTCATATTCTCGGTTGTCGTTATCCTTTTACAAGTGATTTTTCTTGCCATTTGGGCCATTGTGGGGTCAGAATGGATGGTAGCAGATGCCTGGTGGGTGAAGCTCATTGGGTTGTTGAAGTAAGTTGAATTCATCTTTATTTTACATAGGGTTTAATGAATGGAATTCTTTTAATTCTATTACTTTCTGCCTGGATAATTTTCATGGTACAAGCTTGTTACATGGTTTTGCAGAGTCCAGTCTTGGAGATACCCAATCGTTATATATCTACTGGTTATCCAACTTTTAGTGGCTGTCCTTGCACTGACTGAAATTCACTGGAACAGATTTGGGTTTTCCCGGTCCCAAAACTCTTGTTGGGGACCTTTCAGTTCAGTGGTTGAGCAGTTAGGTTAGCAGCTGATTTTTTATATCTCTGTTTTCTATCTATTTTTATTTTATTTATTTCAGGGTTTATGGTTTGCTGTTATTTGCCCTCTTATAAGTTTTGTTTGCTTCAAAGTACGCTTTTGAGGTTGAGGATGTTTAGGAAAAATCAGAATGATGGGTGGCACTTGATTACTCTATGGGTCGATTGTACATTTTATTTTAGCCTCAGTGTTGGTTAAAAATTATAATTTATATACAACTTAAGACAAATGTTTTAGAATGAGCATAGTTAGGTTTTTGGCAGGGTTATTTCTGGAATGAGATACATTAGAATGTTTCTTGAATGTGTTTGTATTTCGAATCAAGTTATCTGTATTTCTTGTGCAAGTTGAATTTGCATTGGATTTCTGCTAAGTTTATTTGCAAGTATGAAAACTTCAGAATATATCTTCATTTCTAAAAATCAATAGCATAAAGTTACCAAGCTAGTCTTTTGTATTTGTTCTATTGAGGTTATGATTGAGATGAATTCCGCAACGGTAACAACTACTTCTAAGCCTTTCTCCCATTTCTGTTGTTTGGCTGTATGGATCATATGTTGCTATATTGTTCTGTGGATATACATTTTGATGGAGATGAATACCTGTGTAGAATCTTTTGCATCTACACTTTTTTCTTGGATGATCTCTGTTTGGTGTCCAAGGGATGTCTCAATTATTTGGTTTCAACTTGGTCAATTTGAAGGTTGGGAAAGTTGATTATGTTGAACCCTGTTACAAAACTTATCTTTTTGCCCCTTTGTTTTCAATTTAAGTATTATATTTTCTCTCCTCTGAAAAGTAATTGACACTTTTTTCTTTATATTGAAGGTTCTCGTCTTAGGGTGGCTTCTTGTTTGTTGCTACCTGCTATTCAGTTGGCTGTGGGAATTAGTAATCCTTCATGGCTTTCTTTACCATTTTTTGTATGCAGCTGTATTGGTCTTGTTGATTGGTCTTTAACAAGCAACTTTTTGGGGCTTTTCAGGTATTATTAATAACTGTGGCACCGTTTTATTTCCTTTCCTTTTCTCCTATGATTCCCCATTTGAGAAACGTTTTTGAAAACAACATGTTCTTCGTTTCTGATACTTTTTTTGGATTATTTTATGTTCAAGGTGGTGGAAGCTGTTATGGCTATATGCTGGCTTCAGTATTTGCTTATTATACGTGTATCAGCTCCCAGTTGGCTTCCCAGGGATTTTCAATATGATAGCAAAGTTTATTGGTCTCTACAAACTGTCTGCAAAGTCAGATTTGCAAAAAATATCCTCCAGTCTTTCTTTGTTGGCATTCTACTACGTGGTATGTGTATTGTGCAGGTCAATAAATTCTTCAAACAGACACATGTGATGGTGTGTGTATTGCATTCTTAATGTTCTTTAGCTCCTTGTTGTTAAGATGTGCAATACTCTTCAAAATATTCATTTAAAATTGTTTTGAGGCTGAATGGTTGTTGTGGAGGGAAGGAAAAAACTAATTGACTAATTATATGAATGCAGCTCTCCTCTGTGAAACGTGATCTGGAGGAAATGGATTTCCTAATGTCCATAAGAGAGGGTAATTTGACTGAGCAGCTTCTTCCCTCAAGACAGCCTTTTTTTATTCGGGAGTTGAGGTAAGTCTGTCATTGTTTCTGGGTCACACGAATTACAGTTCTTTCAAGTGCATAGTTTGTATATTGCATGATTTAGTTTACCTTCTTTGAGATCTATTAAGCGTGGTTCAGAAGCTTTCTTTCCATTTTTTCTGTGTGTACTTAATTTCTCAAAAAATCAGACCAATAAGCACCTGATCTTGTGACATCCTTACAGTTTTCATGATAGAATTTAGATACTTTGAAACAGTTGGGAAATCACTGTTTCTATATCTGCCCCTTCACTCTCCATAATTTCACTATTCAGATAAAAAAGAAAAAGGCATTATTTTCTGCTGATTCCTCTGTGTTTTATTTTAGTTATCATCTTTTACTGATATGTTTTAGTTGTGCACAGATCTGGTGTGAGGCATGCGAATGTATTTTTAAGGAGAGCAGTTTTCCGCTTTTTCACTATTAACTTTTTCACATATGGTTTCCCGGTAAGTATTACATTAATGTAAGATTCTGTTCTTTTCATGTTTTCATCTTTTCTTTTTGGGGCTTAAAGGATACTTGCTGAGCGCTACTTTTCAAAATCCTCTATCTCTAAATTTGATAGGTCTCATTGTTTGCGCTTACCTTTTGGAGCTTCCACTTTGCCAGCATCTGTGCTTTTGGATTGCTTGCATATGTTGGGTACATTTTATACGTGTTTCCTTCATTGTTTCGTTTGCACCGGTTGAATGGGTTGCTTCTCGTCTTCATTCTCTTATGGGCGGTTAGCACATATATCTTCAATGTGTCATTTGCTTTCATGAATGGGAAACTTGGAAAGGTAAAGTTCTATGTACAGGAAACTTCATTTTGTTTCGTAAATTCATATTTTTATAGTTGACAGCCACTTCTGCTTTGTTATGATCAGGATATGGAAATCTGGGAGATGGTTGGGTTGTGGCATTATCCTATTCCTGGATTTTTCCTTCTTGCTCAGTTTTGTCTTGGGATTCTTGTCGCTCTGGGTAACTTAGTCAGCAATACTGTTTTTCTATGCGTGTCAGATGAGGAGAGGCAACTGTTGGACAATAGCTACACAGAGGAAGGTGCTTTAATGCTATAGAGTAATTCCAACTCATAATGGTTCTGTTTTCCTTCTCAAAATTTCGTAGTTCTTTCTTTACCTCTTCTTAGGTCTTTTCAAGCAGTCTCCTGATAACTTGTGTCTTGTAAAACTTTGAAGCTGTTTTTGTTAGTGTAAAAAAGTGCTTCCAGTGTTTCATGTTGTCTATTTTGTTTAGCAACAACTTGGCATTTGAACATAAGATATATCTCGGGGGCTGCTATTCTTGATTACTCTGAGCGGATTTGAATATTAACTCATTTTTAATGCCAGATCCATCTTTTTGACCCAGGAAATGATATTTGCTTGCATGTAACAGTTTTACCAGTTGGTTGGGCTGGGACATCATTGTTCCCTGCCCCATTTTGAAAATCATGTGACTAACCGATGAAGATGATTGTCTTTCGGTTGCCACCAACAACAAAATGTAGTTTCCTCCCCATTTCAGTTTATTGAGCATTTAATTGTTTTTAAAACGTAGATCTTGCCGTTGCAATAGCTTCCCCTTCTCCAGATGGCAATTAGCATAGTAGTTCTGAGATTTGTCCTTTTATTTTCTGCTGTTTCCTCATTTGTATTCATCTTCTATGATTCCAGTGAAGGAAGAAACCAGAGTACTGATTGTGGCTACAATAGCCTGGGGACTCCGCAAATGCTCTCGTGCTATTGTCTTGGTGTTGATATTCATTATCGCAATGAAACCCGGTTTCATCCATGCTATTTATAGTAAGTTGGTGTGAATTACTGATCTAAGATTTCAAGGAGGTCAGGCATTTTTCCAATGCCTCTCTAGTTCTAATGCCTCTTTTTTGATTAATTGGCAGATGCGAAGAATTTAACTCTTCTACTGGAGTTTTATTATTAATCCTAAGATTTTGTCATGTTTTGCAGTAACATTCTTCTTTATGTATCTTCTGAGCCATGACATCAGTAAAAGAACACGCCAATCTCTGATTCTTCTGTGTGAGGCTCATTTTGCCGTGCTATATATTCTTCAACTTAATTTGGTCTCAAAAACACTGGAGCAAAAAGGGTCCTTGAGTATGGGAATCCTTTCTCAGTTAGGTGCGATTTATTGCATCACTTAGCTTATTTCTTTGAAGGAGCTTTACATGCCCAAATTGGTTTAACTTGCTTGGTTGCACTGGGTATTTTCGGCAGGTCTTCTTGAAAGTGATAGTTCTTGGGATTTTCTGGAGATAGCTCTGCTTGCTTGTTTCTGTGCGATGCATAACCATGGAATAGAAATGCTGTTTTCTTTTTCTGCTATTGTACAGCACACTCCTAGCCGTCCTTTTGGTTTTAGCATTTTACGAGCTGGACTGAACAAATCAGTTTTGTTGTCGGTTTATGCCACCTCAAGCACCAGGGACAGCCATGACAATGCCTCCCATGGTACAACTTGCTCACAAACAAGATACTCTGGTTTATCATATTTAATGGCTGCAGAACAATAATGACATGTTATTTATTTTATGGATATTTTCTCATGACCAGCTATTATTGGTTTCTTGTTTTCTGATAAATGTGGATGTCTGGATGAATTTAGTAACTATATTGTGGCATTAAGCTATAAGCTTTTTGAGGCATTGATATATGTTACTTCTTCCTGGCTTTGACTGGGAGGAGAGGCCATACTCCCATGTGTTACATAATTGGCTGACAGATAATTGTGAACATCCATGAGTTTGTTCATTTTAGTCTTTTAGTTTTCTTTTTTTTTCAGTTTTTTTTTTTTAAAATATTGCTATTATTCTACAAGACTAATTTTTGTCATTCTTGTTTCAGAGAAGAAAATAGCTCTGTATCTTGGCTCAATAGGGAAGAAATTTCTGTCCGTGTATAGATCCATGGGCACCTATATAGCATTTCTGACAATTTTGCTAACAACTTACCTGGTCCAGCCGAATTGTATATCATTTGGATACATTTTTCTTCTCCTTGTGTGGATTATTGGACGACAGATTGTGGAGCGTACTAGGCGCCGCCTTTGGTTTCCACTGAAAGCATATGCAATTTCTGTTTTCATTCTTGTTTATTGTTTGAGCATTTTTCCTACTTTTGAGGCGTGGATGTCCCAGAAACTTGATCTTCAGTTGTATTTTGGTTATGACCCTGAGTCGTCGTTGTTAGAAAATGTGTGGGAATCTCTGGCCATTGTTGTTGTAATGCAACTGTATAGCTACGAGAGAAGACAGAGTAAATATGTCAGACCAGAAGAAGACCCTGATTTATCGCATTTTGGGATTTTGGGGTTCATTAAACGCTTTCTTATTTGGCACAGTGAGAAGATCTTGTTAATTGCACTGTTTTATGCTTCATTATCTCCGGTTAGTGCATTTGGTGCTCTCTACCTGGTTGGCCTAATCTTCAGCTCAACTTTGCCAAAAGCTTCTCGGGTTCCATCCAAATCATTTTTAATTTATACTGGCCTTCTAGTTACAGCTGAGTATCTGTTTCAGATGTGGGGTAAATATGCTAAGATGTTTCCTGGACAAAAACACTATGATGTGTCCCTTCTTCTGGGATTCCAAGTATACAAACCCAGTTTCTGGGGTATTGAAGCTGGTTTGAGGCCAAAAGTGTTGGTCATTGCTGCATGTACTCTTCAGTACAATATCTTCCGTTGGTTGGATCGAATGCCCACTTTTTTCTTAAATGGAGACATGTCAGAGGAACCTTGCCCGCTTTTCGTCTCAGAGGAAGATGTTTTACCTCTAGTTTCAGTATCAAATGGGGAAAGCAGTAACTCATTATCAAATCATGGTGGAGCATCATCAAGAAAGGAAGGAGGCACAAGCAGCTCATGGCCCTCCTTTAGCCCTGCTATAAACCAATCATCGCGTATTGAGTCCTCAGGTGGAATCAGGCATGAGGATCCAAGCACTAGAAAGCATTCGCTTGCCGGTATGTGGGGGAGTATGAAGGAGAGTCATAAGTGGAATAAGAAGAGGATTATTGCCTTGAAAAAGGAGAGATTCGAAATGCAAAAGAGTACATTTAAGGTGTACCTGAAGTTTTGGATAGAGAACATGTTCAATCTCTTTGGGCTGGAGATCAGTATGATTGCACTGCTTTTGGCCAGCTTTGCTCTTTTAAATGCCATTTCCATGGTCTATATTGCATTACTGGCTGCTTGCGCTCTTTTAGAGCGACGTATCATACGCAAACTATGGCCAACATTTGTCTTCTTGTTTGCTTTCATCCTCATTTTTGAGTATTTTGCTATGTGGAAGCATCTTATGCCTTCAGATGGGCAGGGCTCCAGCGGAAGTAACGTGCATTGCCATGATTGTTGGAAAAGCTCAAACATATACTTCACCACTTGCAAAAGCTGTTGGCTGGGTATGACTTCTTAATCTATGTGAATATGTCCATCTGTACGTGGATACATTCTTTTTTAAGTAGTTTATCCCTCTTGAATATTAATGTGAAAGTCTTATTTGACAACCAAGGTTAATGTACCGTGCTTTGAATTCCTGCAGGGCTTACTGTAGATGATCCTCGGGTGCTGATTAGCTATTATTTAGTCTTTCTGCTTGCATGTTTCAAGCTCCGAGCAGATCGTGCTGCGAACTTTTCTGGGTCATTTACATATCGGCACATGATTTCGCAGCGGAGAAATGCCTTTGTTTGGAGAGATCTGTCATTTGAAACCAAAAGCATGTGGACTTTCCTCGACTATTTGCGACTATATTGCTACTGTCATCTTTTAGATCTCGTGCTTGCTTTGATCTTGATTACCGGAACCCTGGAGTATGACATTTTGCACCTAGGATATCTTGCTTTTGCTCTGGTTTTCTTCAGGATGAGGCTTTCCATACTAAAGAAGAAGAACAAAATTTTTAAATATCTACGGATCTACAATTTCAGTGTTATTGTTCTTTCTCTTGCTTATCAATCTCCCTTCGTGGGCGATTTCAGTGCGGGGAAGTGTGAAACAGTTGATTACATATATGAGATGATAGGGTTCTACAAGTACGACTATGGGTTTCGGATTACCTCGAGATCTGCTTTTGTTGAGATAGTCATATTTGCTCTGGTATCACTGCAGTCATATATGTTTTCCTCTCCTGAGTTCGATTATGTGTTCCGATATCTTGAAGCTGAACAAATTGGAGCTATTGTACGTGAGCAAGAGAAGAAAGCTGCTTGGAAAACCGAACAGTTTCTTCATATTCGTGAATCTGAGGAGAAGAAGCGTCAGCGCAATTCCCAAGTGGAAAAGATAAAGTCTGAGATGCTCAATTTACAAATCCAGCTTCATGATGTGAGCCCTAGCACTGTTGGTGATGATACTTCTCCAGCAAGTGAGGGGCTGAGAAAGAGAAAAAATGCCACCATGAATGCCGATATCAACTTTGAGAACCTTGAAAAACAGGATAACAATAATCATCCGGATTCAGGCTTTTCATTTGATCTGTGTGATTCCCCAATTAGTATGAGGGCAGATAGTACCTTTGGAACGGAACTAATGAAGCAGTCCTCAGATAATCCATTTGGTGAGATCATTGAGCTTGAGGAAGGTAAAAGAGAATCGTCATTTATGGAGACTGACAAAGGAAAGAAAGGGAAGGGTGAAGGAAAAGAACACCCCTTGGTCTCTGCTGTCCAATTTATTGGTGATGGTGTTACACAAGTACAATCGATAGGAAATCTGGCAGTTAACAATATCGTCAGCTTTCTTAACATTTCGCATGAAGATTCAGATCCAAATGAGCCCACATCTGTTGAGCATGGGACATTAAAGGAGAGTGAGAGCCACAAGTTCTGGCGTCCGTCATTGGATCGTTCATCTTCGATACAATCTGACAGGAGCAGGACTTCTGAATCTGCAAGTCTGCAGATTGGCCGGATTCTGAATCATATCTGGTCTCAGATGCGGTCCAACAATGATTTTGTTTGTTATTGTTGCTTTGTTCTGGTATTTTTGTGGAATTTCAGTTTACTTTCAATGGTATACCTGGCAGCTCTTTTCTTATATGCTCTTTGTGCCAACACAGGGCCAAGTTACACTTTTTGGGTCATCATGCTAATCTACACAGAGTTTTATATCCTGATCCAGTATCTGTATCAAATTTTAATCCAACATTGTGGTTTCAGCATCCAGTCAGACCTTCTTCATGAACTTGGGTTTCCTGCAAAACGGATAACGTCTTCATTTGTGATAAGTTCGTTGCCTCTTTTTCTTGTGTATCTATTCACTCTCGTACAAAGCTCTATCACTGCCAAAGACGGTGAGTGGTTCTCGGCCGGATTTAGCAAGGTGAGACTACTGCACCGCAAGCAAAATCTTGAGATTTCCAGCTTGAGTGGTAAGGTAAAGGAGCTGGCCCAACTAGTGAGAAAGATGGTTAAGGTTGTGATTAAAAGTTGCAGCAGGTATTGGAAATCACTGACACAAGAAGCAGAATCTCCTCCATACTTTGTGCAGTTGTCAATGGATGTCCACATATGGCCAGAGGATGGAATCCAGCCTGAGAGGATAGAATCTGGAATAAATCGTCTGCTGCAGCTTGTTCATAAAGAGAAATGCAAGAATGAAAATCTTATTAATTGCCCTTGTGCTAGCAGAGTGCAGATTCAAAGTATTGAAAAGAGTACAGAAAACCCAAATGTTGCCTTAGCTGTTTTTGAAGTGGTGTATGCTACATCTGACAAAGAGTGTAGTACAGAAGAACAGTATGGGTCGCTAACCCCTGCTGCAGATGTAGCAAAAGAGATCCTTAAGGCACAGCATAGTGGTTTGGCGGAAGGAATTGGATTTCCTTATCCTATAATCTCTGTCATTGGAGGTGGCAAAAGAGAAGTTGATCTCTATGCCTACATATTTGGTGCTGACTTAACTGTTTTCTTTTTGGTGGCCATATTTTACCAATCTGTCATAAAGAACAAAAGTGAATTTCTTGAGGTTTATCAGCTAGAGGACCAATTCCCCAAAGAGTTTGTGTTCATTCTGATGGTATGCTTACCGTACCTTATATCTTCCCTTTTCTTTTTTGGATACTTTCTTCGTTCTAAAAGCTGAAACTGACGTAGAGCTTGGTAAGATGAGAAAATCTAATAGAGGAGCGGTGTTGTATTACCATTTTGAATGACCGGTTTTATCTTCTTGTCTCATGATTGTCGAACATCTGAATACGTGATATTTTTTGTTTCTTATGTTCGTCTGGATATCTCTTTTATAAAGTAGTCTATGAGTAGTGTGCTGTTGTGGCCTTATGTTAATTGTTTGTAATGACGACTCTAATATAATGTTATTCGTGTAGGCTATCTTCTTCTTGATCGTAGTGGATCGTGTTATCTACCTCTGTTCATTTGCTACTGGAAAAGTTGTCTTCTATGTGTTCAACCTCATTCTTTTTACCTATGCTGTAACTCAATATGCTTGGCATATGGATACATCTCAACAAAACACCGCAGGATTGGCTCTTCGTGCAATATATCTGACTAAAGCGATTTCACTGTCACTTCAAGCCATGCAACTTCGTTATGGTGTTCCCCATAAGAGCACCTTATATCGCCAGTTTCTTACCAGCAAAGTTTCCCGAGTTAACTATCTAGGGTATCGACTCTATCGTGCCCTTCCGTTCCTGTATGAATTACGATGTGTTCTTGATTGGTCATGCACAACTACATCATTGACAATGTATGACTGGCTGAAGGTGAGTTTCCTCACATTTTGTAGTTTGTAGATGTCCTTTGTGAGGTTTAAGATGCTTGGAGATTTTGAATCTTGTTTCCATCGCAAATCATCTTATTGCTCTCTAAGTTACCTTGGAGATGGAGATCCTTTAAGTGAACTTCTTAAGAACTTGGAATGGACATGTATTAAGTTAAGCAAAAGGTTTTTTTGAATGTTCAAAATTTGTATGGGGTGGATTTTTTGTTATTTACTTGTATAATCTTTATCTTAGTTGACTTCCAAAAATTGTCTGCAATGTGTAAGGTGCTCAATTCTACTGCATAAAGATGATTTCATAGACAGTAAACCTCAGTTGACGAATCTCTTTGCATTAATATGGTTCACTTGATCGATTCCTGATGAATAATAAACACTTCTTTGATTTAGTTTTATACTCCAATTCATTATGTACACGATCAACCACAAGTCTAGTAAGTTACCAAGTCTCTTGAACTGATGGTCATAAGCTGTTTCTCTGGGTGGATTGAATTTCATTAGAAGGAAGTCAATAAACTGTGTTTCTTTTTTGTAAACTGACATTTATTTTTGGTTTGATTTTCTTAGTTGGAGGACATTAATGCAAGCCTGTACCTTGTCAAGTGCGATGCTGTTCTTAACAGGGCTACTCACAGACAAGGAGAAAAGCAGTCAAAAATGACGAAATTTTGCAATGGGATATGCCTATTTTTCATTTTGATTTGTGTAATTTGGGCTCCTATGCTGGTAAGTATTGTCCATTCCGTCTAGGTGCACTAATTTCATCTATTTACTGAAATCATTAGCAAAATGATGATTGCAAATGAATTTATGCTTCGTTGTCATGTTTCAACTTTAAACTTCACTCTCAAAGAAAGCAGTGGAAATTCTTAATAATGCAAAAATACTTTGAATAATTTTTAGAGCTAATATGTGGTCTGTCCTCTGTGCTGAGATGCTATTATGCTAATCAAGTACGTATTGCTCCACTGAGTTATTGTAAAGTTGGTTGTAATTTGATGGAGAGATGGGCATGTAGGAAAATGTTTCTTTTACGAGTTGCTTCAAGTTGAATAAGATGGGGGGGATCGATTCCAGGTTGAGTTAATCAGGATGAAGAGATGTGGCTTGTGTAGTCATGACATGATTTCATTCGGAGAAACATGTCTTGCTCTTCTTGGGGTGTTGGAAAGTATCATGTCTTGCTCTTCTTGGGGTGTTGGAAAGTATACTGTAGGCTTGCGCCGAGGTTCTGAAAAAGTAGCAAATGCACTTTGACCTTCATTGTTTTGCACTATGAACTTTTTGTCTTTTTGTTTCTAACTGCCGTGAACCTTTGACAGGTTATTGTACTTAAATTTCGTGGATTCAAATGTTGGTCATGAGTTTTTAATATCTTGTTACCTTTTCAATGTGAAGGGCCGTACAACTAATTAAACTTTTATGGCAGATGTATAGCAGTGGTAATCCGACGAATATTGCAAATCCCATTAATGATGCTACTGTTCAGCTTGATGTTAAGACGGATGCCGGGAGATTGACCTTGTACCAGACAACTTTATGCGAAAAAATTCCATGGGATCAACTGGACACTGCTATTGATCTTGATCCTCAAGGTTATCTAAGTACATACAATGTACGTGATATCCAACTTATTTGTTGTCAATCTGATGCCAGTACTTTGTGGCTTGTGCCCGATATTGTCCAGAGAAAGTTTGTAAAGTCTCTCAGTGGAGAGATGGGTCTTAAGTTCTCTTGGATTCTTACCAGAGATAGACCAAAGGGCAAGGAAGTTGTTAAGTTTGAGCGGCCAGTTGATCCTTTAGATTGTCCTGAACCTTCAGAAGTTGAGAAAGTCCTAAATGGTTCTAGTAGCAGTTTTAGGGTTCATAACATCTATCCGAGATATTTCCGTGTAACTGGTTCGGGTGATGTTCGGACTTTTGAACAGGAGGTTGGTTTGCACCCTATATATCTGCATTCTGCATCCATGTAACTTGGGTTAATAATGTTGTATGTTTCTTTTGTATGCACCCTATATACGTATTTTAAATTTCCAGTATTTTAGGATTTATATGTATCCATGATTTCTTGCTTGCTGAAACTTTTGATTGTTTAGCCAATATATGAGCAGTATCACTTAATAATGTGAGATAATCTTTGCTAGATCCAAAAGAAATGCTTAATTTCTGATGTAATAGGCATTGGTCTATAAAAATGACATATGTTGATTCTTTTGATGTTGCCGCTTTGCCGGTGAAGTTGGTTCTCCACTAGTTTGCAATTACTTATACCAGCTATATTTGCCTGATGCTAACCACAGGCAAATGATGTCGGTGCTGACATTGTCCTTAATAATGGGAGTTTTCAGTGGTGGTCCTTCCATGATATTAATTCCCTTGATGTTAATGGCTGTGGAGGATTGAAGGGGCCGATGGCAATTATTGTATCTGAGGAAACCCCACGTAAGTCATTAGAGATTGTTCGCCTTTTAATCTCGCACATTAATTACTTTGATTCTTCAGAATGGGTTCTTCGTTTTGTTATGTTATTGTCCGTATTTCACTCAAACTGTATGCTACGGCCTGTGTGACAGCAAGTAATTCTTTCACAATTAAAACAGAATGGTAATTACTAGTGCAGTTGGTACTGTTGTTTTCTTTTTTTATCTCTTAATCTTACAAGTCGATCGCAATTATATCAGAGGGTTTCCTTGGAGAGACGCTGAGCAAGTTCAGTATTTGGGGTCTCTACATTACATTTGTGTTGGCAGTTGGCCGATTTATAAGACTGCAGTGCTCTGATTTGCGCATGCGGATACCGTATGAGAATCTCCCTTCATGTGACAGGTACTGCTCTGATTTGTTCTTTTACTGTTTCGTATTAGGTTCATATACATGTAAATGATTGTTCTTTAGATTTCAACTACTGGTAGGTATTTTTCGGAATGAATTTCTTTGAGTGTTAGCGGAATCTTAAGCTGGGGAAGAGCATATGTTTCAAAGAGAGAACAATCTCAGATGGAATTCCCTGCCTGGCATCAAATAGTTAAAACTACCACTCTTGGGATCATAATGTTAAATAGTACCAATAATGTAACTCTAGTAGCCTAATTCTTATGTGCACCTGAATGAGATATATTTATCTAGGGAAAGAAGGGCAATGTTAAAAATGCATCTGTCTGAAAGACTTGCAGAATGAAATGTGGAATAAAAGCTTGTATAACTGCTAAGAACTGCATAACTAATGTCCTTTGCATGTATTACTAAAGCAACTCTTTGGGTTTTGCAGGTTGATCGCAATCTGTGAGGATATATATGCTGCTAGGGCAGAGGGTGAGCTTGGAGTCGAGGAAGTCTTGTACTGGACAATAGTGAAGATATATAGGTCACCTCATATGTTGCTTGAGTACACCAAACAAGACTAGCAGATTTGGCAAATTCAGCAGCATATAGTTAAAACACTAACTCGTATAGTTTAACACTAACCAGAAGTAGTCATTTTGAATTTGGGTCCTGCAGAGTTTTTTTATAACCACACTTCCCAGGTTCAAATTTTTAGTTGGGAGTTGGGAAGAAATCATTTGTTGTACACAAAATCCATAGAGGTGTTTGTTGTAGTGGCGTTTTTGCATGTCGCCAAACTCATAATTTGTTAGAGAAATGGAAATTTGTAAATAGCTGGTCAGGGTATATACTCAAACCAATTTTTGAGGAAATGATAAAAATTTACAATTCCAATTTGTCATTGAAGGAGCTCTCTTATTCTCTCTTTTTACAATAATGCCTGCCAAAGAGCATCATGCTGATGTGAATTTTGCATCTCGTCGGCCCTCTTGTCGACCATGTCGTCAGCTTAGTATAGAGATTAGAGAGTAGAAATCCCTCCGGAGACATTCGATGTTTTTTCAGTCAACTTGACATTTGATAGTTAGAGTCCAAATTACAATGAGGTAACTGAGATTTTGCAAATGAATGATAAAGAAGGCTGAGAACCGTAGCAAAAAGATTGAATCTTTTTCATAACTAAATCGACATTAGGGTAAAAAGGAACAAGAATATGTACAGGGAAAGGAGAAGCTCCGCCTGGGGCCAACTTTTTTACATGCAAGTGGAAGGAAAACGAGAAACAGATCAACAATACGAATAAACCTATCTGCAAAAAAACTTGTTAAAATGGAACTCTAACCCATTGAACCAACGAACTTCATTCCATTGAAAAACTGACTGGAAGTCATGGAGTCTCCGGCGTCGGCGGTGGAGGTGGAGTAGCCTTCTCCTCCGGCGAAGCATGGTTGGGAATGATATCCGCCAGAATTTTCGGTCTAACAAAACTGAAATCCGAGACAGACAGATGCTTAAACTCCGGGTTATCACTGAGAAAAGAGGCAATTTGGGGCGCCGACCGAAGCTTTTTACCAGTGGGAGCGTGATAATAAGCATCCATCTTCGTGTAATCGCTCCTCAGAACCAATTCTCGCTTAAACCCAACTGGGGTTTTGGGAATATTTGGTTTGTCCGCCAGCCAAGTCCGGCTGGCGTCGTACTCGATATCGCCGCCGGCGTCATCGCAGAAAGCGCCGGGCTTCTTGCTGCAGTGAAAGGGCTCTTCTATAAATTTGCTCCTGATTTCCTCGAACTCTTCTTGGGTCGGAATAATTCTCCATTTGAAGCACCTGTCACACTGCACCGCCCATACATCCGCCATCCGCGGCGTCTGCAAAAGCACCGATCAAATTCAATTCTACAAAATGGGGTTCCATTTCCATGGAGAATGATTTCAAACGTAGAAAACTGTAGTAAATAAAGACGTATTATCTGGGTTCAAGATCATCATACCTTTGGAACTTTCGGATTCTCCGCCATTTTCACTTCAGCAGCTCCACTGCCTGCAGGTTTCCGCCTCTGTTTTTCTACATTTGCAAAGTCCCCTGCAAATAAGGCGGCAAAATCGCCAAATTGGGTAAGGGGTTTGAGCCCAGAATCCCATTGGATATCCAATTTTCATGGGCCAAAAGATTATTAGCTAACTGGAAGCCCTATTCTTAGTTTGTGGGCTTTCAGAAGGAGAAAAATGGAAGTCCATTTCCCGCGCTCAAGCACACTGTTCAATCCATCACGGCCGTCACTGACAGTCACTTCCTCGCCGTTGCTATCTTCCGGCACCGGCCTGACTTACTTACTCACTTCTACTATCTGTCAATTCCACCGCCATCAAAATCAGCAATCCTAAATTACGATTGGCCTCCTTTTGTCCACTTTTTGCCTTTTCTTTTGAATTGTTTATTATTAACCACAGGTATGATTGTTCATTCTACTGCTCAACCTTTTTTCACCCTTGAATTCATGCCGGATTTCATTGGTTCTGATTTTAATTTTCTGTTCTTCTAACTTGAATTCGTGGAATAGAGATCAAGCTATATGGCCAGTGCAATGGCGCGAAACTACCGTCTTCGTGGTATATACCGGTCTTTGTCCTCAAACTCTGGTTTGCTGTGCCGATGTAAGTCGACGCTGACATCAGCTTCAACACAAACTAATCCTCCGTCACAGTTTATTCACGATAGGACCCCTGAAATGCTTCGTTCCGGATCCCGACTATTCTTTTCAACGGTCCGTGTATCTGTCCATCTTTATATGCCTTAACATGTTTGTTAGAATGCCTACCTGAATTACATTTGAAAACTTGGGGAAAAAATGAACATTGTTTCTTCAGGATTTTCGACGGGGTGAATGTGGAGTAGCGTCATTGTCAAGATTAAACCAAAGGTTTCTTTGTAGTACTGCTTCTAATGTGAATCAAACAAAAAGTTCTGATGCAACTTCTGAAGCTAGTTCTAACTCGGGGACAAATGAAAGTGAAAGCTCCAAAGATGGCTCGCAGAAGAATAGTGAGCAAGGGAAGCCTATCCGAGGATCGGTAATTTTCATTTATCTCTAACTTGTTTTTGTCTATACCCAACTAATATTCTTTCACCTCTCAAAGAATTGCGTTTTCAGTGTGCACTTTTGCGTTTGTACTTGGACTACAATTTGACAATGTGCTTTGAACTTGCGTTTTTATGCTGTCTGTCACCCTCTTCATAGCAAAAGTTGTTATTTGGGAATGATTAGTTCATGTACACCTGTGAGATCTTATTAACTTCAGATTCTGACTTGCTAAAGACTGTAACTTTTTATCTTCTAACAATTTCTTTATTCAAATCCAATAGGTTTTAAGTCTGTCTCATGGATATTGAGACTTATGAGATGGTCAAGTGGGGGATACATAATGTAAACAATTTGTCTATTTCTTGCAGCCTGTTTCGTGGATGAGCTTCTTCTTACTTCTTGCAACTGGAGCTGCATTGATTTGGTACTATGACCGAGAAAAGAAGAGACATATTGAAGGTGGAGACAAGTTTGATATCTTTTACGTATCAATTGTAATCACCACGAAGCTCAAGTATTATGAGTAATTGCATATATATTAGTATAGTAAGTTGGCTGCTGCATCATGTCGTTATCATGATAGGCTAAAATCTGAGTAATAATGGCAATGCAGGAATCAATAATGCTTCAAAGACAGCAAAACAAGGTCCATCTGCTGGGAAAGCTGCAATCGGGGGTCCATTTAGCCTTGTGGATCACAATGGGAAGCCTGTAACTGAGAAAAGCTTTTTAGGGAAATGGACCTTAATTTACTTCGGATTCACCTTCTGCCCAGATATTTGCCCAGTGGAACTAGAGAAGCTTGTTTCTGCAATTGATAAAATAAGTAAGTTGCCCGTAATAGAGCTGAGATTCATACTGAATTTTTGCTATGGTGCCACCCCCCCTCTCCCGCGACAAAAAGCAGTTTTTGAACTTTGAAAAGATTTAAATATGGAGCATTTTGCCGCACGGCTAGTATGAATAATCTTTGCATCTTGTGCATGGTGAAGCCAGAATGCAAATCTTCTAGCTTTCTTCCTTTCCAGCATTATTTTTTATTTGGTGCCATGTTTTTCATTTATGAGAAATTAGAAATATTAGTAGTACATTATGGAGCTAGGAATAGCCTCCATTAGCCTTCAACCCATCAAATGAGCACATGGACACATCTCGCTTCAGCATTTTTGTTTATTATTTCTGCTTTTTATTTTAAGTGCAAGCTACCAGAAAATATCGCCTTTGTAATACTCTCTCCGTCTCAGAAAAATAGTCCGCATTTAGTACTAATCTCAAAACTCAAAGTAGACTATTTTTTAGGACGGAGTAATAATTAGCTGTCAAGCCTGTCATGCATCTTTTGTTTGTCATATTTCTTTAGGACTAATTCTCAAGGGATCCTTCTGTTTCCTTATCATCCTATTGAAATTCAAAGTGTACAGACGAGGAATGTTGTTACTTGATTGGATTATGAATAGTGCATGAAGCTTCAGAAGAATTTTGGTTATCCCTGCGAAACATGTTTGCTGGTGCTATTGATAATTAGAGCTCAGTTTTATTTTTTTTTTCGTTCTTGCCTTTTTGATCTATTTACAACAACGCTAACTGCTGCAGAAGAAAAATCTGGAATCGAAATTGTCCCTGTTTTCATCTCAGTTGATCCTGAGAGAGATACGGTTGAGCAAGTCCGAGCATATGTTACAGGTGCCTTTTCTAAAAGATGGTCTTTTGTATCTGCCTTTTCTACATGCCAGGACGAAAAAGTTCCCCTTTTTCTTTAATGTTTTCAGATGGTTTGATTTCTTTTGCCAATTTGATTTCATGAACTTATTCAGAATTCCACCCTAATTTAATTGGGTTGACGGGTAGTGTGGATGAGGTTAAAAAAGCTGCTCGAGCGTATAGAGTATATTACATGAAGACGGAAGAAGAAGGTTCAGACTACCTGGTCGATCACTCGATTGTCATGTATGTACTAACACTTAATTTGGTCAAGTAATCGACATCATACATCCCTCATATTTGAAGTTGTTACATCCATGCATTTGAAAAATTTCGTAAGCTGTTCGGATGGATATTCAAGTTTACATCTTTCATTTTTTTTATCTTCCTTCCAATGTTTTCGTATAATGAAAAGACAGGCTAGTTTGCTTCTTCAATGATCATGAATATGTAGTTTGGTCTACAGATGATTTGCATGCTGACATTCAGGGTACTCTTGCAACTGTTTGTAAAGATTTGGAAAAGTAGGTTTATTTGGGGAAGTGAATCTTTGCAAAGGTTTCATAGGATTGATTGTATACGTGCAGGTATCTAATGGATCCTCAAATGGAATTCGTCAAATTTTTTGGGAAGAACAACGATGATGAATCCCTCGCAGACGGTATTATCCAGCAGATCAAACAAAGGAAATAAATCTCTTCCTCTTATTTTGAGATATTGATTTGGAACTTCTTTTCTTTTCTGTTTTCTTCAACTTCATGATAATATAATCATTATCTGGGAATAATATTTGATTATGCAAATTTAACGTGGATATCACAATTCTTCTCCCGTTTATTACTTGATTGGGTTATCAATTATTTTCTTGATACAATCTAAGATATGCTAACTCAAAATGATAGCAATTTGAGTACTTAACTATCAAGTCCAAAAAAAAATACATAGGAGGTTCAAAACCTCACAACTAGTACGCAGCCCAATCTCAGAAATAGGGTCCAAGACTCCAAGTAACATTTGTCTCACTGGATAGGGTTTATGTAGTAAGAGTGGGCACCTAGTTCTTCTAATTTAACTTTTTTCTCACTCAATTAGAGGAAATAATTTTTTTAAAAAAATATCAAAACCTTAACAAGAAAATCTACTTGTGTATTTAATATTTATCCGAAAAGAGAAAGAAAAAAAAGAAAATCAGTCACAGAGTCGGCCAAATTAGTCCATTCCATTAATGAAATTAAATAAATATAAATATATACGAGAAATGCGCATAAAGAAAACAAGACTAATAGAGAGAAAAAAAAAAGAAAAGAAAAGGAAATAAAAAAGGAGAAGGCAGAGTGGGCCACTGAAACTGTGTGAGTGTGTGTGTGAGCCAAAATATTAGTAGAAGAAGTGTTTTTGCTGGTTCCAAAGTCTCTCAAATAACCCAAAACACACACAGAGAGAGAGAGAGAGAGAGAGAGAGAGAGCGGTGCGGCCATAGAAAACAAAACAAAAAAAAGAGCTTCCGACTAATCCCACCATACTTTTCACTCTGCCTCTTCCTACATTTGCACAAATATTAATATGGTGGCCGCCCCTGGATATACAGCTTCTCTGTAAAAAAAAAAAAAACCCTCTCTGTTTCTCAGGTTCGCATAAAACGATACCCATTAGTGATTTTTTTTTGGTTGCCCTCTATTTGTATCAGAAAATTTCTGTGATGATATGTACGAGTGAATACCTATGCTTTTTATTTTCTTTTTATCAGTTTCATGTTTTTGTTACATGCAACCGTTGTTGAATTATTCGAGATGGAATATTTGAAGAGGGTTTTGATTATTTTGTGTTTTTTTCGGGTGTGGTTTTTATTGGATTTTGCTGCACCCTTTTCCCCTGTTCCGGTGGCGAAACGTTGTTAATTTAGGTTACTGAGGCAGCTGTTGATGGCGGCTTAATGCTGAATATGTTTTTTTTTCCCAATTAACCCCCTTTTTTTCTGTTTGGGAGAAATTTTGGAAATATTTCTTGGTGGGCTTGTTTAAGTGCAAGTATAGTCAGAGTAGTTTGTTTTTGTATTTGTTCGATGACCCCATTAGGCCTACTACCATTTTTTATTTTGAGTAATACGAGTGGGATTTTCTTTTTGTTCAGTCAGATTGCACTGATCACTCTTTTTGGTGCATGAACGTGATGTTCTGTTCTGAAATCAATTTGGAAATGCACGTGTTATTTTAGCTGATTTCAGTATAGGAATGGCAGAATTGCTGGGTTTGAGGTTATTTTCATCATTGTTATTCTTCCTTTTTTTTTTTTCTCTGGGAGGGGGGGGGGGGGGGATATTTTCTATTGCTAGGATTAGCCTGTTATTTTTCCATTGCTCGAATTATTTAGTAGTAGATAGATTTCCTCATTCATGGAGTTACTGAAATTACTGCCAACCGTACCCGAATGAAGTTTACTGCTGTGAATGTCTTTTCTTTGTTGTTTTAATTTAATGTTGCGGCACTGGATTACTTTCTTTTATTTCCAATCTGATGGAGCTTTTATTCTGACTTGGAAGCTTGATTATAGGACTTGAGCCCTTAAGTTTTGATCAACCTCGTCGAATTATTGACAATGGGCGACACTGTTGAGGTTGCTGGAAGGAGTGAACTGTATTCTGCTATTACAACCTATAAAAAAGGAAGCAAAAACAAGAGGAAGTATTTAGCTGAGTTTCCCCTGGACATGATTGATGTATCTGCCCTTTCTCTGACTGAGTTCCCTAGATATGAGTTATTGGAGGAGAAACTTCGTAATATCCCCTTTGAGATTGAGCCACACGAGGCAGGGCCCGGTACTTATTTTAATGAAGATGAAAAGGATCAGCTTGAGCAGGATGAATGGGATGATCCTGTTGTTTGTCAGCTTCAGGAACTTTTGATGAGCAATCTGCTCGAGACTTTCCGTAGCGCTATTAAGAAGATAGTTGAAAGTGGGTACAGCGAGGAGACTGCTGAGCAGCTTATTTTGAGGAGTGGCCTTTACCATGGAACAAAAGATGTTGTATCAAATGCTGTGGATGGTGCTTTGGCAGTTATGACAAGAGAGAAGGAATTAGAAACTTCAAGGCGTCCTGTGTTTGAAAACTTAGACAACTTGGTGAACTATACTATACTAGAGATGATAGCATTGGTTAGGGAGGTTAAACAATGTTTTACGGTTGCTGAAGCTATGTGGTAGCTCTTGATTCATGATCTAAATTTATTACATGGCCTGGCAGATCGCGAACATCTTGGTGGCTTTGATATCCCGGAATTTTCAGAAGGTACCCCACCTGATCCAGCCATTGTGTCAATGAAGCCAGGTTCTTCTGAAACAAGTGATGCAAACCTCAATAAGCCTTCTACTTTAAAACCTTCAGATCCAAGAGGTCAAAATTCTCATCCTGAGCTTCCTACAGTTGCAGCTGACACTCAACCCAGCAACTTGAAGCATTCTCTTTTACATAGTTTGGCAAATGCTGGGAAAGAAAGTCTAGTTGCTTCACTAGAATCCTGTGGAAAATCCTTCGGTACTAGTAAGGAGCATGTTACAAAACTGAAAGAGGCTCTTGTGGAAGAAAAGGCTTCGCTTAACCGCAAGGGTTCAACAGGTAATTCCAAGAGAGACATGCTTCGACAGAAAACATTTCATTTTGAAAAAAGTTATAAGGGACGTATGTCGAAAGGTGCTTTTAAAGCAAAGCTAACTTCATGGGGTAGTATGGTATTGGACAAATCACTAAAGTCCCCTTCTGGTTCCTCAGGAGTTGTAATGAAGAGTACTTATTCTAAAATAACTACTTCAATTGGACCTAATGCTTCCCTTCCCGAAGGAGCATTTAGTGTTTCTAGTAACTCTAGTCAAGGGGCTAATATATTGTCTGTGAAGGAAACTGTTTTTGCATTACCTGCAGTAAACAGTAAAAAAGCTCCGCCTTCAGCCCCTGAAGACAAATCTAGTCCAAAGGCTGAAAACAACAGTAGCTCAACTGAAGTCCCTGATTATTATGCTGGAATCCCATATGACGATTCTCTTGGGAAGTATGTCCCCCGAGATGATAAAGAGGAAACTATATTGATACTAGTGTCCCATATGAAAGCACTGCAGAAAGATATTGAAGTCTGGAAGGATTGGGCAAATGAGAAGATTATGCAGGCTACTCGAAGGCTTAGTAAGGACCAGGTGGAACTGAAAATGTTGAGGCAAGAAAAAGAAGAGGCTGATAAATTTAAAAAGGAGATGCCGGCCTTGGAGGAAGGTTCCATGAAGCGACTTTCTGAGATGGAACATGCGATATCTAATGCTGCTGCGCAGATTGAGGCAGCTAATGCGAGTATTCACAGGCTTGAAGAGGAGAATAATGTGTTGAAATCCGAAGCAGAGGATGCAAGATTGCAGACATTAAGGGCCAGTGCAAACTTGACTGAAGCTGTACTCAAGGAGCAAGAAGCTCTGAAGAGGTGCCAGTTGGGAGACACAGAGAAGGTTTCTTTGCAGGAAGAATTAGCTACTTTAAAGCACCGTTTGGCAGAATTGCAACAACTACTTGAAAAGGCAGAATTACGCAAGAACCAGATAGAGGTATTCCTCCTACCACATTTGAAGAGTGAGATATTTTTATCTGTTTAAAGAAAGAAAACTCACCATTTTGCATTCCTTGAGTCTCTAACATGAAGAAATATGAAAGAATCAGTTCCTTTTGAATCATAATTGAGGCTGATATCTATTACTTTTGTTTCAAGATTTGAATAATGTTTAACAATATGTCAGAATTATGACTTGTGGTTTTGAAAACAAGGCTGGCATTAATTCTTGTTTAGAAGGTATTGCACTTGCCTGTCCATGATTGATACTGGCTAGCTGCATCTACCTTGTTAATTAACTAACTAGACTAGAAGAATGACCTGCTATGTTAGCATCTTTCTGACGTACATAGTGATGAATGCTATCATTTTCACTGAAAGTGCTTCCTGTCATTATAATTTCAATAATCCTTTTGTCTTTGAACTTCATTTTTTATTTTCTCGTACGCCTTTGAATTTCATTACTGTGAAGGTCTGTTCTCTCTTAGCATCTTGCAGTATACAGGCTTGGTATTTACTTTATCTCCTGTGCTCCGTTGTTCACTGTTATATTATTATCAGCCTCTACCTTTATGTCCTTTCTTGAAACCTGATTTATGCTTTTCTTTACTGGGTTTCGTATGTCCATTGACTTTGATTTCAAAATTTCAGGCCCTATGGAAGCAGGAAGACAAGGAAAGATTAAAATATCAGGGGCAAGCCGAGCTTTTGAGGAAGGAAACAGAACAAGTGAAAGCTCAGACCAAAGCAGATGAAGACACCATGAGAGAGACAGATGAAAGAAACTCAAGGCAATGTATGGAAGAGATTAAGAAGCTTGAGAGGGAAATCTCTGAACTGAGATTAGAGTCCGAGTCTTCACGCATTGCAGAGCTTTTAGGCAGTGTTGACATTAGCAACTACGGAAGTGGTGGCTTAGTTGGCAATAAAATGGCCCAGGGTTTTCAGGTGCCCCTTAAAGTTAACAAAAGATTGGCAGTCTTCCAGGACAATTTTGGGGCAGGGGGAAGTATAAGCCCAGACAGAGAATGTGTTATGTGTTTGACAGCGGAGATGTCTGTGGTTTTTGTCCCGTGTGCGCATCAGGTCCTTTGTGTAGAATGTAATGCCCTCCATGAAAAGCAAGGAATGCATGATTGCCCCTCATGCCGGACGCCTATCCAGAAGCGGATTGCAGTGAGATACATCAACAACCCTGAGCATCATCATCTTTGATGTTCAATAGCTGAAAGATAGGATCATTTTGAAGGAATGCATAATCAGTGAAGTCTGATGTGCATGCTTCCTTTTAACATTTTAAACTAGAAAGATGGGGACAGGTAGAAAAATCCCGAAAACAGATCAAAGAAAACTTTAGCAAAACCAAAGTTGTTAATAGTTGGAGTTTTGCCTTGTTTCAGGCTATTCTTATATTTTTGGCTGGATGTTTTTCTTGACATCCACCAATTTATGCATCTGTGTCAATCACAGTTGTGGCCTTTAAATTGCTGCTATTTTGTTTGATTCCTGAGCCGAGTCCGTATTTATTTAATCACTGAATTTAATTGTTTCGCTCCTATTTCAACTTCGTCTACTTCTTTAAATGTTCGATTTGTACTACGACAATGTTTGATTCGTACTACAAGCGAGAGGAAGTATTGCTTCACGTTATTAGTGATCAGCGTTCGTCGCGCATCACCTTATAAGTAATTTGATGTAATTATTTTGTTTTTCAGTTAAGTTGGTTTTGTTATTATTATTTTAGAAAATTTAAAATTAGAAAAATTCATTCAACATTGTGTTTGTAACTTTTGATGATTTTCTAGATTCTATGTATATAGAAAGGCCAAAACCACGTCATTTTAACCTCTGAATTTCTAATTAAACAAAAACTTGTTAAATTGTTTAAATGACATTTTATTCCTAATTAAAAAACCTAATGTCACACAGGACCAGTTTATTTTGCAGTAATCTATTATAGAAAATTTTATCACGGAATTTATTTTTTATTAAATTTTGAGACGAATGAATAACATAAACCAAAAGTTATTATGTGGTTTAAAAGGATTTTTCTTTAATGTAGCGCAAATTGGAAAATCTCTACTTCACGTTTCTAGAAAGATCTCTTGCTTTTTGCGTTATTTACTTTTTGAGTTTGTTCTTAGTTGTGCGTTGCGCGACCAGTTTATATTTGCACTGCACTGTAAATAAATTTTGATATTAATAATATTATGACATAATATAATGTTTATTAAATTTTGTGATGAATAATGGAATTTTTAATGATATTTTAATTTTTCTTTTGTTTTATTTTATGTGTTTCAAGTACCGTTTGGCATCGTGTAGTATTCAATTCAGTATAGTTTTTGAATCTTACATTGGAACAAGAACATTTTAAAATGTGAGAATACAGTTCATGATCTAGAAGAAAAGGCACAAAACTAATACAATTTTGTACAGTTCATGAGATACAATCTACAAAGTAAGGGGTGTACGTAGTTTTAATATGACAATCCTGAAAGTTTTAGTTATCAAAATTGTTTCTAAACATTAAAGAGATTGTGTAATCTGAATTGAAAAGAGATTTTGTAATCTGAATCAAGGTTACTTGAAAATTCTCTGATGCATTGCAAGTGATGAAAGTGGGCTTCATGCCTTTAACAAAGAAGCTTAAATGGAAGAATGCTTTTCATAGAAATTTGATTACAAGTGACTATAGTGAAAAGGTAGTAGTGTAGTACTACTATTACCTAGTTCTACCAACGTCCCGTAATTAGGGATTTAGAAATCTTTTTATCTTTAATCATATTTCTTTTGTTACGCTCCATAGTTTATGAATAATAAATATATAAACGTCTACAAACTAATAATAAATGGCTCAAAGTAATAGTATATTCTTACTGAAATATGACCTCAAAGTATACACATTTGAGCTGTTACTTTATTTCATCACAAAAAAAAAGAAGAAGAAAATCGAATTGAAATTGGCTAGGACAAGTGAATGTAAGGAAAATGGACCTTTCATCATGCTGAAGCCTTCATGTTTAAATCAAACAAAGATGATTCAACCTCAAATTATTGAGGCCCATAATCCAATAGTACTCAGTCCAAAGCCTGTAACTCTGTATAAGTAAAACTCTCGGTCCATTCACACAGATTGCAAAATTAAAGGACTTCCCCCACATTCAGTAATGAAGAAATTACAGCTGAACTCGATCAAGATCATGTCTGCTTTCATGCCCACAAACTCATTGATTTCCAACTTTCAAAAAATCTAGGTCAGAGTGAGCATAAGAATTAACTATTGAAGATACACTTATGAATTTATAATTAATGGAACATCACAGTAGAAAAAGAAGAGGAAGAGAAGCTTTTAAATGAGCAGCAATACTTAGTTGAATTTGCAGATTGATAAAATCAACAACTGCTGATGATATCTGTTACATTGTTATAGTATTTAAATAGGGATTCTTCCGAAAACAATTATGTGTGTGCTCTCAGAGAAAACAAAGCAAGAAACACTGCAAATCATATCAATCATTAGTGAAGGAAGGCTTGATATGAAACAATGATGACATGCAATTTATAAAGTCAGCTCCCCATAGCGATATAAAATCTAATCATTTCATGTTTTCAGAAGGTTGCCAACATGAGAGAGCATCGTGAACAATCCCCTTCCATCATTGCAGTAGCCAATTATTACATTCATCCAGCAAAAAACTCCTTATGACAGCCCATTTTGGTCTTCATTTTCAGTTCGCTCATGATCTCAGCATTCAACGACATTGGCCTAAATCCAGCCCCGGAATTCCTCACAATCTATTGCTTGTAACTATCAGGCCTCTCTATCTTTTCACTGCCTTCACAGGCCACCACATTCATCACTTCCCTTGCCGTCACTTCCTTCTCAAAGATCTTCTCGCTGCAATGTGGCCTCAAACATGTCGAATAATGAAGAAAAATGGTACATGGGGCATTGTAAGTTCCATTCAGGATGCCGTGTACAAAAACAGCTGGATTCAGGTGCCCGATCAGGTTTTGGACGAAATCCCGGTTGCCCTGAATTGTTGTTATAACTTCATCAGGGACATTTCTCATCTCGTACACACAATTTACAATTAAGGCTTCAATTCCATCCATGTCAATGATCAGATCATCTTAGTTATGGCTTCGCATCGCTTCGCGATCACGTGGAACCCAAAAGGAAGGTTAAATCGCTTCACGTAGTTTGCCAAGCGATGCCTTGTCTCCTCGATCCTCTCGACTGAATGAAATCCAGGCTGTGGGAGATCAATTCCAGTGATTTTGAGCTTAGGAGGGAAATTACAGGTAACAGACATGGCCACTGCAAACCATACAAAACACCAAAATAAATTATGTGAACTCTTGCCATATTGCCTATTGCTTTTGCAATACTCTTGTTAGCAAAAAATGTTGACATTCACTGAAACAGGCAGATCCATGAATAGGCCTGATAAGCCCTAAGTGTATCAAAAGCTGATGGTCTTTTACTTGTAAATAATGTGCACAAAGCTGTACCCATTCCTGTCATCCAAGCTTCCAGGGCATCCCCGAAATAATGAGTCAATCTTTCAGTTGGATCTCCATAAGATGAAGAATGTTGCCTGATTTTCTTCAACAATTCATTGGCTCCATATTTTTTGAGGTCAACAACTTTCCTGATATTCTACCGTTTTGAACCTGTTTTCGGCCTCCCTCTTCTTGCAGTCGTTGGTAGGACATATTCAGGCTTTTTAAGTCCCTCTTTCTCTGAAGAAAAGTCACCTTGCCCATCCCTTGATTCGACATAAAAATTAGGATTCCTGCCTGGACAAAGCAATGCATTTTCATATCCTTCCCTGCTTTATTCTTTATGATCAGTTTTCTCCTGATTACACCTTGCAAATTGCTTGCTACTCCTTCCATTTTCTTCACCTGGATCATCATCGTTGTTCGACTTGGATTGATGCAAATGATTTTCGCTCCTAATGAATGAACTTTTAATAAAAAAAAAAACTATCAGCAGCAGAGCATGAATCTATTTGAGTACAGCCAAGAGAATGACAAATCCCCAACTGGGCATCATCAACCCTTCTCCATAAGGATAGATGGATTACGTGTGGCAAAGGATGAAGGAAAGAAGGAGTTGGAACATAAAGAAAGTGCCAGAATGAATACATGCGATGAAATCACCAGAAAGATAAAGAGAGAGAGATATCAGATTATTAACTGGAAATTATGAGTTGATGAAGCAAATCTGCAAACATCTTTATCTTATAAGTATTTGGAATACAGATACAATCTGAAATTTGTAAAAGAGCACAAATGATAAAAAGTTGTAAAGAAAGGCATACATTAAATTAATGCTACAATCAATCAACCTCAAATGTTAAATGATAGACCAGGGACTGACCATTTTCTTAAACCAAAACCAACAAGCTCTTCTTCTCACCCCCAGCTGCAACTGAAATTGTCCAACATCACCCAGTAAGAATATAAACCATAAAACACTCGTCTATAATGAATAACATGCTGGCATCTAAGCTTTTCTGATTTTCTCATGATTTTATGTGATACTTTGTTGTATCAAATATAAATAGCAACACCAACACCAAAGCAGCTGGAGCAGGCCACATCAGTTGGTTGCTACCTTTTTGTGCTTGAGTATAGCTCTTGGAAGTGCATCTGAATCCTGGAGAGTAGCAAGAGACGATATGACACCCTTCAACTCCTTAGAATATACAGTACTTCAAAACCTGCAGGTGGAACACCATCAAAAGGAATCGGGTAAAATTAAAAACGAATCTTCTAGGCTTGCAGAGTAATTGCAAAAGTCATCTTTCACAGTACACCACACAGACTTTTGTAGCTACGCCTAAAGTTGCAGGCATAGAGAACGTAAATCTTCGAAATGGAAGTGCTCCAGAAAGCAAGAACTGGATTAAGAAAAACAATACACAATGGAAACCAGGGAGACGGTCAATGGTAATACACCACCTTTTGCACCAAGAATAAACACACACAAAAAGGTGAACAAGCCAGAACTAATGGACACTTTGTTAATTTCTGATATTCCATACATAGGTGAATGCAAATTTTGAATAATACATCAGTATAATACAACTTAGAGCTCGACATGAATAACTTGCAATCAATAAAAAAACCCCAACGCAGCACTCCTATCTAGTAAAGCTGAGTTTAGACAAATCAATGGTCAATCACAACAACTGCAAAAGCAATGATCAGTTCAAGCTCATAACTATATTGCCTCTCTCGTTAATTTTGAATATGACATTGTCCTAACATTTAGATTCAAGGAATCACTGTCATTATCAATAATTTTTATATATCATGTAAAACTAATCATATAGACGTTTAAGCCTCCTAATAAACAAGAATCAGATTTTATATTAAAAAGATCAGAACATTCTGATTCTGACTGCAGCACTACTCATTCATAGACATCAACAGACTACACAATGATATCTGATCCCATCAACAAACCTAATCTATACTACATCAAATAAGATTGTAAATTCTTTTTGCTATTTAGCCTAAAGTCAAAACAAGTTAACAATGGAATTCTAACGATGTGAGACTAAAAGACCACCAAAACCTTCGAAAATTGCGAAGCAGTGAGAGCCATGGCTTCGACCAGGGACAAAAACAATCTCTCTCTATTTTGCTGCTTCTTTGGTCCTCCTACGTTGTCCTTCTTCAGTCAGCAAGACGAGGTGCATCTAATCATAATTTGTGCAAATTAATCCAATGAATCATCAATACAATCTATTAAAAGGCAGAACCAAACAAGATGTAATGCGTCGCAAATTAATCCAAGTGGAAGTAGCACTTAAACATTGTGTAAAGGGGGATAAGGCTCAGCACGGACGGTGCAGTTCCAATCTGGAAACCCCCACCATGGCAGTGGATAAGGCTCAACACGGACGATGCAGTTTCCATCGCTTCAAGTGACGCAGCTGCAGGTGGTCTTCTCCGTAACCACGAAGGCCTATGGGTCTCAGGGTACACAGCGAAGTTAGGCTTCTGTTCTGTCTTGGAAGCAGAGTACTGGGGCTTTTTTTTTGGATTAAAGATCGCCTGGTAGCTTGGTTTTAGAAAGATCCAGTTGCAGCTTGACAATATCATGGCTGTCAATGCTCTAACGGAAGAGGACGCATCATTTGCCTCCAGAATGTCCTCTTGCGTATAAGAGCCCTCATTCATCGCCATTGGCAACTAGAAATTTCATATATCAAAAGGGAGGGTAATGAAGTTGCCGACTCTTTAGCAAAACTAGGTTTATCTAGTGCATCGGGGTTATATATTTTGTTGGCTCCCTGGATATAGCTTTAGCTATTTGACTATCCTCTGCCCCTCCCAGAGTGGTCTAGATATCTAATCTTTTTGTAAGCTAAGCGAAAGCTTCCCCGGTATATTAAAAAAAAAAGAGGGGGGGGGGTCTGGAGAAACATACAAAATCAAGAAACCTAAAAATATTACTAACCTGTATAAGTCGAGGCACGAAATTTAGTGCTAGCATATTCAAGGAAAACATAAGGATCTTGACTTGAAATCCATTCTGTGTCCTTCAATTTGGTATAACCCACAACTAAAAATCCATAACAGCCGTTAGGTTAAAAACTGAATGGTTAACATACCGGTGACTTTGAAGAGCTGATCGTGAATACCAAAAATCAATTTATAATATAATGTCTAAGTAAAGAATGATACATTTGACCCTAATTAAAAATATGATGTAATCATGACGCAAGTCTTATGTCAAGTGACGGCCGCCCGACCAATCAGATCGTAAGAAATTAATTGGCTAAGCATGACTTTTATATTAGCTTATTATAGATAACTACAAATCCTAAAGTGGATCATTTACTTCATGAAGGAAAAGAGGTAAAAATAAATAGATAAATCTTTGTGAAAAACCAGTTCTGGAAAATTAAGGCAAGTACTTGTACAAATTTGGAGTCTCTTTATCCCTTTCTAAATAGTCTCGAGTGATGAGATTTTCAATGGTTTTTTTGATGGCTTTGATATCAGGCTTGAACATTCGACTCAGTTGTTGAACACACTCCTGCACCAACTCCTGATGGCTCAAAACTTTCCTACTTTTCATTATTCTAACAAGTGATGCTTCGATGGTGGATTTTCTGTCTCTGCTTACCACTTCAACTACTTTTTTCCTTTGATCCATAGCAGGTAACGGAAACCGAATACGCCTCATTTTATCCGTGAACTTTGAGTTAAACTCAAACATATCCGTATGAGACACTCGTTTATTGTCTGAGGACTCCTTGTTCAGGATTTTGTACCTTGAGCACGAAAGGGATTGGAGCGCTCTGATTAGATCTTCATCTTCTAGCTTGAGTTGTGTCTTGATCTCGGAATAACTCAACTTGTCTGATTCATTGAAAAGCAAGAGGGCTGCAGCTTGATATGTTCCCAAAACCAGTTCAATAGTTCCTGCCTCAAAATGTCCATTCACATGGCAGGATCCTAATGAATAAATCCACTCTAATCTGCGAGACTTTGTCGTGTTTTGGTAGAATTCCTTGAAGGATTGGATACTCTTTGCCATTTCATCAGGGAGGCTAAGATCAGGGGACTTGTAATTAGGCCAAAATCCAGTAGTGAGAACCATAACATTCAAATCAATTCCAGGATCAGCTGCACTGGTTTTATTGTTCTCAGCGTAGGCCTGATATTGGCTGTGAATTTCCTTAGCCAATGGAATGTCCGTTATCATTCCCTCCATTTTAGAAGTAAAACTTCCACCAAATTCTTGCTTTAGCTTTGTTAAAATGAGCCTTTCATGATCATCATTGTCAGTTCTATCAAATATCAGCCGACGAGAGAGCTTCTTCCTGTAGAATGTCCTGAATGAGTTTGACGAGTTTCAAGACTTTATTTGAGATTAGGTCAATTGCTTCGTCGCTCAGTGCGTTACAGCCCTTCTTGAGCACATTGTCACAATACAACGCCAAGAGCTCTGCACTCGACTTACCACCACCAATCGTCTAGTTGAAAAACACTTCAAATGCCTCTCTGAATACCGTGCGAAACTGAATATCATTCGAGAACTACCAATCACATAACTCATGTACTTTTCATACATCTCCATAGACTTAACAATGAAACCTCTCTCATCCTCCTGGCGCGATCCACTCATCAAGTCGGTGCAATTCTTTCTCGCCTCCTCCTCAACTTGCTGCACCAAAACCATTCCTTCATTGATAATTTGCTGCTTAAACATGCTTAAAACCATATCCACACCTAGTTTAACTCTAATCAACAAGAGGCTGTACATCCTAGAAATGTCCTCAGCCTTTCCATCCCTAAGCAAAGCTCTGAATCCTGAAATTCTCATTCTCAATCACTTGAAGGCCATAAGTGATCAACAACTCATTCTCTACTCGATCCATCACTTTATTTTCAGAACTCGAGTGCAGATAATGAGACACCCGATCCTTCTCCTTTGTCAAAAACTCCTCTGCCTTTGACATATATTCCGGGGAAGAATCTTTAGAGATCCAGCTTGAAGCTTTGATAGAGTAATATTTAGTTGTTTCCTCAAGCATGTAACATTCAAAATCATTCACATAACAATCCATCTCTCCCAAGCCTAACTCAACGAACATGTAAATTGCATTCTTCAACAAAGCCATGTCAACTTGCGCACCTTCCCGTTCTTCATTAATCAAACTCACAGTCGCATTCCTAAACAGGTAAAAGTAATAATATATAATTTCCCATAAATTGTAGTAAGATATATATATATATATATATATATATATATATAAACTACTCCCTTCGTCCCCAAAAAAAAATACAGTATGTAAAATGTATTGAAAACGTAATAATATTTGGAATTTTTATTTTTAATTTTTAAAGGACTGAGGTAGTACAAATTAAAACAATTTCATTTCTTCAAGCTTGTAAGTGCAATATTGACAATTTTGTTTTCATAGTATATATGTAACTTTGTATACATGAACATAAACACCAAAGTGAAAGAAAATCATCCAAAATGTATATTTTGGACCGGAGTACGGATAAGTGCAGTCGTGCATTGTCCAAAATTATTATTAATCACATTTTCCTTCAATTAGGTATAATTCGTGAATTGTATTAGACCGTGAACTATTCAAGTGAGAGGGAGAGATTTTTTTATGAGTTGTAATAATTTGGTAAAATCTCGTTTATGGTCACGAGGCGGGACAAAAGAATGCACGAGTGTATGCATGGAACCAAGTAAAATTAAGATAGAAGAAGTTACATTATTAATTAATTAATTTACCTGAAATCACCTTTCATGACGTCGTAAATCAAGCCACGGAATCGGGCCAACCCGACATGATGAAGAGAATCCAACGCATTCCGATAGGTATAAAACCGGTCGACGTAATTAAAGAACCGGGAGACCCACTTAACCATGACCTTGTGGTTTTCCCACCGGAAAACCACTTCTCTAAGAAAAACCTCGTCTCCGCCGCCGTCGCGCTTCTGCTTCAACACCGCCAGCACTCGTTCGACGAGATAATAGTCGAAAAACTCTCGGTACTTGTCGTAGATTAGATCGTTGAGGTTGTTTGGGGCCAGCTGAGTTGACATGTTGTAGACCGTAGTGTAGAGTTTCATGTATTCCGACGAGGTGATGTGAAGATACTTCTTCTTTTTTTTCTTCTCCTTTAGATTGTGATTGGGTTCCAATATCCCTTTTAGTTTCTTTAGGGTTTTTCCCATGGATTTCCAGCCCTTCGCAAATTGTTTAAGCCTTTGGTTACGCTTCTTCGTCATATTCAAACTACGCGGCGGGCTGCGGGCGGCGGGCAGCGGAGGCGTATGGCTCTGCTGCGGACGATGATTTTATCTCGAAAAAAGAAGCTGATTACTGAAGTGTCTGAAACTATTTTTTTATATATATATGGATGGAAAATCTGTTAATCAAATTGTACATATTCACCTTATTTTATTATATATTAATAAATATTTTCAAAAGTAAACACAATTAGGTTCCATAGAGAAGAGGCAAAGTAGCAAAAAAAATTTCCATACGAGACAAGAAGAAAACTTGGGGAAAAAGTTATTAATATTAGTAGTATTATTTAGCAAGGAAAAATTCACTTTATATACCTTAAGAATTGGGGATTGTCAAATTATATATCTTAACAATTGCCCTCTCCAAATCATGAACTTCACGTTTCATAAAGTGCATTCTAGCTTCAATTTAACAGAATTGAGAGTGAATTAACGATAATGCCAATTATTGCCGTTAACCTTCATTTTTTAATACTATTTTCCAGCAAGATTTTGTTGACCAAACTATTACCCTAATAAAAAATTAAGTAAAAAATATTAAAAAAAGAAGACTTTTGACAAAGAAGACTATTACCCAAACTATTACCATAGGAGACAAAGAAGACTTTTCCTTTTTTTTTTTTACTTAATTTTGTTATTAAGGTAATAGTTTGTTCAACAAAGTCTTGCTAGAAAATATTAAAAAAATGAAGGTTGACGGCAATAATGGGCATCACCGTTAATTCACTCTTAATTCTGTTAAATTCACTCTTAATTATGTTAGATTGGAGCTAGAATGTACTTTATGAAACATAAGGTACATAATTAAAGTTGACGGCAATAATGGGCATCACCGTTAATTCACTCATAATTCTGTTAAATTGGAGCTAGAATGCACTTTATAAAACGTAAGGTACATGATTTGGAGAGAGCAATTATTAGGGTATGTAATTTGGCAATCCCCATATGTTCCGAGAACACAATCTACTCCAACTAGCTAGGGTTTAATACCTAAAGGTGATTCATTTGATCATTGTAAACCTTTCAAAACAGTTATAATTATCAACGAACCCAAATAATTCGTTGCAAAATTGGTCTCTTTATACATGTGTTTAACCTTTATTATCACTAATCATGTACCCCAAACTCCAAGTGATGATTCGGAAGTAAACATTGTCGCTACACCACCCTAAGTCCCTAACTATCAATTTTAGCCATCATCTATTGATAATCATAATTCCATACTAAGTGCACGCCTTTAAATAACTCCCACAATAATTTTGACCCCCATAATTGTGTAAAACTATATATTTATCACAGTCGACCTACACTTCTATCTACCATAACAATCCCCAATCAAGCCCACAGCGGCAGTCATTCCATCTGTCTTATTAAATGAGTTATTATCTCATGAGTTCATCTTGTTCCACTCAGTCGAAAGAGGGAGCCAAAATTAAATCACAATAATTGTAGAAGAAAATTGGTATTTATTTAGAAAAAATAAAAGTAGAGAATGAACTAATGGAGTGAAGGATTACATTTCTATTTCCTTGAATGAATAAAATACATTAGATGTCTTTTTATAGACCAAGTTTACAAATATGATAATCATGTAAATTAACTATATTTTATTTAAGTGATAAATATAAATAGTTGATCACTACAAGTGACCAACAAGATTAAAACTAATCTAAAACTTTTATCTCTTTTATACTTTATCTTTTAACAATTGTAAGACAAGTGTTTTAACAACAACACAAAAAAAGAAACAAACAAGCAAAAAAGGAAAAAAAAAATAAAAATAAAAATAACCATCTGGAGACCAAACTGCACCACCGTCGGACTCCATCCCGCACCGTGCGACGAGCAATCTGGCATTGGTGGTAATGTTTGGTAATTTTAATATAAGTATTAATTTACTGACTTTCGAAACTTTAAACGAAAATGTAAACAAATTATTTTGAGTATATAAATCCTATAAGCCTTAATTAAAACATTTTGTAATTTCGTTTAAACCCCAATGGTGTGTTTGAGTTATGGTTTTAGTTGCACTAGTTTAGTTCAACAGATACTACTATAATTATTATTTTAGCACAGAAGACATTTGTCCTTCTTTATCCAGTTTATACCAAATCAAAAAGAGTGATGAAATGGTGTAGCCGCTTATTTTTATTATTAGTTAGATATAAAAAGTCCACCACACAACATCAGTCGATATGTCCGAGTGGTTAAGGAGACAGACTTGAAATCTGTTGGGCTTCGCCCGCGCAGGTTCGATCCCTGCTGTCGACGTTTCAATTTTTTTCGTTTTTGCTAAGATTTTTCCTGTTTTGTTTTTTACTTTTTAATATTTTACTACTCCCTCCGTTTCAAAATAAGTGTCATTGTAGAGTTTGTATAAAAAAAATTTAAGTGTCATTGTAGAGTTTGTATAAAAAAAATTTTAACAAAAAAATGCATTAAAATCCCAAAACGACACTTACTTTGGAATTTCTTTATTTTTATTAAAAAGATACTTATTTTTGGAATGGAGGGAGTATTATTATTATTTTTTTTTTGCAATGATTCGTTCTTTTTATTGTAAAAGAGGTGTCTTCTCGATCCCAATTGGGATTTCATATTAAACATTCAGAGTTACTGCACTTTTTTCGATTAAACATTTCCATTACAACATTCATGACTAGTTACTGACCGGGAAGAAAGTGGTATGGTTGATTTATTTTATATTTTCTCGTGAAAAAAATAGATAAATAAACAGTAGTATAAAAGAAAAGGTTGTGTATAAATTTGCAGGTGTTTTTTTTTTTAATTAACAGGCATTATTAACAACATAATTGTCTTTGTAATTAATATTTTGCAGCCATGAGTTCATGAGTAGTTAAGACGAACGAATCACATCGACGATTTAATGTAATGTCCTACTAGTAATCACAAAGAAAATTCCGGACATTAATCAAATGAATGGAATACCAGTACATTATGGACGTACCAATAATTAATGCTGCACATCTCTCTGTTTGAAGCCTAACATGAATGATTTAGGGAAATTGATCCATTCTGTATTGCGTTTTCAATGCCATTACCGAATTGGGATGTGAGAAGACATCATTTATCATTTATAGTGGTCCCCCGTTAAAATTAAACGTACCTCAATTTATATCTTTGATGTACAATTCCCAAATCAATATATTATGAAACTACTCAATGCGTTACACATGCGCTTAATTAGTTGCTTGGTTGCATGAAACTTCAATATATAGTATCATTTTGATATGGAGAAAATATATTTACTTAATCTTTTCGTGGATGCAAACATCAGAAGCTAAAAATGTTACGACAAACTGTTGTGGGATTTTTTTAATTTATGAATGTGTAAATACTATTCGAAGCCTATAAAATTAATCACTTAGGGCGCTAGTGGACACTAAAACCTTATGACTCTTTTATTACATTCAGGTTTTTCAGCTTTTCGCCCATCTTAATTAATTTCTGTTATAAAATTAACCTCTACAAACTACAATTTTTTTAGCCTCTTTTACATGTTAGAATAAATCCATAAACCGCCGAGACCTTCACGTCAGATTATCGAGAACTGTACGAAAGCGAAAGCGTACCTTAATCTGTAGTAGGAAGAACATTGATCCTGTTTGGTTTTCCATATGATTTCATCAAGCACTTACGGGAACCTCTAACATATGGGAAGTAGAGATTTGGTATGACGGCTCATCCGAGGACCACAACCAATATATAATAGGGTTTTCGATTCCACGCATCACAGAACCGAAAACTAGGCTTTAGCGTTTTTACACAATACTGGACCACACCTTAACTTAATTACTATTAACCCAAATTTTAACTTAATTATATCACTTTATGTGTGCTAATATTTTATAATATCCTGTAATATATAATTGTATATTTCATGTAAAGTCTACATAGATCTTACATTATACTCCATCACTTACTACTCTAGTATCATAATTAATGTAGTAAGTAGATATGAATAATTGAAAAGATTCACCAAATGGCTTATCATGCAAAACGATTATTAGCTGTAAGAAAGAAAAAAAAAAAAAAACCCAAAAAAATAAAACCCTCTGATTATAGAGACAGATAGGTTCTCCTGTCTCCGGTCCCCCAATTTGATTTAGTAAATCTTAGGCCACACATGTAACCTCACCCCACATTATTATATTCCTCAATTTTGTCACTATTTTAAACCAATGAATGAATTAACAACAAACAGACGACAATTTGGTTATGAGAGTTAGTAGAATCATCAATAATCATAGTATCTAAGTTGTACTAATTTTAATATTGTAAATAGTACGATCACCATTGCAGTCTTATTCTATTCTGAATTAGTAACGTAAGTATATGAAATTACAAGTGAAGAATGTCCCTAATTGGTTAGATGACAACACTGAAATTGGAAGAGGAATCTATGACACCCAGATTCGACGCATGAAATGGTGTAGATTTGAGTAGAGCTGTCAAATGTCATCTACTCTCATTTGTATCTTTGTTATATGTATTCAGTTGGATTCTTCCTTTAGCTTTAGAAAGCAAAAAGAACTTTTATCACCAGGGAGAGGTTGAAGATGCTTCAATGCATGCAGGTTGGAGTCCAAAGGAAATTCGAACTCTCGGCTTTTGAAATGAACACAGAAATTGTGTTAACTCCGTCTATTAAAAAAAGTAGAGGGAGTTAGTATATGCAACGTGAGTCATTATTCTTTTTCTTATTTGTTTTCACTAAATATATCATTTTTTTATTAAAAAAAAATACTCCCTCCGTCTCATAATTATTGTTTTGTTTGGGTTTTTATTTTTAGTTTTAATTCAAATTTGAACTAAAAATGAAAACTCAAACAACTAAAAATGAAAATGCAAACAGGACAATAATAACCAAATAGGACAATAATATTTGAACTAAAAATGAAAACCCAAACAGGACAATAATTATGGGACTGAGGGAATAGTACATATTGAGTTTTCAAATTTATGCTAAAAATATTATAAATCTCTAAATTTGACGTGGACTATTTTTGTTTTTTGGACAAAAGTAGTACTATTTTGACCTCCTAAAAAGATAAAAAGTAGAAAGGTCTTACTTATGATCTAGCGTCTAATTGATGTGGTGTTAATAATTTCTTCAAGTTTTGGTTAATTCCGTCGTGTTTCTTGACTTGCTGTGAATTACGAAATTACCCAAAATCAGGTCATGATAGAGAGCGATTGATTTCAACATCTGATCGATCAAAATGATTTATTCGTCCCTTTTCAATTGCTTTCACCCATTTTCAGTCCAAATCGCAGTTACGGAATCAAATGGAATTATATCCCTGAGATCTTAGGTGCTCTCCGATCTACATGGTCAACTTGCTTTTTTTTAAAAAAAAGAAAAAAATGTTAATCCTCTCGTTGAATAAAACAAAATTAATTAGCAGATGATAATGACTAATTAACTGCTATTACCAATAATAACCTAGCCAGTTAGTGGACTAATTATGTTAAAATAACACGAGACGTACTGTTCGGTATTTGATTTTTCTCGAATCCCTTCAAATTTGCCGTTTGATTTTTGATTTTATTTTTTAAACTATGTACATCTTCTTATCTTTTAAGAGTGGGCTGCTGGCTAGGTACAACGTAATTAGTACGACTTTGAATTATGTTTTTAAACTTTTTACCTTTGTATGGAGCACCCCAAATTACGTGTATATGTGTGTGTGCGTGCTTGATGATCCATGCATTACTCTAGAGTTGTTTGTTTTACTAAAAGTTGTGGGACAAATCAGGCACCTAAAATATATAGCGAAGTCCAATTATTCAATTAGTATTGGTAGGAATTACCATAATTATACGTATCTCACTTATAATATAAGTGTTGGTCACAACACGGGACATGTATTATACGTTATTATGGTATTTATTCTGATACAAAAAAAAAAAAAAGAGAGCAGAAATTTAAAAATGAAAAAATTAGTATGAGAGTTCAAACATGAGGCTGACCCCAACTATACTGATTCGTGTTGCGACTTGCGAACTTGCGATCACCGGATGTTTGGATTTGGTGTGTTGAATGGTATGCAATCTTAGGTATTGTTCATTTTGCAATTTGATAGTGTGAGAAGCAATGTAATAGTAATCAACAGGAATTAAATCGTGATTGGAATATAACGTGTTAGTATATTTTTTTAATCGGAAAGTGTTAATTTAAAAGGTTTAGGTCTCTTCTTTGTACCAAGAAAATTGCAACCTAATTATCTCTCTTAACTTGATCAATATTAAAAAAAAAAAAAAAGAAAAGAAAACAATCTAGAAACTTAGAGCAGGTATTTGAACCACAAAAACATGCACAAAGAGAAATCACTTTCTTAAGTCAAAATCATGATGGTCCAATCATATTTATGCAGAATGATAAATTAATTGCTGAGACACAAAATCAGGATCCGCGTGTTTGGTTGGACCTCTCTTAGATAATGACAATAATTAACAACATAAAAAGGCCCTAATCAAAAAACTACTGCTCCTCATCGGAGCTTTGTGCGCCGGGTTCTCTGTGACGTGGCGTTCCGAGCAAGATTGCCAATATATACAATACACCCCAAAAATTATAACTTAGCCTTACGCCAAGCTTTTGGAGTGCACCATATATTTGTGCCCGTTGATCAGATTTAATCACATTCGTCAACCAAATGTGATGAGTTTCGGGAGGCGAATTTCGTCGCAGATTGTCTTGTATTGTTAGCGGCTTCAAGCCCGGGAAGCTATCATAGATTGGAGGATTTACCAAATGTGGTGAAACCTTGACTCATGCATAATGTAATGGGTATATTTTACCCAAGAAATATTGTAATAATCAGTATTAGGCTTCAGCCTCCTTGTTTGCACCAAAAAAAAATAATTATCTTGTTTAAATTTTCACTTAATATAGTAACTTATAATTGAAAACACTGGATTGAGGGTTTGCATTTAAAACTGAACAAAATTAATACATATTATTACTTGTTTATAGTCGACATGACAATGATTTTGAAACAGAATAACTGTTAAAGCATATATGCATATATGCATTTTCTACTTCACCCTTTGAAGACAGACTTGTTAAGAAATGGTGAGAATGTCCTACACGTTGTCATTAATAAATGTGTCATTTCTAATATAACCACAGTTTCTCGTACAAACGGCCACTCAAAACATCAAATGGGGCAGTTAAGCTCCCTTCCAACCTGCCTATATTTATTTTGCAGTTTGGCTTTTCAAATATTTCGAACAGAACAGAAGCTTGAAATGATCGGATTTAATGAGGTATATATATATATATATATATATATATATATATATATATATATCTTTAAGGATATGATAGGTGTCTCCTGCCTTTGTCTGACCTGTAAATTTTTTTGAACGCATCTCAGGGAAAAAGAGGATAACATATTTTTATCCAAAACACATTAGAATATTTTTAAAGAAAGTAAAATGCACTAATAAAGCTACACAAAAAGATCGTGTTCTAACAAACTGGCCTTTATTTTCCGGGTCACATGACCCTCTCTTCCAATTTTTTATTTTATATAAATTTTGTTGCCGGAATCAAATATTTGCGATGAAATTAAGGATTCAAATTAACCCAACGAAAAAAAAAGAAAAGAAAAAAAGATGAAGAAGAGGTATTCCAATAATATTTGACTGTCGAGTAATTAATTCCTCCATGAACATTTAGTCAACAGGAAGCTAACGAGTAACGACTACTATAGACTCAATCGTTATAATAAAACTGAGCGAAACAGCTAATTATTAGTCCATTGATTTTTCTACTTCATCGTACCATTAAGTTTCATTCGCTTCGTTGACTTAATTAAGATCACCGGTTACATGTATACACGTATTGAATGTTAGTAAAGTTAGGGAAAAATCTAATATGCGACCGTTATATCTATAAAAATATTACTTCTTCTGTCACAAAATTAGAGATTTCATTTTTAGTACATTTTAAATTAAAAATGAAAACTCAAACTGGACAATAATTACGGAACGGAAGGAGTACCACCAATTAGTAGAAATAAATATGTATATCTTTACCCCCAAAAAATTACTATAACTTTACCTTCTTTTTCCTTTTTTTTTTTTTTTTTGGCTCACAGTCACAATATATAGTTCGACCAAAATCATAAGAACTTTAAATGTGCTGAACCAAAAGCTTTGAATTGTTAAATATAGATACCAAGAAAGTAACAAAAAAAACCTAAAAGATAATGGAAGGGGGGATTAAAATGAAGCATTTATCTCTCCAAACAAAATAGTACACATACTACAAAGCAAAAAGAAAAGAAAACTTTTTTGCACAAAACAAAAAAATAAAGGAGAAAGGAAACCAATTTTTTTTTTTTAAAAAAAAATGACTATTGACCTTTTTAGAATAAAACATGAGTAAGCTTGTTCATACGTATTTCATGGCCAAGTAGTAGTAGCCACTAACCCTTACATCAGCATGGACCGTATGTAAAAGTATAATTAATCACGAAATGTAGGATTTTCCTAAGAATAAAATATTGTTCCTATGTCACACAACTACTAACTTGTACTAGTAATTAATTAATAATTGTTGGTTTTTTGATAGTTACTGATAATAAAAGTGTAAAGGAGACACACACCAGAGGAAACAGCTTATTATAGCCCATTTCCAAGAAAGAGTCCTTCCTGCACTCTACCATAAACCCATTTTTAATCCCCCCAAATAAATAGATAGTATAGTAATACTAATAGATAGGAAGAAGCCAGAGATTCAAGTTACAAATTACAAATTTCAAACATTTTTTTTTTGTTTTCGGGTTTTGATTTCGCATTTTCATGCCATTCTACAAGAAGCTTAAGAAGAAGAAGAATTAGTGGGTTCGGGTTTTTCGATCTTCTTCTTCTTCATTTCAGTTCTGTTTTTCCGGCACGAAAAAAAAATGCTGCAAACACTGAATCAAAGGCTGAAACGGCTGTGTTTGAAGCTGGGATTGTCGCCGGCACACCACCGCCGGCCGAAGCAAAAAGTTGTGATTAAGAAACTGGAAAAATCCAACACAAGAACCCGGTATCATCAAAACGAAGCAAAAGAAGTTTCTCCTTCTTCTTCTTCCTCCGCCGTGATTCATCCCAGCACTGAATTTAATAATAATAATAATAATAATAATGGCGGGTCAGCGTCGGAAAAGCCAATCCGGGTTGCGACATTTAATGCTGCCCTGTTCTCCATGGCACCCGCGGTTCCCAAGACGATGCTTCATCACCAAAACAACAACTCATCATCATCAACCTCCTCAAGTTTCGATTTCGATGACAACGAAGCAGATAATTTCAATTTCTCCAGCCCCAGAAGAATTGATCTGAGAACAAAATCAATGTCAATTGATCGTGTTCCTAAAAGTATACTCAAGCAATCTCCCCTGCATTCCAGTTCCATGAGAGAAGAGCCTCTGACCAAGCAACAGAAATTCGCCAGATCAAAATTGCGGGTTTCGATCAATCTCCCGGATAATGAAATTTCGTTGCGCCGGAGTGGGGCGTCGAAATCCGGCGACGACGATAAGGAGAACAGAGCGGTCAAAGGGAAGGGTCCGATCAAGTCAACGATGAGCATGCCTAATTACCAGAGTCACGGCAACGTTCACGGAGTCGTTGAGGGTCAAAGCTGTTATAGGAGTACGAAAACGGTTCTTGAAGTTTTGATGGAGTTGAATGCTGACGTGTTGGCGTTGCAAGACGTGAAAGCAGAGGAAGAGAAAGGTATGAAGCCGTTGTCGGATTTGGCGGAGGCTTTGGGGATGAATTACGTGTTCGCCGAGAGTTGGGCGCCGGAATACGGTAATGCCATTTTGTCCCGGTGGCCGATTAAGAAGTGGAAGTCCCAAAAGATTTTTGATGACACTGATTTCAGGTATGTAGTAGATATTCTGATTGCCATATCTTAATTTGTTCATTTGATACAATTACGTGTTATTTTTAAATTAAGTTCGATTTGGTCACACAAATTGACCCTCCTGCCAAAATGGGGTCCAAGTTTTGAGGTAATTCTACTTCATACTCAAATTAGCATCTTGAAGAAGAACACTAGAGAGTAGAGAGATTCCTTCATGTTTAATTGCTGAAGGCTTAAGACTAGTGGCTTATTAGAGGGAGGTTTAGTTATGGAGGTTGTTATGACGTCAGTACATAGAAAACAGGGGAAAGGCTGTCTGAAAATGCGTAGTTTAATGGTTAGGCCAACCAACTTTGGATTGTAGTTTGCGCCAGGATGCGTTTGTCAAGATTGGAAACACTCCCAGCTGTATGTCTTAAGTTTGCCTGGAGAACCTTTTGACTCCTAACTCTCTGACTCAGATTATCTTAATCACACTAGTAGTAGTATCATTTTTCATCAATTTCTCTGGTCAACCCCACAGCCAAGCTCCAAAATCCGTGTCCACTCCAAAATATCCCACTCGGAATATGTTCTCATAGTCTCTAGACTCTCTACTCCATAAAATACACAGTACTCTTTCCGTCTGCAAAAGATAATCAGGATAAGTCTTATTTTGGGACGGAAAGAATATGTAATTTATTGTATCTAATTATTCCTCCCAACAATTTTGTCTTGGAAAAGGTCAAAAGATCATTGATTGCAAAAATCCAAAGCATTAACTTCTGAAAAAACAACTGTAAAGAGTTTCAGCAAACGTGACTTTGATCTGTACTACATTGTTTATGTCATACATTACGTAGCCATTTAATTTCAGTAATAAAAGTTTGGTAGTAGTAGTTTTACAAAAGGACCATATTTGACCGCAAAAACATGAAATAGGAAATGTGAAAAAAAAGAAAAAATCAATTCAGATCCTATGTCATACTCTGACTACTTTGCATAGTTTGTGTTTGATTTGTTTAAAAATGAACTGAAATTGGATGCAGAAACGTGCTAAAGGCCACGATCGATGTTCCAGAAGTTGGAGAATTCGAATTCTACTGCACCCATTTGGATCATCTAGACGAAAACTGGCGGATGAAGCAGATTAATGCAATCATTCAATCTACTGACACTCCTCACATTTTAGCGGGAGGTATCAATTCACTCGAGGAAACCGACTACTCTTCAGAAAGATGGACCGACATCGTCAAGGTAACGAACGTTATTGAATAAATGTCACGTCAGTCACTGTGAATAGTGAATACATATCGTTTTTCTCTTTTGTCTCCATGGTGTGGCCCTTGGGAACATTCTGAAATGACCAAATTGATTGATGAATCAGTAACCTTTCTTAAATGCAGTACTATGAAGAGATTGGTAAACCCATACCTAAAGCTGAGGTGATGAAGTACCTCAAGAGCAAACAATACACAGATGCTAAGGATTTTGCCGGAGAATGCGAGTCTGTCGTCATGATTGCCAAAGGACAAAGTACGTATAAACTACACCACCTCCAATCCCTAAGTTCAAATTTTCATGTACTAATCGATTGAATTCCCAAAAGCTACATTCTCAAGTATTGTGCAAAATATGGTGTTTTCAGGTGTGCAGGGGACATGCAAGTATGGAACCCGGGTGGATTACATACTATCTTCCCCAAATTCTCCATACAAATTCGTGCCGGGATCATACTCAGTCTTTTCATCCAAAGGGACTTCTGATCATCACATTGTGAAAGTTGACGTGATCAAAGTTGTAAATACCATCCCAGCTGATGAAAACCAGGCCTATCTCCACAATAAAAAGGGTCGACATTCATCAAGTAAAAGACTTGTCAAAATCACACATAATTCGTCTCCAGCTAAGGGTATATGGAAAAGTACACAGTCAGAACCCATTTGGTAAAAAGAAAAAAAAAATGATGACTTTGGTTGGTTATTAATCTTCTGTTCTGGGATTTTCATGAAAGAGGGGGAAACCAGGTTAATATTGAGGTTTTCTTCATCTTTTTGCTTAAAATGGTAGCGGAATGCACGTTTTACTGTAGGCTCACGTATACAGAGTTACTTCGTGTAAATTCGGCATCTTTCTTGTAACTTTTTAGGTTTCCTGGAATAGAAAATTACTTGTGCTTATGTTTTGCTTTCTGAAGTTTTGTTTTAGATTTTGGTATTGTTCATTGCAACTTACAGATTGCTGTGCGCTTAATCTAGTTTAGACAGATGGTGGTATATAAAGAATAAGATGTCCAATGATTCAGAATGAGAATATCAATAAAATGCTTCATAGTTTCGCTAAGTTACAGAACGAATTTGTAGACAAGGGAACCAACAGATGTACCAATCTCAGGACCTAGATAGAACATGCGAATCCTATTTTCCCTGATTCGCCTCAGCATTCTCAGTGCGAAGAGCTAATCGCAGATTGAATTTGTTCCAATGTTCTACCTTTGGTTTCGGGTACTACGAAGATCACAAAGAAGATTGCCAGCACGTAAACTGCAGCATACAGCATGAAAGTTCCTACAATACATTGACAAAATGGACATACAGTTCTCAGAATAAACAAATGAAGAGTGGTAACTAGACAGATGTTGACATTGTTGTAATTGCTCACCAAAAGAGCTCCAAACCATGAGATAATTGAATGTGTAGGAACACGCCCATGCTCCAAACCAGTTCACCAGCGTTGCAAGACTTCCAGCTACTCCTTTGATATTTATTGGGAATATCTTTCACAAAGAAGGGGAAAAGGGCCCAATAGTCAGCTCAAATGAATGGGGAGATGATGCATACTAAATAACGGATTTACCTCTGACATCACCACCCATGGCACCGCTCCCATTCCTGCTGAAAAGGCCCCAATATAGACCTGATTTCATGAAGGAGTTAGTCCACTAATAAGATGGTAAGTTAAATAATAAAAATACAAAGGATCTCCTGTATACAATATGATACATAGTGTTACACCAGAAGTGTTACGCTGGATTCAAACATCTTTAGATTTAATCATGATTAGAACGAGAGATGTTACCAGAATTCCAGTTACTGCAAGTACTGGTACCGCATTTTGTGCTATTCCATGATCCTGTCAAGAACATGATTACCTTTGCATCAGAAGTTAAGAATAAAAAAGTAATCACAACGATGGTAAAGTACTAAGGAACCCAGACAATTCACCTTGAAATAGAATGAGATCGCGGTTAATACACAGCCAGTGATCAGGCCTACTGAAGAGACCTAGAATGACATATTTTAGTCGGTTTGATCTCAATAAATAGAAGTTCGTATGTAATAGCTAGATTGATTAAATTAAGGGCAAAAGTTAACTTTTTACCAATAAAAGAGGTTTCCTTCCAGCTCTGTCTATCAAAGATGCTCCCATTGCTGTGATAATGATCTAATAAATCAACAAAACGAAGATTCAGACAAAAAATTGCCTATATGTACAACCTATGTCTCAGTTCTGCATCACAAAAAGAGGGTAGGAGACGGAAACCTGAAGAATGGCGTAAATTATTGTTCCAAGAGCAGGGTCGAATCCTATGCATAAGAAGAAAATCAGTAAACAAATTCCATCTTTGTCTAAATTATGGAAAAAAAATGGTAGTTGATGCAACTAAGTAGATGAAATTGTGCAGGAAATTTGATGCGATACATGGACCGTGATGGAGAGAAATGGACTTTTACCTGCTGACTCAAAAATACTGCTGGTGTAAAAGCAGACTCCATTGATTCCTCCAAATTGTTGAATAACCATGAGCCCAACTCCTATCTGATAATCCAAATTTGCTTAAAAAATGTAAAATAAAAAAAAAAAAGATAAACCAACTTCATCCGGGTGAAGATTAGGACATATAGAGTAGCTTACAGTAACTGAAGGCAAATATCTTCTTTGAAACAAATCAACCACTGTAGCCTGTGGGAGCCGCTGAAGTGTTTCTATGTAATCCTGCCAGAGCATTCCACATAAATCAGAAGGGCCATTAGTTTCTGCATTCAAGAGTTTTGCAGAAGTTTCCAAATGCTAAAGAAAAGAGAAAGAAACAAACTTGAATTTCAGCAGATTCTGCAGATATGTCAGCATTGCTACCGCGAAGTCTTTGTAGAGCTACTTCGAATTCTTTTTGTCGTCCTGTTTTAGCCTGTAGGATACTCATGTGTTAATCACTCATTGATCATCTCACTGTGATGATCATATAAACATATATCTTATGTCATTCTGCCTCGGTCACTTTATTTCTACTACGATAATTTGAAAGAATAGTAACAGTCAAATTCAAGCATCTTACTAGCCATCTTGGAGATTCTGGAATCATGAGTAGGCCAAGGAACAGAACAGCGCATGGTACGAGTGCTGCAAGTTGAACACATTTGGATGAAGAAGAGATCATATATTATCAGGGCCATATTTAGTTAAAAAATAGAAGACCATTTACCTATTATTGACAATGTTCTCCATGTTACCAACGTCCCAATGATGAAGGAAACTGAAACCCCGGTGCATATCATGAGCTGTAAAATCAGAAATTGTCAACAAGGCATCTGCTCCAAGGATTTTAGCCACTGAACAAACTGATTTGACCTAATTTTGTACCTCTGTTGCAAGATATTACTTCATACCTGATTCAAGGTGGTCAAAGCACCCCTTAATTCTTTGGGTGCGATTTCAGCGATGAAGATAGGTGCCTATCCATCATCAGGAGACTATCAAGACATTTTGAAAAGGTCATTTCAGCCATGAGAATTGATGAAGAAGTTAATGTTTACCACATATGAAAAGACTCCCATTCCATAGCCTGTTGCCAGTCTTCCAATATCCAGAGACAGAACACCCTGTATCAATCCAGTCAAATATCAATTACTGTTTCTTATCTGCACTAGACCTTTGGTGATTCAGCACCTCCAAGTTGTCGTAATAGATATACAAACGAAGCACATTATTTGTCGATTTGGTGCAAGATTGCATCGTTCTAATAACATTTGTAATAAAGGATGTTATCTCAGTGTTACCTTGGCAAAGTAAATGGCGAGCCATCCTCCCACACACACAACGCTTGCGACTCTCATTGCCTAAATCACATTTGACAGCATCATTTACTGATTACCAAACAGCAAAGACAGTATAAGAAATCAGATCAGTCAATCTTGCTTACCCCTTTCCGGCCGATGAAATCAGCAATTGGACCACTTGTAATCGCGCCAATCATTGCACCAAAGGTCAATAGTGAACCAAACAATGAGTACTGCAATGCAAAACAAGAAGAACGTACAAAATTTTGATTAAATCGGCATACTAAGCCATAGTACTTATATGCTAATGAGTTCAATCTGTCCAACAAACTCGCGCTTTTGTAATAGAAAACTCAAAAAGAAAGTTCATACTTCTAAAGAAGAATGGCACTGAGACAGCATACATCATACTCTTTACAGCAATTTCTTTCAACTATTTATAGAGTTCATCCTTTTCTATGCTGATGGATAACCTGTTATTCAATCTCATAACAAGTAAATAGTATGTTTGTGATATTACTAGCACTAGTTACGATTTGCCCTGAAGAAAATCAGAAAACGTAATCCAAGTGATTTAACAAACCTCTGGGATGGAAAGATTCAGATCATCCCTGATGGCAGATTGGGTAGGTGATGAATATCCCGCCTGCAAAAAGTTTTGGTTTACCAAATGGATTAAAAATTATGGAACAAATCAAAGCTAGTTTTCTGAAAATATGAACAGATAATAAGAGTGACACTTACACAGCAGCCAAATTCATAAGAACCACAAACAGCAACAAAAGTACTGAAGTAAACCATCCATCTTTCATCCTTGGAAACCTTCTTGGCTTGTTCTTCATCACCGTATCCATCATTGTTGGCCGTTGAAATAAGGGGTTCTTTGTTCTCCATATTTGTGATTCCTGGCTATTCGGAGACGTTCCCGTTTCCAGGAATTCCTGGTGACTACAGGGTGTAATTGGGTTTTGTTTTACCAAACAATGCTCATATTTCTTACTATAAACGTGTCATTTTCAAAGGAAAAATAAAAAATAAAAAAATCAGGGATGGATCTTATCTGGAGAATTGAAATTTTGGGACTCTTAATATGTAGAGTATTTAATAGCTAAACAATGATATTTTCATTAATTAGATACCATAATTGTATGATAAATCATGTGAGTGATGTCGACCCTTGTAAGAAAAACATAATTGTGTGCTTCTAATGTTGTTGTAAATTTTAATGAATGTGATCTGTAAGTTTCATCTTTTTGTGCATGCAAAGATTATGTATCGAATTCGTCGTTTCACCGAATTCTTTTTCTTTCTTTTTTTTTTTCTTGTTTTCTCAGAGCATTTTACGGAATGACTTACTCTTACTGGAAAGAATAGACGTATGGAAGAGAACAGCCGCCTACAAACCATTCCTCCGTATTTGGTCCATATACATTTTTTCAGCTAGCTAGATCTTGACTACTAATAAATCGTACGTTGTCGTGGAAGTATACTGTGAATGGGTGTCGTACCAAATTGTCATGATTATTTAGGATCGATAGTGTTCGGTATTCAACAATTGCGTTACAAAACGTTGAATGGCCGTCTTATACTTTCTCCGTCCCAAACTAAAAGTTAAATCTCAAATTAGACAGTAATTCCCTAAGTTTAAGCATTGGCTCATCACTTTCACGAGGTAAATCATGGCAAAAGAACAGCTCCCGAGTTTTCTGCTTTAAATATCAGGAATAAGATTGAAATTAGATCTACAATCTGTACTTGTATGGCATCTCTATGAGTATGCAAGATGAAGAGCAAATCAACAAATCAATAGTGATGGATTTGGCTTCATTCGGACCCTGGACTGCCATTGGCTCGTTACTACTGGGGAATCAGTTTGTATTCTAGTCAATTTGCATGTGACAATTTTTGTCTGGTAATATCTCTGGATCCATGTCTCCCTTGATATCTTTTCTTTTATATTTGGATTTGGATATTGAATTGAACATCGTTTCTGTTTGTAGGACCCCATAAGTGAGGAAAAGCAAATTGGATTCTGATGCTGTTCTTGGCCAATTAACTGTCTTTCTACATCTCCTTTTTTTTTTCCAGAAATTATATGATGGTATCATATTATCATTATTATGTACTTATCGATTTCTTTAAATTCCGTCTAAAAGGCAAAAGTCTCTTAAACTTTCTTACTCCCTCCGTCCTAAAATTATTGTCTAATTTGAGATCTTACTTTTAGTACAATTTGAACTATAAATGAAAACTTAAATTGAACATGAAATAATTATGGGACAGAAGGAGTACAACCTTTTAGAAAAAGATAAATAAGTAAAGACCAAACTAGAATTCGGAAAAAAAATATTCCAAACAACAATAACAACAAGTCTTTAGGTTGATATTTGTTACCATTGGTACGTTTCTCAATCATTGGAAAATTTTGCTTTATAAAATTAAGGGTAGGTTGTGATGCAATTTCCGTGGTCCAGTAACTGAAAGATACTGGAATTTTTTTATATAAAAAAAAAAAAAAATAGCCTAGTGGACACAAATGGACATGCACATTCTTTCTTTCAAAGTTCATATCCGGAAAATTAAATCCCATAAGGCCAAACCTTAATCATGCACGGTCCAAAATTAATGTTATTTCGTCAGGGGCCAACCAACTCATAACTTTTCACCATTTCTTTTCTGCGATTAGATTAGTCAAAGGTGAACACCTTGACAGAGATAAGGAGAAGATCGCTTTATTTATTTGGTAAAGAAGTACTCTTTTCATAGAAATTTATGTACTGTACTCCCTCCGTCTCATAACTATTGTCCAGTTTGAATTTTCATTTCTAATTTAAATTGTACTAAAAGTGAAATCTCAAACTGGACAATAATTTTGGGACAGAGGGAGTATTTTTTTTTCGCTCTTTACTCTTTACAATGAAAAAGATTATAACTTGTCTTTGTAAAAATTACACGTTTTCTATGAAATCGGCGGCACTATTTACTGATATAAGTACAAAGTTGGTGAGATATATGACACTTGTTTTTTGTTGAAAGGATATTGGCAAAGAGGCTGGACGACCAAAAAATGTTTGCACTAATCAGTAATCACTGCGTTTCGAACTTTTTGACGCTTAGAATTGATGGGATCGAACAAGAACCCATAGAAGAGAATTCTTGTCCTAACTCAACTTGTGGAAATTAAGAAAAACTATCTCCTACACATACAAAATATACTACAATTCATTGAGAAAATGACATTGTACCGTCCACATCTTTGGAAGACAATTGCCATTTTGTCTACTGTGACTGCTTAAAAAGACCAAAGCTGACTCATTCGATCGACTTATCTGTTTAATTACGTACGCATGTTTTTCAACGACTACTAGCGTGTTAATTAAGAGGTTTACACATCACAAGTACTTCCCCCAGTTTAGATTTTCATTCATTTTCAGTATAAATTAAACTAAAAATAAAAAAAAATTCAAACTGGATAATAATTTTGATATATAGAAAATAGTATATAGACTTCTGCAAGTGAAGGGACTGGAGTCTCTCCGTAGCGGTAGAAATATAAAACTATATATAGTCCCCAATTGTTTTACATTTGGGTCTTATGTAAATTTTGGTGGCCTGGACCTCTGAGCATCTCTTGGATTTCCAATCATTTTTACAAGTTTGAATAATAATCTACTCCCTCCGTCCAGTTTGGATTTTTATTTCTAGTTCAAATTGTACTAAAAGTGAAATTTCAAACTGAACAATAATTTTGGGACAGAAAGAGTACTAATGCACACTACATACAGAGTCACGAGCATCATTTTGAAAGCCTGATGGAATGGAAAGAATGAAAGATCTAATTGTTAGTTGTAAGGCTCTTCCTAATTCCCAACTCCAAAATCTTCATAATACTGCATAATGATCAATGTGAAGGAATATCCTGATCTAATACAAATCTTTCAGAATATTTACATGGTTTCTTTCTACAAGACTCAAATTTTCTACTCCTATCTGGTTCACACTGGTTTGATGATGATTCTGCTTTGTCCAGAATCAAACAATTATGTCTACCTCAAATAATTCTGTAAGTCTAACAAAGAAAAGAATTCATCAGTTATAAGAGGCTTCACCTTCGCCTTCTTTAGGCGTATGATGATCCGAAAATTCCTTTCTCAATGTGTAGGCTTGGTAGCCAGATGCACTGGATAGATGACCAGAGCCACTGCTGCTTGCAGATTTTTGAATATCATCCAATTTTGCAGTGATTGGTATCGGTCGATCCGGTATTGCTGGTACAGGTATCATCATCCCCTGATCAACCTCCAACATTTTGACAATTTGATCCATTGTAGGCCGAGCATACAGTTGAGGATGTGAACAAAGCACAGCAATCAACACATATTTTTCCATGATTTCTGGAGGACCTAATTCAGGCATACCCTCTTCAATAACATCCAGGGCTCTGCCATTCCTAACCAATGACCAAGCCCATTCAGCCACAACCAGAGGTTGCTGGTTGCCATCATCATTCATTGCCATTATTGCTTTCTTTCCACTCAGAAGCTCCAACATTACAACTCCAAAGCTGTAGACATCACTCCTTTCAGTCAGCTGTCCATATAACGCGTACTCTGGCGCGACATATCCCATCGTCCCGGCAACCCTAGTGGTCATATGAGACAGTCCTTCAGGAGTGAACTTAGCCAACCCAAAATCAGCTACTTTAGGCTCAAAATTTTCATCTAAAAGTATATTACTTGCTTTAATATCCCTGTGAATTATACCCGGCTGCACGCCGTGATGCAAGTAGGCTAACCCTCTAGCTGTACCCAAAGCAATCTTCTGACGAATAGGCCAGCTGAGTTTACGATCAAACATCCCAAACAAATGGTCATGGAGACTACCATTTTTAATCAGATCACAAACTATAATCCTCTGGTGACCTTCAAACGGGGTGGTGGCAACACAATATCCTCGTAAAGTCACCAGATTAACGTGGCGAACACTGGCAATGACTTCAACTTCGTGCGTGAAAACAGTGTCTCCGGCAGCCGAACAGTTCTTAAACCTCTTCAACGCCACTTCAGAGCCATCAGGCAACTGGCCTTTGTACACATTTCCGTACCCGCCCCGCCCAATTATGTTTTCCCTGGAAAAATTCTGGGTGACTGATCTGATTTCTTCTAATGTGAACCTAACTAAATTAGTACTCCCGCTAATTGAATCCAACCCGGAAGATTGGCCCAGGGAAGTCGAATTGACCCGGCTCAATTTCCATTTCTTAAGTAAAGTGTCCTCCTTTCTCCGGTGATAAAACCAAACCCACGAAAAGATAAGCAGCAGGGCAACTAAGATAACCGAAACCGTGACAACCACGCTGATTATGATGATCTTATTCCGGTTCTTTTTCGAACCGGAATTGGTGAAATCCAAAGAGAACAAGCATTTCAACGTACCTTGATCGGTGGGACCCAGATGATTGGCGAAAGCAGCGGCGTAGATGGAGCCGTAATCGGCGCAGTCGGTGAGGTTTCCGGCGGAGCGGGACCCATTACTGAGGTAGGAAGAAATGAGGGTTGAGAGGCTGGTTGTACACGCGGCACAAGGAGAGCCGTTCTGGAGCGACTGGTTGCAGTTTGCCACGACGTCGTTTAAGGCTGATTGACTGACGGTGGACTCGAACTCCGACCGGGTGGTGATGTTCCCACACCCTTGTGAAATCCAACCCGTCTGAAAACCGCAAGATCGCCGGATGTCGAAATTGGGGATGAATTCATCGACTAAGGACTCGTAAGATCGCCAACACGACTCGGCAGAGTCGATCGGCGGCAGAAACAAGTTAGTCCGCTTGAGGTAGTCGGAGAGGACGAGCCGGAGACCTTGCCGGATGTACTGGCACTGAGTGGTGGTGTCCAAGTTCGGCGGCTTTGAGCCGGTAACAAGCCGGCGGAGGACGTCAAAGTCAAGCGGGCAGGGGGAAGAAACGTTGCCGCTGCTTTGGAGGAGGACACGGGATGGGTTAGAATTCAATCGGCCGGCAATACCACCACCGGAGATGCTAGATAATTGAGTCAGTAAAACGATTAATCCGATGAACAAAATCGTGGGCTTCATGGAAAATTTTGGTTAGAGATGTTCATGGAAAATTTGGAAGGGAACAATGAAGCGGTTATCGTGGTAATTTTAAAGTGGATTTTGCGTTTAGTATGATCGAAAGTGTTACTTTTGTATCAAAAAAAAAGTGTTACTTTATTGAAGATAAATTTAGTTCTGAGCAACAGGAACAGGGGAAGCCGGCGTGGCGGTTTTGTATTTGTTTTGAGGTTAATAGTTCAGATGAAGATGGAAAGAAGCCACCTTGGGAGGTTCCGAGAAATGGCTCCTCTGCTGCCGTTGTTGGGATTTGACGTTGACATTTTGGGCGGTCTGACATGATCGCAATTTGCAGAAAGATTGAAAAAAACAAAAGCCAGGGGATTCTTCAGGAGTGGACCGTCTTTTTCCGGATTAGGTAAACTCTTCCATTTTTGTACTACTACGTTGTGGAGTCGTCTTTTCCAGCCATACACAATCAAAAATGTTATAGATGTTCGTTAATTCATGGCTTCTGTATCTTCTGTGTTGATGATGAATTCATGACGATAGATAACTACTGGGTTTTATTTGTGACAATCTTGGTCGTTAGTTTTCTTTTTTTTTTTTTTTTTTTTTGGTTTCTCGCTAGTTTTCTTTTTGATTGACATACCTTTTGACTTTGGCTTACGCCTAGCAATTTCTCATTTTCTGGGTTGTTTCGTCTCTAGATTTTATTTTGCTTTTTGTTTGAATCTTTTTTCCACCATAACTATGGGGTTATCCGAATCGTTTTTTTGCAATTAAACAAAGACTTCCACATTTTTGAGGTTGAAAAAACCAGATAATGTTATAAATGATCAAATCAAGCCCTTTTTTCGACGGTACAATGCATTCGATGTATAAGTTTGTTCCAACTAATTTAAATTCAAATTAGGTAAGTTAAATAGTGCCAGTTTTTTATTTGGCAGCAATCGCAGTGTAGTTTTTATTTTTCTCTTTTTTTTTCCCCTTTGTTCGTGGTAAAATTAAGTTTTGGAAATCAGGACAAAGATATTTATAAAGGGAATCACCTAATCATGACTCATTTTAGAGCTCATATTAATAAAGTTCTCCTAATTGGGTACGTAGAAGAATGCTGCTATTGTAAAATTCCTTCGCATCACCTTCTTGCCAATTGGCGTGTGCGAGTTAAAGATGGACTATGGAGTTCTAGTGATCACTACCTCTCCCCATGGACTAGTAGTGATTTGGTATTGTTCCACATGCTCTAAGTTTCTAACTGATGGGCCATGAGGCTGTCGGCCCAGTCCTCTTTAGCCCAATCATGGGTTTGCATGGCCCAACTCCATGCACTCCAAAAGGACTCACCTAGCTGTGGTCCTTATAAACAACCCAATTCATTTATTTTAGTGAGTTAACCTTTCCTGCTACCATCTAAATGCTAACTTTTCTTTCACAAGTCTTCGTCTTAATTGACCGTTGACTCCACACCATAAAAAATTACTTTCATCACTAACATATCCTTCTCGTTGATTCATATTTCATAGCACAATTTGAGACTTTCCATTTATGTCGGTGTTTCAACAAAAAGCTCTATCGCCAAAGTAGGTGTTCATACATTTTCTTTTCTTTTTTTTTTCGGTATATAACTTTCATTCTTGATATTCTTCTTTACATCACATCAACTCCCACTTACTGAGAATATACCCTAATTAGCCTCACTAAGTTACTATATTCCTTCTGTCTCACGAAAATTATCTACATTGTAAACTATGAATTGAAATAATTTTTGTACTCCCTCCGTCCCATAATTATTGTCCAGTTTAGGTTTTCACTTTTAGTACAATTTGAACTAAAAACAAGAACTCAAACAGGAAAATAATTATGAGACGGAGGGAGTACAATTTATAAACTATGACGGAAGGTATTACAAAAGCAAAAACAATCAGTGCCTGACAAAATAATAAAAATAATAAAAATAATGTACACTATTTATGGATCTCACTAAGTCAGATCGAGTCCGTGTCGTTCACTGTTCTGAGCTTCATTGTTTCTTCACCAAGTCACCCATTTGATCTCCCTTTCGATCGGGTGGTAGAAATTAGAATGGAGCTTCCACTTTCATTCCTTTGTGGTTTTCTAATTACCCATATGAGACACTAACTGAAGTTTGACTGAGATACTCACCTATATGAGTTATTGAATCCTGTGTTTTCAAAATCGGACCGGCCCGGGCGATCTAACCAGTTAGCCCGGGAACGGAAACCTTACCGATCCGGTTTTCATAAAAAAAACCGAATTCTGTATAATCCGGTCAAACTCGGTCAAATCTGAGCAAAATTACGGTTTAGCCGGAAACTGGTACTGGTTGAATCAGTTTTTGCATATATTTCTTAAAAAATTAATTTTAAATATTTTTTTAATATTATTTTAACCGATTTTTACTCGTTTCGAAGAACGAATTAACCCATTAACCCGATAAATCCACTAACCCGGTCATACTAACGGTTCATCTTCCGGTTCGGTTTTGAAAACATAGATTGAATCCACTCGCCAAACAGTAATGAGAGCTACACATGAAAAAAAACAATAATGTGAAAGCTGCAATGAAATTGAAGATAGCATAGTTTGTTGATGTTTGTTGATGTTTAACTAGTATAACAATAAAGTTTGTTGATGTTTCAAATTGAAGATAGCATATTGATGCAAACATCTTTTTCTTCTCATTAATAATCTCTAACGAACGATTTAAATTATTTGGCTGACTATTCAAGTAAGAATCAAACCACAAATCAATATATAATGAGGATTTGAAAAGAACATTGTACTTATCATCTGTGTAGTCATGATGTAAATGTTTCATTAAAAAAAAAAAAGAATTGATAACAATATAAAAATCTTATCTATTGTACTTAATTAAAGCAACATACAAAAAGAACAGGTGTCAGCTTTATGTTTAATATTTTCTCGCCAAAGGCCATTTTCAGTATAAAATCAATTTTGACACGTGGCACTCTAACTTTTCAGAAAAAGATGAAATTATTAAAAAGAAACTAAATACTAATTTTCAGCAAAAGCCAAAAAAAATAAAAAAGACCACAAATTAATCCCAAAATAATCGAAGAGATAATACCATCAATTTAAAAATCATATTTTTGTTTAGAAATAATTGCTCAATCTCATCGAATCCCCTCAAACCAGGGATTTTTCCAAAGAAACAAAGAAACCATCATTTGAAGTAATATTAATTCGGAGATCAAGCCCCTTAAAATCTCTAAACCAACGTGATCTATTTCAATTCAAAAGAAATTCTGCATCTCCATATCAGTTGAAATTGTCAATCGCCAGAAAGAAAATCCACATTCTGCTTGGCCTCTCAAAGGATCTCTTTTATTCGATGATTTCAGAGGACAAGGATTTACGGAATCGGTAAGTGCCTCCGTCCATTGCTCTGTACAGTTGCTTACATGAACGCAATTAGCGTGTTGTAAGAGTGATTTCTGTTTTCAGTTTTGACCTAATCCCTGATTTCGGATTAGAGTCAAAATTTTGCCTTATTGATATCTTTCCGTGCTAATTCGGAGTTCTCCGCTCAATATTAGGGTTTCTGATCGATGGGTCTGAATCATTTCATTCTAGAAGACTTTGTTCAGACATAGACTATCTTGATTCGTCGGGGTCAGGTTATCTTTATCCGCCGAAATTTTATTGTTTCCTCAGTGGTGCCTGACTCGTGATTTAGTTCTGTCCTGCAAAGATGGATATTTATCGATGTCTTTAACCTTTTAATAATGGTGACTTTGTTCATCACTCAACAAGTTTTGGTCTCCATTATTTTTTGTCCATTATATTTTTAGTTTGCACAATTGAGTTTGTAAAATCTACTTTCAACAACGATTTCTGTCATTTTTTCCAGATCTTTCCTCCTCGTCTCTATTTCTAAAATCTAAGTGTGTTGCAGGAGCGCTTACTATGGATGAATCACAATCGCCGATATCCGACCGTAATAACCAATGATACGTGAGATGATTACAAAGGTCACTCTCTTGCCACGAATGGCATTCTCTCTTTCTTTATTAAACTCCGATCTCTTCCAAGGTTGGTAATAAAATCCATTTCAGTCCGTCTTTGCAATTTATTAATTTTAGCTTCAATCTTATTGTCCGATACTGTTTCGACACATTACTTATGACCTTCATTTGTTAGTGATGTTCCTTCGGACTGATATTTTGCATTTTGGAATTGATTTTTTTAATGGAGTTAGTAAATTGGTTTTTCGGATATTAATTTTCAGGTTTAGATGCCGTTCGGATTTCGGTTGGGAAAAATTTTTCAAGAGAGTCACTCTATTTCTTATGTTCTGTATTGGACTATTTGATATACAGATGAAGAAGCTGGGATTTTAACTCTAATGTTCAGTAAAAAAGATGGAAAGATTGATCGAATAATCCCTCGGAAGGACTCAATCTTGAGGTTAGTAACATTAATTATACACACACACACACACACACACACACACACATATATATATGTTGCTGCCACAGAATGAATATCATGATTTACTATGATGTGATGACAATGAAAGAATCAATTCCATTTGCTTTAACTTTATTTGGGAGCCACAATGTTTTTTTTCTCTTTTTTTTTTCTTAAGTCTCATGGAATTGGTTTTGATAGAGAACGATCCTTTTCCTAAAATTTTTAATTTGCAGGCATGCATCTGAAAAAAATGATAGGATGGGTATTTAATTAGTTGCTCATGTATATTTCTTTTTGGGTTGATCAACTACAATTAAGATGATAAAGATAGTATCTTTTGTGTTATTACTGTGAAGAATATACAGTATATCTATCTGATCAAATTTTTTTTCTTAAAATTTGCTGGGGAATGCCATTCTCCAGCGCCTCTACAGTGTTGCAGAGACGACCCTGTCTACTCCAATATTAATTCATATGATTTAGTTTCTTCAAGTAGATATTGGGGGATGGAGTTATTGTTCAGGATCAAGTGGCTCTGGAATATACCAGATGCACAATTATAAGGGCTATAGTAAGTTGATGCTTTTACCTAGGACAACTGAGGTTGAAAAATTCTTCATTTTTCCATCAACAAAGGGTTGTCTCATTATTTTTAAAGAATTTGTAACTTCCCTCTTTACAATTCTCTTTTGCTTTTTTATAGGTTTTCAGAGATTTATAATTTCATGTAGGTTTATGATGCCATTGAATGCACGAGTTATCATTTGCTTAACTTCATCCGGACGAGCTGCAAGGTCTATTTAATTTTTGTTTTTGTTTTTTTTTTTTTAACTCAGGTTATAAGTAGTATGCACAATAGAGACATATCCTGATTGTTTTTTATAATTTGCTGATCTTGATATCTACAAAATTCATCCAAGTTTCAAAGTGCTAAATTATTTGGGATATCTTCAGGGTCTTAGTGATAAATTATTTGGGATATACTTACTACCTCAAATTTCTCTCAGATTTCTCTCCAGGTGATATACTTGAAACCAAGTGACGAAAAACCAAGGAAATTCCATCATGCTATCAAAAAATAACATCAACCAAAAAACAGCATCTACTGTTAAACAAACGCTCTTAACGAATTCTTTTGAGTGAGTTTTGTTGTTTAAGGTAGAGTTTACATGTTTTTGAGATTGCATATTATTTCTGAACCTCCTTTGTTTATGGATGGAGGTTCCCGGAACTTTTTCAGTGTTACATTGAGTGGTTAATTTACGTCAGTTACTATTGCATCTATTGCAACAAATTAATGTTATGTTAGTTGATGTAGAACTTATTTGATAGTTTTCTGATTTTGGATAATGCAGTTTAAAGTGAATACATGAGTAGAGCTAAATGGTTTGGACAAATGTTCTTTTCAAAGTCAGACTGCCTTAAAAAAGAAAAACAGAATTCTGGACGTTAAAAATGCATTTTTGCATGGTCATCTTAATGAAATTGTCTATATGAAACAGCCTACTGGTTTTGTTCATCCAGACGATCCTCACTATGTCTGCCGGTTGAATAAAGCTCTTTATGGCTTAAAGCAAGCTCCCAGAGCTTGGTTTCATCGTTTCACTGCTTTTTTGCTTACACAGGGTTTTAAAGGCAGGCAGTCGCTCGGACACTTTCATGTTTGTGTATTCTTCTGGATCGGATATGGCTATTTTGTTACTCTATGTTGATGACATTCTCTTGACAGCTTCCAGCAATCATCTCCTCACTACTATTATTCAGTCGCTGAAAGGAGCTTTCGCAATGACGGATCTTGGTCCAATCAGCTATTTCCTTGGTATTTATGTTGCTCCTCACTCTGGTGGTTGGTTTTTACACCAACGCAAGTATGCTGAGGAGTTACTTGCTCGCAGTCATCTCACCGATGCCAATCCAGTTGCAACTCCACTTGCTTCGGCCTTTCAATTTCCGGTTGATGAGTCCCGGCCTTTTCACAATCCGACTCTCTATCAAAGCTTGGTGGGTGCGTTACAATATCTTACTTTCACCAGACCGGATATTCAGTGTGCGGTTAATCTTGTCTGTCAACATATGCATGATCCTCGTGAGCAGCACTTTCAGGCGGTCAAGCGCATTCTCCGTTACATTAAGGGCACACTTCACTATGGTACACATCTCCGTGCTGGTCCCCCTTGATCGCCTTGTTACATATTCCGATGCTGATTGGGCTGGTTGCCCTACTACTCACCGCTCTACGACTGGTTTTTGTGTTTTCTTGGGCTCCTTACTAGTTTCCTGGTCTTCCAAGAAACAATCCACTGTGTCTCAATCTTCTGCTGAGTCTTAGTATCGTGTTGTTGCCTCTGCGTTGGCTGAATCCGTCTGGTTGGAGAATCTTCTGTCTGAACTTCAAATCAAGCTCTCACATCACCCAGTCATCTTGTGTGATAATGTTTCTGCTACATACCTAGCTGCAAATCCGGTCAATCATGCTCGCACCAAACATATTGGTCTAGACATTCATTTTGTTCGTGAACGTGTTGTTGCTGGTCTTTTTCGGGTCCTTCATATTTCCTCACAATCCCAGCTTGCAGATGCTTTTACCAAATCTTTACCTAAGGATAAATTGTATTTGTTTAGAACCAATCTAGGCATGATTACTTCTCATGCTACGATTGCGGGGGGATGATAGAATATGGAAATAATCGAAAACCTAATTAGAGTTTTCCATGTCGACGGCTAGGGTTGTTACACTATTGTACTATAAATGCTACAATGTATCATGTGAATAAGATACACAATAATTCTTTCAATTTATCAGGACACAAATTTCTAATTCACTTGAACTATCATGAGGGCCAAAACAACTTAGAGAGATGAGCCTCTTATTAAGCTACCTTTGAACTTGTGAAGTAGCTAGAGTCTTGTAAAAGAAATCACTAAGTACAATGATGCTAGTACGTACTAATTAGTTTGCTTCTTCAATTTATAACTGAATCAAGTACTTCCATGTACCAAGAGGATTCTTATAGATCTTCCAAGCAAGATGACCAAGCCTTCCAATGAGCATGCCAAACCTAAAACCTTCCAGTGAACTTTATGACCCTCAGGTCTCAGCATCACCCCCAAGCTTTCCAATGAGAGCATCAGACGTACTGGATAACTACGCGAAAGTCAGTGAATGGCTTAAAATCAAAGAGCTTCTGAATCTAAAAAAACAGGCCGGTATCCCGGAAACTAGCCCAAACTTTAACAAATCCACAGAACACCACCAGACCACAACAAAATATAACAATAGTTCACAATAATTTTAGCCCACATTTTCAGCATATGCCATGAATATTCAATTCGCATTTTCAAAGCTACTTACAATGAAGTATAGTTTACCTAACATAGATTACATCAAAAAAAAAAAAAAAAGCAGACGAAGAAGAAGTTGACAGAAGCTTGTGAGTTAAAATGCTATTTGGTCTATAGGGAGTATAATTGAACGAGAGAAAATATTGAGATTAGTCAATGTTGTTAAAAGTATATGCGTAAAAATAAAATAAAATAACTACTATATTAGCGTATTAAAAACAATTGGTTTAACCCCAAAAAAAACCAATAGACATGAATTATTATTATTATTATTATTATTATTATTATTATTATTATTATTATTACTATTATTATTGGCAGTTGGGCTTGGGCGTGGATCGTATGTAAGGAGTATCCACTAAGAATTGATTGCGTGAAGTGTCCGTTTTTAAGGGGTAGCAATCATAATGGTGTGTGGTTGCAACCAGCAAAAAAAGATGACATGATTTTGATTACCCCCAGGTCATATCTTTACTAGTTCTACTTCTACGTAATCTCTACTTAATCTGTACATTTATTTTTAATCATAACATTCTACTATTATTAATTCCATGGGTTATCTCATTCCACACGTCCAAAATGGAATTAAAGATGATCAAATCCCATCAAGCAGGGTAGTTAATCGGCTGACTTGGCACTTTGATCAACTCATTTTAGAACTGATTAAAAATACTTGTGCAGTATTCCAACGTGGGTGCAATTACTGTTACAGTGCCGCCGTTATAGTTTATGTATGCTGGTTAGGTGGCCGAATATCAAAGTTGACATTAGAATTTTCTCAACTTCTAAGACTGAGATCTTTATTTATTTATTTATTTTTTTTTTTAAAAAAAACTTCTAACACTGATCTGGATAAGATAGTGAAACTTTATCAGTTAGTCTTCAAGTTTGTAATCTGACATTTATGTTTGTATATTTTTTAGTGTGTATTTTTAAATATTTTTTTATTGATAATATAAAAATTTACGTTAAAATCCGAAACAATCAAGGAAAAAAATGAAACAAACGTAACGGTCCTTTCTAAATTAATTTTGGTGAGAATGGAACCCGAATAGAGCTATTTCATTTGGCTTACTAGAAACTTTTATCTCTATGATAATGTCAAATATTGTGACACATTTATTACGGATTCCAAAGCTCGTGGGAGATTTGAGGAGGTAGTATTTTGTTTGTTCTGACTTTGGCTCTGGAATAGTCAAAATGACTGACGTCATACCCAAGGACCGACAGGCAGCCATGGGGAGGCGGAGCCGTTTCTGATCGTCAAACCTTAGGATTTTTATAGGTACAACCCCCTCTACTCAAAACTGTTTCATAAGATGTTGAAGTAAGTTAGAATAATTGCGATTGTATTTCAAATATGTGTATTATACAGACAATAGCAAATTTTATATATAAAGTTATAACCGTAAATACATATATTACAATATAGTATTACTAATAGACATTTGTTTATTAATCAAAACGGAAAAAAGATTGGTGACGTTTTTTTCATTAGTTTAGAAATCTGTTTTATGACGTTTAGAGATTTTATTCTTTTTGGTGTTAAAATGACAAATTTGTGTTTCATGAGATTGTACTCAAAATTTCAATATTATGGGTTCAAAAATTAGGCGTGTGTAACTTGATACTTTCTGGTTTCTGCCTCAGCAAATAACATTGGGTTCAAAAAAGTTATTTTAGGCATCATTTATAAGAACTTATAAGGTGGAAAAATTACAATATCACATCACAATTTCCTGCCATTACACATGTACTAGTGTGTTCCCTGATACGAGTAGGTAGACGGTGGGCCTTAGCTGAAATGACTGGCCTAGAACCTTGTTTTATTTTAAAAAAAAAGAAAAAAAATACTATAAGACGAGAAAATAAAAACGGGTGGATAATAATTTCATGATTTCATCGATGAAAATCCACAGTTTTTTTTTTTTTTTTTGCTTTGCATTTATCTGTAACCGCTTATGAAGAAGTGGAAACGAAGCAAATAGAACAAAGTTGGAGTAGTAAATATATTTATTCATTATCCCATAATTGTAATAATTGTCCCCTCCAGATAAAACTGAAAAGTTTTTTTTTTTTTTGTACGTACGTTTGAGCTACCGAAACAGTCCAAAGACTACAGTAAGAAAAAGCTGGTAACCTTTTTACTCCCTATTTTACTTGTTTTTCTTTTCTCAAAAACAGAACTTAGCCGAATAAGAAAGATTAAATTAACGTTTGTAACGGTGGGTGGTGGCTGTCTTAATTTGGTGAATCTTCTAAAATTTACAGCAAACCAAAAAGGGTATCCCTCAAGCCATTTTATCTATGTTGTTGCTACCTATTTGTCCTCCTCTTCCTCTGTTTTTTTTTTTTTTTGGTTTTCTTTTTCCTTTGAAAATGTTTCTGGGCTTATTTCCTGCTTAATCAAGTTTTTGATGGGATCAGGATCAAATTCAATCCACCTCCAAATTCGTCTAGCTCAATCTTACTAGGTAAGCCCTAATTGTTCTTCTGAACTGGTACACACACGTGAATGTGGACTTTTGCATGATGATGATGATGATGATTCAGTTCTGGGATGATGATGAAACATAATTTGAACTGAATTCTTCTTCTTCTTCTTCTTCTTAAGTTCTTTTCCCTCTTATTTTATGTAACCTCGATTTGCACCTGCTGTTTCGTGTGTGACCAATTCCGTTGCTGATTCGGTGATTCTCTCAAGTCTATATAAAATATCCTTGTGATGATATTTTTTTTCTTTCTTGATTCTGTCATCTTCCTATTATTGCGGGTGATGTCTATCTGGACATAAATTTTCCGTCTTTATTAAATTTTGTTCTGTTCTTCCTCAGACGTACTACTACTATATAGTTTCTGGTGGTCCTTTACAAGATTTTTCCACAACAAGAACAAGGACGACAATTATATATTGTTTCTGCCACTTTTTCATTTTGATTCGCTCTCCTTAAATTCTCGACCTCGTTTCCTGTTTCTTACTCCCAAAAGTATTTTTCCCAAGTGACCGTCGTAAGTTCAGAATTTGGTCACTCTGTTCTGTCTCTGTGCATAAAAATTATTTTTTTATTAGTTTTCAATTGTTTTGGGACTCTCTGGTGTTAGGACCATATTTTATATTTGGTTAAAAAATGAAAATGCCGGATTTTTCTTTTGTTGTTCTTTTGGTTTAGATATGGAAAAACGGGAAGAGAATGTGTGAAAAAAAAAAAATAAATTGAACTGAGTTTAGGTTCTGGATTTGGTGATTCTGCTCTGTTTCTTTGTGAAAAAGATTTGATTTTTATAGGTTGTCAATGGTTGTTTAAGGACTTTGTTTTGTTCAGCATTTGGTCTTGAATCCCAGATTTTCTTTTCCCTGCTTCAGATACTAAATGGAGAAGAATCAAAAAGAGAATATGTGTTCGCCTGATACAGTTCTGGAGGACTTCTTGAGGAATGTGGAATCATCCGAAACGGATTCTTCTTCATCCAAAGCCAGCACTTCAGGCTCTGAAATCTCAAGAGATCCCAAACCATATTCTTCGAGGTGGGCAGATTTTATGAGCATCTTCAAGATGAAATCCAAAAGGCAACTGGGTTCCACTTTGCATCCATTGAAACTGACCAAAAGATTCAGTAGTAGCATGAGAGAGGAAATCAGCAGAGACCAGGATCAGCACCCCATTATACTGGATTCTACCTTAAATTATTTCAAGCCACAATGGAAGAACTTCAGTCTTTCGGACCTTCAAATTGCCACTAGGAACTTCTCTCAAGGTCAGAAAATTGCTGCAGCGTAACAGGGTTTTTGGACTTTTTCAAAGGTTTGTTCTTCATATATTTTACTAACTGGAAAGTTGGTTTGTTTTAATTGTAGAGTGTGTAATTGGGAAGGGCGGTTATGCTGAAGTTTTCAGAGGAACTTTGCGAGATGGGCAGCTTGTTGCTATCAAGAGGCTTACTCGAGGATCGATGGAGGAGAGGACTGCAGACTTCTTATCTGAGCTTGGAATTATGGCGCACATTAACCATCCTAATACTGCTAAAATGATCGGTTATGGGGTCGAAGGTGGATTCTTCCTTGTATTGGAGCTCTCTCCCCATGGAAGTCTTGCTTCTTTGCTTCACAGTGAGTTCATTAGGCCTACTTATTTTTCATTTCTTTGATTTTGTGTAGTAGAAAGTGTTTGCACTAGTTTCTCTTTTGGCAGTATTTGTACCTGAAGTAACAGAAAAAGCTGCTCTAACTGACCATCTCTGTGTTTCAAAAACTTTAGAAGAATACTAGTTTCTGGTTTAACATACCTTATCGTTGTGGTTTTGAATGCTTTAAGTTGATGAGATCAATTAGAAGATTGAATTATGCGTGGAGAGAACTTTAGAATGTTCTTTGACAGTTGAAGAAGCCTGATAATCTTTAAAAGCTCAAGTTTATCTGTAGCAAGTTATTATTCTGATGTAAAAAATCATTGCACAGGTTGTAAGGAGAAGTTGAAGTGGAATATTAGGTATAGAATCGCAATAGGGATTGCCAGAGGGCTGCTGTATCTTCATGAGGGGTGTCAAAGAAGAATTATTCATAGAGATATTAAGGCAGCAAACATACTTCTGACAGAAGATTTTGATCCGCAGGTATACTAACAATTACAAATTCATACTGCACATCCTACTAATACTTTTTCAGCGACATCTGAAAAATTGGAATCAAAATGGCTCTTGTTTATGGATCTTGACCAAAGAGTTGGTATTTCTCACTTTAGATATGCGATTTCGGGCTTGCTAAGTGGCTGCCAAGGCAATGGACGCACCTCACCGTGTCCAATTTCGAAGGCACATTTGGGTAATTCGAATTTCTGATTTAAACCCTGCAAATTTCTCACATTATTACTTATGACTCGCTTCTTTACATTTTGATTATGGTGTTCTCTGTTTCAGCTACCTTGCTCCGGAGTTCTTAATGCATGGCATAGTTGACGAAAAGACTGATATTTTTGCCTTTGGTGTGCTGTTGCTGGAACTTATTACCGGGCGTAGAGCTTTGGATTACTCACAAGAAACACAACAAAGCCTTGTTATGTGGGTATGAGTTCTTCAATTTTCACCCGTCATATAGTGTGTTTATTTTGATTCTTGTAAGCCACACCTACTTCAATTCCAAAATAAGTTCACCAAAAAAAAAGAAAAAGTTTTGATCCTTTTCATGAACATTTTGCAGGCTAAACCACTGCTGAAGAAGAATAGAATCAGTGAGCTTATCGATCCTTCTCTTGCTGAATATGATCCTGTAGAGATGAACCTGATGATACTGGTTGCCTTTTTGTGTGTCCAAGAGTCTTCAATTCGGAGGCCTCGAATGAGTCAGGTATGTGTGAGGACAAACATACATATGCACGTAGTTACCTATTTACTTTCATCCTTGATGGTTGGAAACATAATTAATCACCCAGCCTGCACTGGTTGCAGGTTTTGTTGCTGCTTAGAGGCAATTGTGGCAGCCTAGAATTAGTTAGTAAAGGTAGAAAACTCTCACACTGGAAGAGGTACTATGAAGAGCTTTTCCATGCAGAAGATTAGAACCAATTGCATTTCTGGAAATCCTAGGCAGAAGAATTAGAAATCATTATATCATTCTGCAGAATGAAGAATCTATGAAGGCCTGTTTCTCGTTACTCTAGCTGGTCGCCACCACTGCAGAAATCGCGACGATGTGTACATAGCTGCGAAAATGCGGGATAACGAATCCAAGATTGAAACTTTTAGCATACTCAACTCAGGCATCAGTTTTGTAACAAAAGAATTTCTGTAGATTTGGTTTTCTTTTTTCCCTTTTTGTACCATAATAGTATTATGTAATCAGGATAGTCCTCTTTTAGATTACAAAAAAGCACGAATTATTTTTTTGGACGGATGAAAAGCGTGATCAATATACACTAGGGGGGAAAGAAAACAGTGAAGAGAACATATTTAAGATAGTAGTGTACACAGAATGCATAGAAAATGGGATGAAAGATGCATCTAGTTGGCCATGTAATGTAGATAGGTTTGAACTTTGAAGCAGGCAGATGGAAGCAGTTTTGTACTACCGTTAAACTAGGAACACTATGAAATGAAGACCTGGTGAAGTAAAATCTATCCCTTTTGAACTGGATTGGGTGCTTTGGGCCATACATTCGGGCTTCAAATAAGTTAGCTGGGCCATCGCACAACCTTATTTCTGCCCCACCAAAAACATAGGATTTCCTACAATTAGTTGAAACTTGAAACTACTCGTTAGTCATTTCGTGGATATTCTCTTATATGAAAAAATAAAGGAAAATGATATGTATAGTGAAAGAAAATAGTGAAAAAAGATAGTGAGTGATGCAGAGTATTCTTGGACCGTAGTTTTTTGTCACTTTCTCGTTAAAATTTTATTTTTTCCGGAAAATTATATTTTTACCCTTAATTAATAAGTACACATATTTAGTGAGGATGGTATATTAGTTTTTCATTAGTTACTATTTTATTTCACTATAATTTATCACTGTCTCTATCATTACTAAAAAATAAATAAATAATAAAATTACAAAGAATTAAATATATTAATACTAACTAAGTAAATAAAAACTCTATTAATTTGTTGTTGAATTGATTGATGGAAAGGGCGACCACAATTTGATAATTTGGGAAGAATCAATAGAAATAGTTGTTTTACAAGATTGCCTCTGTGCATCCTCATGTGACGGTTGTTTCAATGATTGCAATTAGCACTTTTGTTCAATGATGAGCTTTCAAAACTTGAAGTTCTTGCATTACAAGAGGCTATTATTCTAGCATCACATCATAGAATTTGGAACTACTTCCACATGGAGATGCAGCTGGAGTTGTGCATGGTAACCAGCTTTGCGCCAGAATTCTTCTTTACTGCGCATTAGTCGGGATCAGACGCAATGACCATCATATAGTGCATTCATTCATAGTCATCGTCGATGGCGATTGACACACCTTGTATACATCAAGGTGGAAAAAAATTCTCCATTAAAAGTTAATTATAGAATTTTCAAAGATTTAGACGGGTTAGTATTTATTGATCGATTTAAACCAACAAAAAATAAAATACTCCATGTTTTGTACTGTTTTTAGTACAAATTTGAAAACTCAATGTGGACTACTCCCTCTGTCCCAAAATTATTGTCCACTTTGGGATTTCACTTTTAGTATAACTTGAACTAAAAATGAAAATCCAAACTGAACAATAATTATGGGATGGGGGGTTATTTTTTTGGGGACGGAGGTAATACAATAAAAAATCTAATAATTGCACCAAAATGGTGTTTGTCAGACAAAACTAAGATTATATTGTTTCTTAAATGCTCCAAGCACATTGATATTTTTACTTTTATATTTTTATTTCTATGATGATAGAATCATCTTGTTTCTAACCTTGTCCATATCTACATGTAGCTTGAAGACACTGCATACACTTTCGCCTTTCGCTATTTTGCCACCCAAATATTCTTTTGTTCTGATCGATAACAGTTTTGTTATACTGATAAAAGTAATATATGGAAATACGTACTATTAATATATTTTTTTCCGTATCAGAAAAAATGTACTCCTACATTATTTTGTTGTTTTGATTTAACATAAGTGGACGTTTTTTTTTTTATTTTAGAGCGGAGGAGTTATAAAAACGTGTGGCAGCAATATATACATGGAAATTGGAAAGATGGATTTCGTAGAAGATAAGGTTTTGATCGTTTGGGTAAATTAAATGCGAGGGAGAGGTGAGTTTTTTTATTGGCACCAAACCCAACAACCACCCCCAAGCAATTTCCTCATCATGTCTCACACATTCGAGTGCGAGCAACGAAGGAAGGAAGATATATATGTATATATATACACATACGTTTTCTGTCTCAAAATTATTGTCTAGTTTAAAATTTTATTTTTAGTATAATTTAAATTAAAAATTAAAACTCAAATTGAACAATAATTATGAAAATGAGGGAATATATTGCTGCAATATTATGCATTTTGGTGGGGAGGAAGAAAACTATGGCCCTATCATCACCATAAATTACTACCCTACAATTATTGCACCAACGAAGATATTACTACTACAATTCCCCTCTTTTTTTTTTCCTGGTATGAGAGAATTGGCCTCTCTTTTTGGCTTCTTCTTCAGCAATTGAAAATGAAACCCATCCGGGCCATTTATAGGTTCAGAATCAGGGAATGTGTGCATTAATCAGCTTTGTTGCGGGGTCTTTTTCCATCCAGCTACGTGAAGTTTGTAAATTTATGGGAATTCATTATGGTGATGATTGATGACCATCAGGTGGTGCAGCTTGCTAGCTACCGGCGTTGCCCTCCATTCCCTGCAAAAATTAACTTACTTCTTGTGGATATAGGTTGCGATATTCATTAATTCTACGGCGATTCATAAATTTTTATTCCCTCCGTTATATTATAATAGTTGGATTACACTCTTCATCTATACGCTAATTGTTTGTGCCACTAAGCTAAATGCTCATCCAAAATGCGAAGTAAATAAATGTAAGATTTAATCGTGAAGCAACGACGAAGTTACGTAGGTTGTTGATGCTGCCATTATTACTACTACTACTCTACAATTCGATCAATCATGTCCCAATTAGTTAATTTACATTGTTTCTTTTTGAAAACAATGATTTCCCCAATTAGAGGTGACAAATTCCTGGAAATTGAAAAAGGAAGGTACTTGAACACAAACACGAAGGGGGGAGGGACCAGATGGATGAACTAGAGAGAGTTGTCATCATTTGTTTTGTTATTCACCTTGAATTTTAAGCATATATATATATATATATATATATATATTTGGGACACTTTTATTCTATTTTGTTTGTTGGTTGTATAGCCCAATTTTGTTACTATAGTTATAAAGTAAACCTTTTAATTTCTAGTGTTCATTTTGTTGGCTTTGCCTGTACGTATTTGCCCATTTCATCCAAGAGAGAATAATGTAGAAAGACAGAATTAATGTTAACTAATTATATTACTCCTCCGGTCTTAATTATAAGGTCTTTTGAGTTCGTCTTAGGTTTTATCTAAGATGTCTTTTTAATTGGAAAAAAATCTTAAAAATATATTTTCACATTTGTTGTGTTCTTCAAATTACTATGAAATGTTTTCAAGGTTTTTATTTCAATCAAAGAGACATACTAAATGAAACCTACACAAATCAAAATGACTTATATTAAGGACCGAAAGGAGTATATTCTTTATCCCGGTCACAAACGATGATTGATAATAGAAAGAAATTTCAGTTGGACTAGTTGTATATACCAAGTGAATTAAAACATAATCCACATTGAGTTTTGAGTTCTGTACAGTTTTTAGTATAAATTTGAAAATTCAATATGGACTATTTTTTTGAGACGGAAATAATATATTTTAGGAACGAAATGAGGAACTTAATTTTTCTTTTTAAAGATTCGGAAGAGGAAAGAGTAAATAAGATTGAAAATGTGAGACAGGTCAACCCCACTGCCGAGCTTATTTCATGGTTTTCCTCAAAATCTGTCCGATAAGTAACCTAAAATATGATGATTAAAGGCATTTTGAGTTGAGTTTGGTCTATAAAGCAAAAATAACATCAGCGGCCACTTTTGGTTTGGTTAATGATTATAATGCTTTGTTACATGTTAGCTAAGAAACATCCAACAAATCTGGGTTGAAAGTTTTTGAAAACGGCATGGATATGATTTGCTTCTACTACTACTTAGTACTTACTACTCCTCCAGTGAGTCAAAACTTGACTGACTATTACTTGTGGAAAGTGGAAACAATCTCTTTTCTTTTCTTTTCTTTTCTTTTTTTTTTTCCTTTTAAGGTTTCTTTCTGAAAGCAATTTTAACTAACCCTGTCGGGTTGCTTTTGGTTCTCAGTCACAGTGGGGGCCTCATTCATTGTGTTAATTAGCACACTTATAATTAATTAACCAAATGTCGAATGTATGTATTAATTCTCCGTTTCGTGGAGTTTTGCCGGACGATTTGGACCACGGTCGAGGGCCCGATTCGTACAATGTAAACCGGTCCAAAATTCTAAAAATTGACTAAATTATATCACATGCATGATATATACTACAATGTCGATTAGCATTTGGATATTTATACCCAATAGCTTGTTATCAGTTTCCCCACAAAATATATGTAGTTGAATGTTCTTCCACCCAACAATTAAAGGATGGACAAAAACCTATAAACCAGATTTCAGAATTGATGAGGTGAATACAATACAATATAACATTATTTAATCTGAGTCATAACTAGATATGGCAAAATTCAGCCTAAGAAATATACAGTAGTAAGTAGCTGCAAATCGTGTTGACTAAAAAGTACTGTACTGTCTCTAAAAAGAGTACTGAGCACTGAACAAAGTCTTGAACCCCAAGTTTCATATGATGCTTTCTTTTTATAGTTTTTTGTTTGTTATGCTTTTTTTTTTTTCTTTCTTTTTTCTGGGCAGGCTAAAGCTAGCTGGCGCCTGAAAAGTAAACCAGATGAATCTGACTGCGGAAACTGGGTTAAGAAAAAAAGGACAAGGGAAAAACCAAAAATAACATCAAAGACAGAGACCTTAAAGATTAAAGCTAATACAACAACATTGGAGTCGCAGGTTTGATAGTCACTTGAGAGGGAAGAAGGGAAGATGCATGGGAAGTTGATGGTTGGAACCGGAGTTACTATTGTTACCGGCCGGCCAGACTCTCAATCCAGCTGTCCATATTACATTACAACAAACATCCCTGCGGTGGCCCGGGGTAGCTAGCTAGGCTGTAGAGTCGTCGGGATCGGTCCCCGCAGATCTGACCGCAGTGGTTGCTTTCTTTGTTTTTACTGTTTCCAGTTCTCTCACCCCCACCGCCTTTGACCACCCCAGTCCACGTGCCCCTTGCTTGCTTTCCTTCCCCCAAAAAAAGAAAAAACTACTACCACTGCATGCATATAGTGTATCTCAGTTTTGATTTTGCCATATCTCGTTTTTGTTTCCTTCCCGTGTCGCTTTTAATTTTGAGACCGAGTGAATAATAATATACAAACGATTCATAATTGAGTAAACTTATGATACGATATACGACATATTAGGAAGTTTTATTTAAAAACTCACGAGTTCACTCCATAAAAATTTTATTTTGTGGGATTAGTATTGACAATTTTACCAACCAAAAAACAAACCAAACAAAGCCTTCGTAACTAACTAATTTGTTGTTCTTCAGCTGGCAAACCTACAAGACACTCCCGTTGTAGAAAAGGTTTTGGACTTTGGAGTATTTATTTCAAGTTAGGGATAATCAAATTACGTTTAATTGGAGAAAGTAAAAGTAGCTAATATATATACATTATGTCAATTATGTGATGCAAGGAATTTAGGGACTTATAATAATGTGGTTATCATTTTTTCATATGAGTAGGTTGTGTGGTCCTGTTTGGATTTTTGAGGGTAGCAAGGGTGAATTTTTTTGTGAATGCATCAAAAGGGCAAACAATAAAATACTTAAAAAACAAAGGTAAAAAAGGAAAGAACGAAAGGGACATGCCTCCAGTTCCATGGTTGCCTCTTATGGGCTGTAAGTTTCGTGCTACTTATTTAGGTGGCAACCATCAGGTCACGTGGTCCTCGTCCTAATCACACTTAGTTTAAAAAATAGGGAAATTTTTTTTATTATTATAACATCCCTCAAAGTTTAGGAAATCTACGAATTACCACTTAAAATTGTAAAATTATCGTAATCTCGTCCTAATAACCAACAAGCAATTGTGTTTCTGCCTTCTTGGTGGTAAGAATTAATTTAAAAAGATGATTATGTTTATCTAAATTTATTCAATAAATAAAAAAATTATTCTTGTGACATCACTAAATTAATTTTAGTTTAGTGTTAAAATATTTCTTTTAGGTAAAATAGTATAATGATACAAATTTACGATTAAAAAAAATCTTTTTTCACATTTGTTTAAACTTGAGAGCGTCTTTCGTAGTATACCAAAACTTTGTGGTAAGGTTGCAATAATTATCCGAAGGAGAAAAAAGTACATGATCGAGCCTAGCTGACCTGTCAATCCGAACCTAACGAGTTACAGATTCACCACGTAGGCTCGGACAACCGTTTAGCCACCCGGAGCTGTTCCCAATAATAATAAACGAACAAAATTCGCCATAAATTTTTCAACCCCAATAAAATAGTAAAAAGAAAAAAAGAAAATGAGGCAAATAAAAACACAAATATCAGTAAAAATTTGCCTCGGAGTAGCTGCCAAAGAGACTGTAGGAAGTAGTAGCCGTAGTGATTGCATCATATTTTGGTTGCTCTGTTTCTCTTTCTCTCTCTCTTTCCCACTCTCTCCACACAAACCCCATAGCCAGATCTTCTCCGTCTTCTCCAAGAAGCCAACGACCCATTTCCCCATTTTCCATTTTTTAGTTGTTTTTTTTTGTACAGTACAACATTGTAGTGTAGTGTACGAGAAGAATTAGCAAAAGAAAAACAACCCATAAAAAAGCCAGCCCCTTTTTATTAGTTTTGGTTGTGGTGGTAATTGATTCATTCATCTACTCTGGTGGGTTGGGTTTGCTTTCTTCCGAAGCTACAGGGAGCTGATTATAAATATATACAGTACATGTTAGGTTCATTGGGAACTTTGATTTGATGAATGCTGTTGTCCATTAAAGCTTTCACGATCTCTGTTTCCCACACGAGAATTCGCTGTTCTGTTCACGGAAAAGCAAGCATCTTAGCATCCCCAGAAATTTTTCAGCAGGGATTTCTGTTATATATATTGACGGGCTTTTTATTGGGTTGTTTACTACTTCAATCGATCATTGAAAAAATGGGTGTTGGGTTTGCAGTATTGAGGAAGATTTCTGTGGTTGTGTTCTTGATTCTGCAGTTTGGTTTTTATGGCCATGCAATTTTGGACCCGATTGATTTCTTGGCTTTGCAATCTATCCGTAAAAGCTTGTCTGATTTGCCCGGTTCTAATTATTTCGCTTCCTGGGATTTCACTTCCGACCCATGCAATTTCGCCGGTGTTTACTGCGATGAAGATAAAGTCATTGCCCTGAACCTGGGTGATCCGAGAGCTGGTTCACCTGGGTTAACGGGTAGGCTTGACCCGGCGATTGGTAAGCTCTCTGCCCTCGCCGAGTTCACTGTCGTTCCCGGACGGATCATCGGCCCCTTGCCGGAGTCTTTATCGCAGTTGAAGAACCTCAGGTTTCTCGCTGTCAGCAGGAATTTCATCTCCGGTCAAATTCCGGCAACTCTCGGTGAGCTCCAACGGCTGCAGACACTGGACCTCAGTTTCAATCAGCTTTCCGGGAGTATTCCATGGTCCGTTGGAGCTTTACCGGCATTGTCCAACGTGATCCTCTGTCACAACCGTCTATCGGGTCAAGTCCCGCCGTTTGCATCGCAGACCCTGACCCGGTTAGACCTGAAGCATAACGAGCTTTCCGGATCCTTCTCGCCAACTTCCCTCCCTCCTTCCCTCCAGTACCTCTCACTCTCATGGAATCAGTTCAGCGGGCCTGTCGACTTGCTCCTGACCCGATTAACCCGGCTAAATTACTTGGACTTGAGCTTGAATCATTTCTCGGGTTGCATTCCGGGCGTCGTGTTTAGCTTCCCCATCACCAATCTCCAGCTCCAGAGGAACTATTTTTCCGGTCGGGTTGAACCGGTTGATCAAGTGGCTATCCCCACCGTCGATCTTAGCTACAACCGGTTGTCCGGCGAAATATCGCCGCTGTTCGCGACGGTTCAGAATCTATACTTAAACAACAACAGGTTCATGGGTCAGGTTCCGAGCAGCCTAGTGGATCGTTTACTATCGGCAAGCATCCAAATTTTGTATCTACAGCACAATTATCTGACCGGAATCGACATCAATCCGACGGCTGATATCCCACTGAGTAGCTCATTGTGTTTGCAGTATAATTGCATGGTGTTGCCGGTGCAAACGCCGTGCCCGCTCAAGGCCGGGAAGCAGAAGACAAGGCCGACCGATCAGTGCATTGAGTGGAAGGGTAAAACTAAGAATTAATTAATTTAATTAAAAGTTTTTAGTTAATCTGTTGTGATGGGGAAAAGGGGAGAAATCGGCGTTGATTTCATCTGGGCCATTTTGATTTTTTGGGAGGGTGAATCCATGATCATCAATTCATCATCGTTCCATATATATTTTGTGTATTTTTTGGTGGAAGAAAAAAAGGGAGGCATATATAGAGAGATTATTCATTTATTTGATTTAATTTTGTGAAATTTCTAAGTACTACTAGTAGTTTTTAAGTAGTGACATCTTCTAATAAAATGTAAATTGTTGATATCCATCTATAAAAGCTTCAAGTGCTTCTTTGAGATTTCATATTGCCTCTTTTGATTTTTGGTTGATCATTCATTTCATAAATTAGTGAAATTTGGAGTACTCATTTGTGTTTGATCTATCTTTTGTGTTTTAGTCATAATGGGCAGTGATTACTATTTCTACAGTGGTTTTTTTGTTCTTCTTTTTTTTGTGCTTCTTTTTATGTTATTGTTTTTGGCTTTTGGTGTTTGATAGCTTATATTAACAACAACACATGATTTTCTGACCGAAATGTAACACTGGGAATGTTCCTCTTTTATTGTCCTTGTGGATAACGGCTATATAGCACTACACAACTGGGATCACATTTGGCAGGAATTTGCCAGAGAGCTTTTGTTTAATCTAAAAAAAAAAAGGAGAGTTGTATGAAAATCCGGGAATTGGGCAAATTACATTATTACATTATTTGGGTTTTGTCAGTAAAGTCACATTGCTTCTCTCCTTTAATTGGACCAAATTTTTACTGTTTTCGTTTGTTTTTTTCTGTTTTTGGTTTTCTGCTTCGATACTTTTTTTTTATCCGTTGGGCTTATTTGCAGTCTACACTAATTAATCTAATTCATTACTATAAAAAAATAGCTATATATAGAGGCTTACCTAAACACTAATGTATCATTTTTTACCAATTTGGTGTGTTCACTTCCTTTAGTGTTTGTTTGATAAAGAAAGATTAGGGATTTTTTTTCAATTCCTTTTCCCAAAGGCTGTAATACATACGCTGGACGGAGGATGACTTCATAAACATGAAGTTAATAATAACTCAATATGGCACCCAAAATTGGAAATGCTACACCACTTTGTAGGTTCACTTTTTGTTCTTTGTAAGGACTAATGGAAGGTTGGAGAGTCAAAAAAGTGATTAAAGCTGTCTTTTGTTTTTATATTTCTTTCATTAGAAAATAAAACCGTAATTAAAAGTAACGTGTAATTGGGAAATGAAGCAAAACTTGTGGGTTGGGTCCCTACTTTCTTTCAGTGAGCAGTCTTCCGAAGCCTTTTTTGTCAACCCGAATCTTGAGTTCGATATATAAAAGCTACATCATTAACGTAGTAGATTCAATTAGTGGAGAATCCTCTTTTATTAAAATAACCACTAAAATCAAAATTAGATTAATCATAATCTAAACACAGTTACGCAGGAGATCTCAATTGACGGTGAAATAAAAATAAGAATAGAGTACAAAACAAATATATGTGGAATAAAGTAATAAACACTGAAGAATCACAATTAGACTGTGAGGGACTAAAGCTATCTCTCATTCATGTACCCCCCCTTTTTTTATTAATAAATAAATATCTTTCCATTTGGTGCAAAAATTTATCACAGTAATAATGACAACAACAACACCAATATGATCTTATTCTAGTTGTTAGTGTTGATAATGTGTGATCATGCATTATATCCCCAAAAGAAGGGCCAAAACAGTGTTCCACCAGACAAGAAGCAGTTTTCCCTAAGTTAAATCCGACTCCAATGATCAGGATTAACCGTGCCGGCATTCTGATATATATATATATATATATATATATAAATTACTTAGTATACAATTATAAAAAGTTGATGGTATTCAAAAGAGACTATTTTATTACTCAGAAATATACTGAAATTTTTTACATGTTCATTTAAGGTATGGTACTACTACAATTATCAATTCCCACCAGAGAGTAAATTGATTTCGTTCCTAACAAGCCTTACTCTTGCTACCTAACTTTCCAAATGAGCTTGAATATTCCATGAAAAGCCAAAGGCCCCGTCCGCCTAAGCCATTTTTTTCTTTTTCTTTTTCCTATTTAGAACGTGGTTTAAAAATATATCGCCTAAAAATATGAGGTCTTAATTGTATAGATTGTTTTTTAAAATAATGAACTTATGTTGTCTAAAAAAGACATTAATTTTGTTAAAGTAATCTACTGTTATGATAAAATTAATTATTTTACTATCTCCGTCCCACAAAAATAGTCCACATTGAGTTTTTAAATTTGTGCTAAAAACAGTTCAAAATTCAAAACTCAATGTAGACTATTTTTTTGGGACGGGAGGAATATCATTTTGTTTGGACGGAAAAAGCAATACTGGCCAAATGGACTATCTTACACTATCACCGTACAGTAGTAGGCAATGTTTTCAAAATCGGGATTTCACACATGATCGTTTTGGCGTCTCAGGATCGGATCGGATTATGGATCGGTGTGATTGTAACCATTTAAAATATTATAATAATTCTGAAATTGCGAGTTACAATTTGTTAGTTCAATTCGTGTTTGATTTTATAGAAGAGAAGTAGATTAGTGCCCGCATAAGTATCATCAACTCTATAATAATTTTAATATTTTTTCTAATCATTTTCTCCTCTTTTTCTACGAAATCAACAATTTATACAAGTATCAACAAAATTTAATGGGATCGCTGGATCGTAGGATCCTACAATTCGATTGGGATTTTGAAGAATTCCATAAGATCGCACTACAAAAGAGGATTTTATAAGATCCAAGATCAATTTTCCGATTCAGGATCGCTAGATCCTAAGATCCGGATAGGAATTTCAAAAATTATGGTAGTAGGTTACCGGCTGGATCCCGGCCAATTTGGTCTGGGAATCCGACCGACAAGTTATCGGTCATCCGATCTAAAACCACTGAAAATGTAAGCACTAGGATTTAGGACTAATACAAATCCACGAAGATTACTTCTATTTTCCCTCCACTGCTTTTACACTTGCCAAAAAAATAAAAAATCCACCCACCCCAGAATCCCCATCCTTTTTCCCTATTCTAGTTACCAGTAATTATAATTCAAAATCCCAATCCCTTCAGTCTTTGTCATCCCAAATTCAAATCCATCCTTACACCAACCCGGATGACTTATTACTACCATCAACTCATCAAGCATCGTTTAGTTTTTTGTTTCTTCCTAAAATTCAATTCAATGCTTAAAACCTAGTAGTGCCAATATAAGCTGAAACTGAAGTGCGAAAAAAAGGTGTCCAGAATTCGTAGCAGAGATGGGGCTGTGAGGGTCGAAATCGACAACCTGAATGTGTCGACCCATTATATCATGCCTTTGCTTGAATCCCAGCTCCCTGGTTCCAATTGAATCCCAGATCTTCTCTACAAATCGGAATATTTTGTTACTAAGGAAAGGGGGGCCAAAGGAGGAGCTGATCTTAGATTTATAGGATTAAGGATGTTGTGGTTGCCTGGCTCGTGGGAAGGATACTAGGGAAGTTGCTGATGATTTCTTCCTTTTTGGTTCCGATCATCAGGTGTGTGGGATTAACTGTTTCCCAGAATTTTGATTAATTGTTTAGAAAAGTTGCGCCCTTTCTTTATCCTGCCTTATAAGTTTACAAGTTTGTTCCTTTTCATTTCGAGGTGTTGCTGGAAGGAATGTTTAATCCGGTATTGCATGCGTGATTATGTTGGTTTTGATAAGTACACCCAATTAGTTTATGTGGTATTTCGAAGATTGTAAATTGTGAGGGACTTGCATTGTTTAGGAGTCCCAAAAAAACTTAATAATTGAATTCTTCATCCGTGTTGTGCGTCTGCAATTCCGAGGATTTTAGGAATTAATAACATTTCAACTGGTACACAGGTTTGCATCATATGTATCTTAGAGGTTGTCCTGCTTATGAATATGGCGGCTTATTTGTTGTTCTCATTGGAGCCTTATAGACCTTCAGTGATACTGACTTCCCTTATTAGTTCAAGCAGGCTCTCATCGTTTTCTTATTCAGCAGAATTTCTTGCTGGTAACAGAAATCTAATGCCCTGGAATAAGGCTCGTTTCCTTGCAGTTGTATGTGCTATTGTTTGTTTTTAAGGCTGGTACTGCTCTTATATTTGATTACCCTGGGCTAATTTCGTCTCTGGAGATGGCCTAAGATTACGACATGGCCGAATGGATAACAATGTCTAAGTGCAAAATAGAAGGGGAGGAAATTACATCCAAGAACCAAAGAAAAACAATAGCTGGGGAAGTGCACCACAAGCAAATAAACATTGTTACTTTCATCAGCAAAACATACAGTATCAACATCAGACTGCATCACAAGCAATAAGCCATTTTCCCTGTATTAAGGTGGGAAACTAGTCTCCTTCTTCTAAAATAAGCCACTTTCGATAATTTTTTTTTAAAAAAAGGAATGCACAATTGGACTTGGAGCCAACTCCAAAAGATGTTGAAGAAAATGGAATTGGTGAGTTTGGAGAAAACTCAGAAAGTGAAGAAGAAACACAAAATCTTCCTAATTTGATATTCGATCTAACGGCACAAATAAGCGGACACAAATTAAGGGCAAGCACCCGTAGTTGATTATTAATTGACTAAGATATCCAAATGGTCCCTTACATTTGGGCTTACTTGAATTTACATTCCTAACATTAACATTTCAATATCGTAGTCCCAAATATTATGTTTTTAAACTTTTTTGGTCTCATTTCACTGTTTCCGGCCGTTGACATGCCGGAATCAGGGGTATTTTCGTCTTTTAATTTAATTTAAGTTTCTATTAAAATTCAAATTATGAAAAATATTTTAAAATTCAGATTTCATTATTTAATTGTTAAAATATTATTTATTAATTAAAAATATTATTATAAAATTTTAAGATTTATCATTATTTTCAAAATTACTTTTATCATTTACTATTTACCTTGGATACACAATAAATGGTAAGTATGTTGCACTTTTAATTTTGGACCCCCTATAACTTAAAAAATTTACCGGGTTACAGTAAATAATTCAAAATTTAATTTTTTTTTTTTAAAAAGCAAAACCATGATTCTTTTACTTTGACTGCCGCTACATTAAACCCTAAATGGAAATAATGTCACACTTTTAACCTTGGCACAAAGTAGATTAAAATTTACCGAGTTATAAATAATCCAAAATTTATTTTTTTTAAAAAAAAGAAAAAGCAAAAGGAAGATTTTTTTTTTTTTACTTTGACTGACTACAATAAACCCTAAATGAAAATTATGTTGCATTTTAACCATGGACCCACTGTAACTTAAAAAAATTTACTGAATTACAGTAAATAATTCAAAATTCAAAAAAAAAAAAAGCAAAACCAAGATTTTTTTTTTTTTACTTTGACCGCTACAGTAAACCGTAAATAGTAACTATATTGCACTTTTAACCTTAGACCTAATGTAACTTAAAACATTTACTGAATTATAGTAAATAATTCAAAATTCAATTTTTTTAAAAAAGAAAAGAAACAGCAAAACCCGATTTTTTTACTTTGGCCGCTACAGTAAACCCTAAATATTAACTATGTTGTACTTTTAACCTTGGGCCCAATATAACTTTAAAAATTTACCGAATTACATCAAATAATTCAATATTCAAAATTCAAATTTGATTTTTGAAATATTTACTGTAATTCGGTAAAGTTTTTAAGTCATAGTAGGTCTAAGGTTAAAATTAAAGTGTAATATAATTACCATTTAGGGTTTATTGTAGCGGTCAAAGTAAAAAAAAAATCTTGGTTTTGCTTTTCTTTTTTTTTTTAAAAAAAATTGAATTTTAAATTATTTACTGTCATTCGGTAAATTTTTTAAGTTATAGTAGGCCCAAGGTTAAAAGTACAACATAATTTTCATTTAGGGATTACTGTAGTGGTCAAAGTAAAAAAATCTTAATTTTGCTTTTTCTTTTTCTTTTTTAAAGAAAAAAATTGAATTTTGAATTATTTATTGTAACTTCGGTAAATTTTTTAAGTTACAGTAGGCTTAAGGTTAAAAGTGCGAAATAATTACTATTTACTTTGTACCTAAGGTAATGATAAATGAAAAAATTAGTTTTGAAAATAACGTAAATTTTGAAATTTTATAATAATAAATAATATTTTAATAATTAAATAATGAAATCTAAGTTTTAAAATATTTTTATGATTTAAATTTTAATAAAAATTCAAAATAAATCAAAAGACGAAAATACCCCTAATTCCGGCATGTCAATGGCCGGAAACAGTGAAATGGGACGAAAAATTTTTGAAAACATAATGTTTGAGACTATGATATTGAAATGTTAATGTTAGGGACGTAAATTCAAGTAGGTCCAAATGTAAGGGATCATTTGGACATTTTAGTCTTATTAATTAGTAAAAGCAAAAATGTATCAAATGTAACCAAAAACTTAGAGGCGGTCAATGAGGAACTGAAAGGAAAAAAAAGAAAAAGATAAAATTGTTTGAAGGAACACTCATGATCATATTAAGGCGAACGAATAAAATTTCACAGTAACATAATTCTCAACAGAAAGGCTGAAAATAACATATAGAAGTTTCACTAAACAGTATTCCTATATCTCAGACATTTAATAACAAAATCGAAGAGAAAATGCAATCACAATCATAAGTACCAAAAAAAAAAAAAAATCATCACGAACTCTTGGGCAGAACCCTCGTTGTAGATGTTAATTAGAAAAAAGGGAAGGTTAAAAAAATAAAATAAAATGTTAATCTAAATCAAATGAAATTTTGGACCACCTAAGCGAAGTCTGAACATATATGATTATGAATCTCCAATCAGAGCTAGAATATATATGAATAGAACAATTTTGAAACAAGGGGAGTACTTATTTCTTCCTATGGATAAAGCTGGCCAAACTCTCTCCCAACCAAATTTCTTTTCAGTTTATGCTACTTGATAGTGTTTTACATAGCTGGAACAACATGACGGGACCAAGGCTCAACAAGACTAGTAATTAAGGGGAATCCACTTGGCTGAAAAAGACGGCCATCTTTGGTAATTGGTAAATCAGTAGGACGAACCAAATGTGTCACGGTATCGTAAGCATAAACATTGATGTCGTCGTGAAAAAAGATTTCATTACTCCTTCTACCTAAATATGGTATCAAATTAAGCTCACAACTCAAGCGCTTGTAAAACGGACCATACATCCTCTGCAAGATATTTGGATGTGGCTCTACAACAGTGATCTTGGTCCAAGAATCATTCAATCCATAATCTTTCATTATCCACAGACTCGCACTTGCAGACTTGGTAGAATGCATATATATCACGCACAGAAAGTCTTCAAACACCCCCACATCCCATATTGATTGCACACTCTCAACATCATTGGGTGGTGGTGCGAAAATTCGGGTGGTCTCGGCATTAAGATCAAGAGCCACGATACAATCACAACCACCATCATCAATCGCCTTCCAATGAAGCGCATTGTTAACTAGTTTGCCTTCAGTTCTAGATATTCCGCGTGTTCCAACAATATATTGGAAGTTTAATGGAAGACGCCTCCAAGAATTGGATGCGACACTATAAACTTTAACTTCCTGATGGATTGGACGAGGAGGAGAAGAGGTGGAGGAGGAATCAAAGCATGCAAGAATCCCCACAACTTTATAGTCATCCCCAATATCATCGTACCCGAAAGCATACTCATAGGTTGAATAGATTGTAGAATGTGTTAGAATCGGAGGGTGATGGCATGCATCATCAAGAACGGGAACAGGTAAGACCCACCTCTTGCGAATCGTTGGATTCCAAAGGACGATATGATCAGTGAGCGAATTACTCAAACAAACTAACCCATTGCAACAACCATGGATTCTTCTTACTAAAGATCGTAGTTCGGTAAACGGGAGATGGGTGGGTCTCATCTTTTGAGGTGGAGAATCCGGGCTTACAATGAGGAAAGAGGGACGAGTTCCATGATTGTTATTTATCATGAGTAGAATCTGAGGGTTGTCTTGTGCTCTGGCTTTGGAAATTTTCAATTGCAGATTGACGAAATATTGGCTACCAATCAAAGCTTTCCATTGTTTCGAAACACATCTAAACCTCAGCAATGACTTCGCGGGCAACCTAGCAAGTATTTCGGGCACCAAATCTTCAGGAAGCGCGACAGGATTTAAGGACATGGCGCCCGATACTATAAACAGTACTACTGTATAACAATTAAGATCGGGGGGATCTTCCGCACAAAAGGGCAAATTATTAACCGATGATGATCGAGAAGAATTAATATGGAAAATACGGCTTTAATATATACCTTTGTAATTTTAACCTAGGACCAACAAGATTCGGGATACTTATAAACCTTATTAAAATAGTCGAGTAATTGTAAATTTTACTACTACGCAGTCTTAATACAAACAGAATTCGGGAGATGTGCATGGCCGTCTTTCCTTTTTCTTTTCCTTTTTTTCCCCCCTTTTTTACGGGTTGTTATATTAGGAAATAAAAATCGATGTGTGTTAGAAAAAGGGACGTATTATCAAATTTGGGTGGCCAATTTTGAATCCTATCACTAGTGTGAATTTGATCAGGTGGAAACCTATTCCTAAAAAATTGAATTCTACTCCCTCCGTCCCATAATTATTGTCCACTTTGCCCAAAAAATTTTGTCCCAAAATTATTGTCTAATTTGACTTTTTATGGATCAAGTTACACATTTGTCCTAAGTAAAAAATATTATCCATAAAATCTTAGTGGTTAAACAATTACTTATGTAGGGGTATATCCGGTTGTTTAAGGTAAAAAATAGTTAAGTTTGACCAAAAATAAAATCTTTCATTTTAGTAAAACTGGACAATAATTATGGGACGGAGGGAGTATTATTCTCTTTAATCATCATTAAAAGTTCAAAAACTAAGTAATCATGCAGGATATTTCATAGCCATGAACTTTGTACCACCATTCCCCAAAGGTTAAAGGAGTTAAACAGAGTAATTTGCTGAAATACTAGCTTGATATATATTATATAAAAACGCTACTAGAATCATACGACCAGCTAGCGTAAATATACTACTTCTGGCCAGTGCTGCAACATAGATTTGCAAACAAATGTTCCATGTCAATACATGAAGGATAACGTTGCTCAAATTAATTGAAGTCTGAATCAATCACTGCTGCTACACACCCTTTTTGCTGCTTCGAAATTACCAACGACAACACCGTACGAGAATGAAGAATCAACTTTGTGATGAGAAGTTATATATTGCATTTGCCGCCATAGTGATTCATATTTGTTAGTTTCTAAACAGACATTTCTGAACTACACACCTATAATTTTATGTGCTTTTTGTGGAAGAAGAGAAAAAATGGGATGTATATATAGAGATTATTGATTTATTTGATCCAGTTTGTGAGTAACTTCTAGTTTTAATTAGAGACGTCTTCTAATAATAAAATGTAAAATTGTTGATAGCCTGCAGCTTTAAAAGCTTCAAGTGCTTCTACGTTTGCCTCCATTTTTTTCCTTTTGGATAATTGGGATTATTCCATATTGCCCATTTGATTTTTTGGTTGATCAGTCTTCCATAAATTGGTGAATTTTTGAGTACTATAATTTGTGTGATCTATTTTTGTGTTTGGTCATTATGGCCTGTTAGAAGCTGCAACTGGTTTTTGGTTCTTTCTTTCTCTTTTTTTTTTTTTTCCTGTATTTCTTTTTATTGTCTTTTGGTTTTTGATGCATGATAGCTTATTAAACAACGCAACACAACACAGGCAGTCGCAGCCACACAAGCAGCCTACAGTAATCCAAGTATTCCTAAGCCACCCTCATCTTCCAATTGGATTGAAATGAGATGGATAGGTTCGCAACATTGAGCAATAAGGTTCGCAAAATTGAGCAAATCTTCATTCATGAACTTCCAGTACCTATAAGATGATTTCTCACTATGTTGGACAAATAACTAATAATCTATATATGTATTTTTGTCACGACCCGGGGGCCTTGGGGTGGCTGGAAAGGCAGAAAAGGAGAATCTCGGACTGAGACGGGGAGAAATTAGGGTTTAGGGAGGAAATATGAGAAGAGAGAGAGAAATTGAAAAATTCCAATTTGATATTATAATTTCTGATAATCCGTTTTCAGTCCCTGATGACTATTTAAAGCATAGCATGATTTAAAAATTACAAATCAGCCCCTATATTTTATATTTCTTACAAGTGACAATTTTGTTTGAGTTTAGCCCATAATTCTATTGAGAAAACTCGATCAATGAAGATAATGAGGCTCTTTAAATCCAGTAAAAGACCAATAGAGTTTAACTTTGATCCAGCCTCAGTCAGGGCCTGACCACAAGCAATTGAAAGAAGTGCAAAATACATGCATGTGAAAAACACACATTCGTCGCGAATCGTATCTCGACGACAATCTTCGTCGACTTAATCATCAATATACATATCCTGACACCTAAGGCGACGAAATGTCCAACTTCTGTAAAGAAACCATACAAAAGGAAGAAAGAAAACCAACGGAATGTTACAGTCGACCATCTTCTTCGTCTACTTTACCGTCGGGATAACTAGTATATTGACGATAGATTGCAAAATTCTGAAAAATACATACACCCTAATCAACCAGCTTTGACGACTTAGTCATCGGGTTCCCTAGACCGGTGATAAAGTTGAAAGTTGTAAAATTATGTACAAGCTCCTTTAGCCCCACAATTAAGTCGACGAAGAGCTGAAATCTTTCTACTTCTATTCTCCTGAAAGCTCAATGAAACCTCGGCAAATGTTTTAATGCAGTAATACTTGTACTACAGTTGTACTCATATTCTTCATCTAATGGACAGCTTACGTAAGCTGCATATATTATCAGAAAATAAGAGCAACACCATTGCCTTGTTGCATTTCTTTGGGGTCTTTCTGCAACCAAATTTTTTGCTCTCTTTTTCTGGAAGTGTTCCACTAGTAAATTATCCGCCCCTAATTCTATAACTTGTAAATTTCACCAATATGTAATTTTTACTCCCTCCATCCCATAATTATTGTCCTGTTTGAGTTTTCATTTTTAGTTGAAATTGTACTAAAAGTGAAAAACCAAATTGGACAATAATTATGGGACGGAGTGAGTACAATTTAAGATTGATCCAAGACCAATTAAAATTGTCCAACATATACAAGTAACAAGTACGTAGTCTTAATTGTGTCTTGCGTAGTGACACTTCATCTGCAACCTGATGGAAAAGACATACATTACTCTGACATAGTTTTGTTCTGTACTTTTGTAAACATCGACAGTGTGTCTAGGCCCAAATTTTGCCTTCTGGAAACTTCAGTTGCCAATTTTTGCAAATTATGTTTCAGAGGAACATAACTGAACTAAAAAAGAAAATCACACAGAGAATAAGATCAAAGGTGGCATTTCAAAAATTCCTGATTTTACAAAAAAAAGGCAAATATGTGCATATATGCAACTCAATTTTTTTTTTTTAACAAAAAACACAGTAATCTCATACACATGTAATGGAACCTAAGTTTTAAGCTGTTTCTTTCTCTTCATAATACTGATTTACCAGGATAGGATGGTTCTTGAAACTATGCATTTTACCACCAGGAGCCACAGATTTAAGACTTTTAAAATTGGATTTAGCCCCTCGAGGCAACACAAAAGTTGCAATCTTCATATGACCTGCTCCAACAGCAAGATGAATGGGAATATACCCAATATCATCTACAATATCAAGCTGAGCTCCATGGCTGACAAGCATTTTCACACTCAATTTTTCCTTTAAAAGCAGCTCTATGCAAAGGAGTCCAACCATTTTGATCCCTCGAATTCAAATCCACGTTAGCCACCCCGCCTGATTCTGCCAAACAGGCCTGAATAGATTCAATATCGCCTCTTCTTGCAGCCGAATGCAAAACATCTCCCGAATATAATATATGGTACAACTGAGAATGACCCTCTTCAAGGGCTATATCATACGCAGTCTTTCCATCTCTGGCTCTGGTATACTTGGCTGAAATTGACTGATTCAGAAGGTACTCAACAACTTGAACATGCCCTTCTTCTGTTGCATAATGAAGAGGTGTCCATCTTCTGCAATCCAGAACATCAGGATCAGTTCCCGATGATACTAAAAACCGGATCACTGAAAGATTCCCCTGGATTGCAGCCAGGTGAAAATCCAAATCCAAATCCGGATATCCCAAGCACAGAATTTCCAACAAATCAAGGCGTTCCATGGCCGCGGCGTCGTGTAAGAACAAATCAACAGAGCAATCAAGTACATAACCAGCCTCAATTAGAACCTGAATAGCGTCAATATTCCCGGACTCAACCGACAGGGTCATGGCAGACTGTTTAGTCTCCGGGTCCCTATAGACCTATAATTCACATCAGCACCAGCATCAATCATGGCCGAGACAAAGGAAGAAGTTCCGGGACTCTTAGCAGCACACATCAGCAGCGAATCAAGCTGCCCTTTATCACACCAGAATGTGGCCTTGGATAACAGAAAAGCAACTTCCAGGGACTTGGATCCTGGAGAAAGAATCAGGGATTCCACTACCTGAGGCCCAACAAACGATATAGGCAGGACAGCGTCTTTAAAGATATGAGGCCCTGGTTTGGAAAACAGACGCCAGAGGTGATCCTGATTGGCTTGTCCGGTGGGAAGCATGGAGGACTGGACTATGACGGTATCCAGGGGAGAACAGAGTGGTGGTTGGTCACCGGAATCGTTGTTCTGACTCAAGAAAAGCGTATATGTTGAAGTTGACTGAGGTGGGATGATTGAAAAAGGGTGTGAGAAGCTAAAGAGAGATGAATTTGTGGAGGTTAGGGAATTGGGCAATCTTTACACCATTACATTATTTGGATTTTGACAGTAAAGCCACATTGCTTCTTCCCTTTATTGGACCAAATGGATTGTTTTCAATTGTTTGTTTCTTTCTGGTGTTGCTTTTGTGCCTGCGGTCCTTTTTATCCTTTGGGCTTACTTGTAGTGTACACAAATTAGTTTAATTGAATTTATCAAAGCCAGCTATCTAGGCTTAGCTAAACATTAATCTATACATCATTAACGTTAGATTTTATTTTAAGTAAACTCGCGGGCTGAGTCCCTACTTGCTCAACTTTTAAGTCAACTTTCTTTCAAAGCCTTTGTCAACCCAAATCTGAGTTCTTAACGTAAAAAAGTTATTACATCATTAACGTTAGATTTTCTTTTTCTTCTTTTTTCCGGTACAAGTCATTAACGTAGATTTGATTGGTGGAGAATCCTCTTTTTCAAAAATATGAAAAACCACTAAAATCCACACTAATTTAATCAAAATCTAAGACAATGGATCTCAAGAAACGGATAAAAATGATAATAACGTAATCGAAATTACAAAACACTAACAATATACTGTATGTGGAATCGATCCATTTTCTATCTCACTAAATTCTCTAAAAAGTGGAAAGCCCACTGAAGAATCTAACTTTCGTATTTAAAATTAGAAATATTGACTGTTGGAAAATCAAAAATATTCAAACCAATCCCAAATAGGAGAACTTCCTTTTCTTTATCTTTTTTTCTTATCTTTTCTTTTCTACCTTTTGGGTTTTGATTTGGCCCTTTTACATCACACCTTTCTCTCTCACTATTTTTTTTCCACGGCAATGATGAAGGTCTTGTTTGGCCAACCACACATTTTACATTTTATCTCATTTTACTTCTTAAAACACATCTCAAACACAAAATCCAACACTATTCAAACAATTTTTTAATTTGCTTTTTAAAATTTATTTCAAACATTATTTTTACACCTTTTTTTACACCACCACCGGACCACCTTTGCCGCCACCGTCCGCCGCCGGACCGGCCTTATTTAAAATATTACCCAAATAACTTTTTAAATTTTCTCTCAAACCATAATTTAAATCACATCTCAAATCCAAATAAAAAAAAATTAAAACAAAATATTGACCAAACAAGTCTTAATTTTTCGAAGGCAATAGTGTAAACCGGTGAATCATGATTCTATATAGGTGAAAAATCAGATTATATCATGTTTCAACCGTATCCCTTTTACCCTATTAAAGCAGAATACAAGATGTTGATGTGGCAACTTCTTATTAAAAATTTTTGGCTCCAAATGCACCATATTGCATTAACCATTCTGCCACGTTCATCCGTTTTTAAAAGAAAAAAAAATTCTTATCCGGAGAAACAAAAATTATTTTACAAAAATAGCTACATAATTTTAACTCCTAACATTTATCATTTATCAATCAAATTAAAATAGCATTTAAATTTGCTCATAAACTTATCCCCTTTATTACTCCATATTTTTTTGTATGATTTCTGTATCGTTGTACTTTTCAATATTTTTTTTTTCCTTTGGTAGATGATTTTTTATTTTTATTTTTATTTTTGGCTAAGAAAAGGAAAAAACTAAATGTGTAGCTATTTTATTTTTTTCAAATCAAGAATTCATTTATTTATTAACACAAAATTAAAATAGAGGGGCGCCCGGGCATCTGCCTGGGCCAAACATCTAGTTTTATTATTTATAACAATCGATTTCTATAATCTCAGCGAACTATAGGAATCTATGGGGAAAAAGAAAGAAGAAGAAAAAAGATGAGATTATTGTTTGAAAATCAGTAAAATGGATCGGGTAGTATAGATTTTAAAAGAGTGTGTAGAAATTAAAACTTTAGTCATATAAATTATGTGAGGTATCTCTATCCTATTCAATTCACTACATGGTCTTTATTCCAAGCTGGAGTATTCATGCTGAAGTTGGAACAGAAAGTTGGAGACTTCAGCAATTCAAAAATCAGTCAACAACAGAAATATTTTTATATAATAGTTTAAAAGGGGAAACAAACTTTAGGAGAACGATAAAAAAAAATTTGACATACACAATCAAAATTTGACAACACAACTTGGGTTATAATACCCACTCCTATTCAAACGTAGAAAATTACATTGAACCCCCTCCTCTATAGTCTATTCTCTCATACAATTATCATCATCAGAAGCCTCTAAACCAAAATATCAACCGGTATTTAAAACATCAAAGAATGTATCTCCAATTTACATCATTAATCCGTCACCAAAAGGCTAGTCAAGCACCACTTGTTACTGAGGTCTTGTCTTGTCAATTGTCCTCTCCAAGATCTTTTTTTAGGTGAACCACTCTCAAACACTTTAGGGGAAAGGAAAGTCTTAACATAGACAATAGGTTCCCCAAAAGACCTAAAAATGTGGAAATCATTGGCAAATACAGAATACTGAATTAAACCAGGTTTCCTGTGTAATAGTATCTTTCTCCTCTCTTACCCTCACCCATTATAAGCAACGGGTTTGTAACAGACCCCTCGGTCATCTCCCCAAAAATAAGTAGGCATTTCCATCACCTTTGTCCAACTCAAGTTCATTTGCAAGATCTTTTAAAATCCAAAACTCCCTTTGATCTCCATACTGATATAGGATAGACAACAGACCACCACCTTTACCTAACTCAGCCACCTCAAATTGTATGTCATCAATGTCTGTAACTGGGAGGGAAATTTGCCTCTGAGCTCCCCCATAAGCATCAATTACCATTAGACACCAGCAGCCACCAACCTTGGTGACAAAGTAAACCTCCCCCCTCCTGTAAAAGAAAAAATCAGACTTGACTACAATCCCCCCACAGGACACTCCAATTTCCATCCATGTTCTTAGGCTGTATATTTCGATGGCTTTCAGTTTCCTTGGTCCAAAATCTTCCTTTGACGAGTGGACTAAAGCCACCCTGAAGTGAGAATCATCCCAACCTATAGAGATGAAAGATGTGGAACAGTCTCCAAACAGATTGGGTGGCAGGACCTTGAATACTTTGGTGAGAGGGATGTATAAAAACGTCTGACGGCCAACAACATCTTCAACCTCATCTCCAATCAGAAGTAACTCATCTCCAGATGCAAGAACTTTGAAATCGTGATCATTTGACGTATGTCATGAGGGAGATAAAAGGGTTTAAAGTCTTCCTCTGGAGGTAACAAGAACACGGATGTACCTCAGATTCCCGGTGAGAGACACGGTCTTCATCCTCTGGATCTCCCGCTAAGGGCATGTACCACACATCCTGGAACTCAGAATCCCCCCACGTAGTACCCAAAATCTGCTTCTTGGTAAGAGTATACCTCGTTCTTGACGACGATGGAGTGCTGCTCGTAGTCAGGAATTCCGTGCGCATTCAAACAATGATTTTTAATGAAAATTGGTGTTGACAAATTAAACCCTAAATTCCTTGAATGGAAAAAGCACAAGTGGTGCGTGCCGAGTTCACCAAAAATATTACTAACTTGGATTATGATTTTTGTAGATAATAGAAGCTAGGTCGATTTCACGAGTACAACTAATTACCAAATTCGTTGTTAAAAGACTACCAGTTTAGACAAGGTGTCACTCAGGGGAATGGAAACAGTCACTCAGAGGAATAAAGGGCAGGGGTGTTCATCTCCGCTTCCTACTGCAGTAGTTGTTAGTCAGCACTGTAATGGTTAAGTTCTTGTTCATTCAGCTTACTTATAACTCTAAGTCAATTCTCATTTTTCCTAGAGTCATCTTTGCAACCTTAACAATCTATTTTCCAATGATTGATTCCAGTTAAAAAGTCATTAAGATCTCCGGCTTACGTGAATGCTCATGCTAACTAAGTATATTCCTATCTTAGTTAAAACCATAGACTGTTACCTCTATGTCATAAGTTGAAGTTGAAACAATTTAAACCAAGTTTATCTTTTCAGAACTCCCTTAGTTCTAGCATGCATTCAATTTAGTGAACAAGTAAATGAATGTAAAAAAACTTTCAACTTCAAAACAAAGAACAGAACCAGTGCATTACAACAACTACAATATAGGTTGAGGAGATTAACCCTTGGAAGCTACTTAGCTACTCATGCAGATTAATGCTACCTCTACTACATCAAAAGACATCATAGAAGTATGCATCATAAAACGAAGTTCAAGCTAACAGTCAAGAGACGAGAAAAAAATTTGTGCAGTTCTGAACCACTCCTGAAGTGAAAGAGTTCACTCATGGAAGTGAGTCAGTGACTGGGAAGACTGTTCTTCAACTTGGCTTCCTTACTGAGTTGTAGTTGTTCCTTCTTCCTTCTTGCCTTCTTCTAGAGTTTTTCTATGTGTTTTTGGCAACTGAAAGGGGTAGCCAGAGATGTCCATTTCTGAGAGTGCAGCTCCCCTTTTATAGAGCCCTGCAGCCGGTTCTTCAATCAAGAGAGCCTCCCTATGCTTGTGAATTGTTTAATCCTTCCTAGGCCTTGTGTCTGGAATCCGAAATTGACTGGTCTTCTTCTCTTCTTCCAGTAGTAGCAGCAACAACCTCATTGATCAGCATGGGTGGTTGGAATTTCGGCCAAGAGACAAGCATGCCCTTTGGAATTCAAATGAGAGACACACTCATTAATGTCAAGATGTTTTGGGTCTTGGGAGTGCTTTTTTGACCAGCTCAGCAAAAATTGTATCAGCAGCCCACAATTTGTTCCTTTGACCCTAATTTTCAGCAATTGTTCAATCAAGTCCTATCCTAATAGAAAACACAAAAACTAGTTAAGTGAAATGCACTAATATTAAGAAATACCCCTAATTTCTTACTAAATTCAGAGTTAATTGTGATACTTTTATGTAACAAATAAACCATTATCAACAAGAAAGCCAATTTAATGAAAATTGGTGTTGCTTCTTTATACGTTAGAACGTCGTCGGGAAAACGGGGTTATCCATTGTTCAAACATCATTTGAACAATTGATAACCCCTACTTTAAAATCTTGGTTTTTAGAATCATAACCAACTGAAACCAAGCAAAAGAGGCAATTTTTGAAAACTTATATGCTATTTGGGCTAATTTAAATTAGTTTGAGGGGTATTCTCGTCCAAAAGACTAACTCGACTACAAAAATCATACATTTGGATGAAATCAACAACTAGAACAAACATTTGGACTAAATCGACAACCAGAGTAAACGTTCAGACTAAATCGACACTTTTTCCGAGAGGGCAAAGTGTATTTGTGGTTTTGTACATTTCTATGAGCTGAATTGTGTACTAAATCGACACTTCTTCCGAGAGGGCAAAGTGTATTTGTGGTTTTGTATATTTTTGTGAGCTGAATTGCGTAACCTGTAAACAAGAATTCGGCTTATTTTTATAGTCATAGTCTCTCATATACACCATAACCCTAACACTACTCACTTTCATGATTTCTAAACTAATAATAGGGACAACAACATTACAACACATCATCGTCGTCGTCATCGTTTTCCTTATAACATCTTTTGACCACTTCACACCACCTGCATTGATTGTCACCTTATCACCCTGCATTGACTGTCAACATTTTAAGCTACCTTTAAGCCAATCCATACCTTGAAGGTTTTTGACGTACATAATTGGTTTCTTATAGCCCTTATTTGTTTTGAACATATCTGATGTCGCACAATAAAGAAGCAGACCAAACTTTCCCTACCAAATTTCGTTTCAGTTTATGCAACTAGTTGAATACTTGAACAACATGATGGGACCAATGCTCAACAAGACTCCTAATTAAGGGGAATCCACTTGGCTTAAAAAGACGGCCATCTCTTGTAATTGGTAAATCAGTAGGACAAACCAAAATGGGATGCGGTACCGTAAGCATAAACATTCCCGAGGTCGTGGAAAAAGATTTCACTACTTCTGGTAGGTATCAGATTAAACTCACAATTCAGAGTCTTTTGAAAGCGATTCACCATCCTCTGTAAGATATTTGGACGTGACTCTACAACCTCGATCTTGGTCCAAGAATCATTCCTTCCATAATCTTACATTATCCACAAACTCGCACTTGCAGACTTGGTAGAGTGCATATACATCACGCACAGAGAGTCTTCAAACACCCCCATGTCCCATATTGATTGCACACTCTCATCAATATCATTGGGAGGCATTGCGAAAATTCGGGTTTCTCGGTGTTGAGATCCATATCCACGATACAATGGCAACCATATTGAACATCAATCGCCTTCCAATGGAGCGCATTATTAATTAGTTTCCCATGAGTCCTAGACATTCAAGGTGTTTGAGCATGTGTTCCAACAATGTATGGGATTTGTAATGAAGATGCCTCCAAAAATTAGATGTGACACGTGTAAACTCCAACTTTCTGATGGATGGATGACGAGGAAAGGGAGAGGAGGAATCAAAACATACAAGAATCCTCACAACTTTATAGTCATCTCTGATATCATCGTACCCAAAACCATACTTGTTGGTGGTGTAATGTGTTGGAATCGGAGGGTGATTGCATGTGTCATCAAGAACGAGAACAGGTAACACCCACCTCTTACGAATCGCTGGATTCCACAGGACGATAGGACCAGCGTGCAAACTACTCAAACAAACCAAGCCGTTGCAACAACCATGGATTCCGTTTACGACAGAATGTCGTCCTTGGGAAAATGGGTGGACCTTGAGATGGGTGGGTCTCATCTTTTGAGGTGGAGAATCCGGGTTTACGATGAGGAAAGAGGGACTACTACCAGAACGGTCGTCATTTATCATCAGTAGAATCTGAGGGTTGTCTCGTGCTCTGATTTTGGAAGATTTCAATTGCAGGTTGACGAAATATTGGCTACCAATCAGAGCTTTCCATTGTTTTGAAACACATCTAAACCACAGCAATGACTTCGCGGGCAACCTAGCAAGTATTTCCCGCACCAAATCTTCGGGAAGTGCGACAGGATTTAAGGACATGGCGCCCGATACTATAAAAAGTACTGTACTATTAAAAGATTTTACGTAAAAACACTTAACGCAAGGGCAAAGCGAAGATGATGAGGAAGAATGAATTAGATGGAAAGATGGCATAAAACACACTTGCACTAGGGTTAAACAAATTTTCTCTTCGCCGGGGAGAAGAAAACTAATGACGTGTTTTGTACTTTATTTCTTAATAAATTTCTAAAACCTAACTAGATTCGGAAGAGTTGAACCTTAAATGTCTGAGTAATTGTAGTAATTTTTAATAACGGTCCTAATACCAATAGTATTCGTTAAAATGGAGTATATAACTGTATATAATTAGCCGTCTTTCCTTCTTCTTCTGTTTTTCCTTTTTTGGTTGTTCACTGATGAGGAAATAAAAATCGATATGCATTGGAAAATTAGGGTGTATAAAATTTGAGAACCACTATATACAATGTGTATTTTGCCCCCCGATTTCGAGTGAGTGATATTCTTAAATATATCATGATCGTTAGAGAAATTGTTTGCTTTGGAGAAATTCTGGGAACTTGTGAAGTGTTAAGGTTTGGCTAAAACTTAAAAAGCTTTCCACGGCTCATTGGCTTTGGTTGATTTAAATTATTCAATCTGATTGAGTGTTTAATGATTCCCTGTTCTTGGTTTCTACAAGAGAAGGAATCTTATTATCATCATTACATCTAAAAAGTTTCTAAATTGGTTTTGTAGTATGCAGTACTCAAACCCACAAAATTCACTACAGAATTCCTCAAAAAGAATTACGTATATAAAAAAGATTTTAAAAAAATAATAAATGACGTTATTTATTTTAAAAAAATGTGGATTATTATAATTTGAAAGATTAAGGTTTGAAGGGAAAAGAAAACAATAATGGTTTCAGAGTCTGAACCCTAAACAAACATCGATGGCTGCTCCTTTTCTTTTCTTTTTTTCTGCTCTCTTTTCTCTCTCTCTCTCTCTCTCTCTGTGTGTGTGTGTGTTAAAATGTGCACCTTGTGGCTAAATAGTCCTATATTTCTTCTTTTCTAAATGCTGACCTCCATGATCCATCTCCTTAACCTTAATCAAAGAAACGCGTGAGGACACAATCAGCTAATCACCTAATCCCGAAGGCTACTAGCTTTTAATCGCGTCATTCAGTTTGTGGTAGGGTTTACTACAAATCAATCATACTATTATTGAAGATTTATTAGTTTACTAAATATTTGGGTGAACGACATTTAATGCCAAATAACAAGGGGACCCCTCCATTTACCGTTTGGGGCATATAACCGGTGACGACCTCACGAGAATGACGGATCATTTATACAATTCTGGACTCTTATTGAGACAAACTGTATACAAATATATACAAATACTAGACAACGGCCATTTTCCTTCTCCTTGATAGTAGTACTAGTACCAGCAGCAACGTTTCTACACCAACTGCCACGGGTTTCAGTAGATAGATCTTCTTCGGAGCTGCTTCTTGTTAGACCCCGGTTCTTCTCCAGCTCCGGGGAAGTCCCATTTCGCAACATGTCCATCCCATGATGAGCTCACGAGCATTGGATAATTAGGGTGCCAGCTACAATCTCTGATAGTCGAAGTGTGGTACTGGAGTTTCGCAACTTCAGCTCCAGTCACCTAAAACAGATACAAATGCCTCACTCTCAACATAAGTTCAAGGTCTTTAGGTAATGCTAAAGGAAGAATGTCAACGACCACTTTCATGGTCAACTCAAGAAGCATTTAATTGACTATGATAACAACAGTCCTTCCGCAATAACTTTCCTTTAAATCCTAGCACTCGTGTAAAATTTGATCAGCTGGAAAGCTATTCCCAAGAATTGAATGCTATCACTCCGTTTAACAGTATCTCATCATTTACGAGTTCAAAAAATAGTAATCATGCAGTCAATTTCATAGCCATGACGTCTGTACTACCATTCCGCAAAGGTTAAAGGAATTGAACAGAGTAATTTGCCGGAATAGCTCATACTTACCAGATCGTATACATAAACACAAGCATCATATGAACCAGTGTAAATATACTTCTGGCCAGTGCTGCAACACAGATTCAGAGACAAATGTTAGTTCTATGCCCAGCTCAATTATGGAATGATAAATAAAAAGGGAAGGCTAAATAATTAAAAAAAGAAGATATTGTTGCGATACTAGTTCATGAGGAACAACTACCTATATTCAGGGGAGAAGTAGCAGCGTATCAGAGTACGCAAAACAGAATGACCTCTGAATGTAGATACAGACTGGTCACCTGGATGCTTTAGCTCCCGTGCTTGAGATGGATATTCCATCCATCTATAGTCCCAGTCATAATTCCTGGACCCTCCAGAACTGGAAAAAACAAAAAGCAGAAAACTGAATTTCAAACCAAATTATAACTCTCAAAGGACAACATCAAAAAGTCCCCTCCTCAATACATGAAGAAAACACTACTCAAATTAATTGGAATCTGAATCAATCATTGGTGCGCAGCAATAACTTCAGACACAACTGTTACCACACCATTTTCCTGCTTCAAAATTACCATGACCAAGCAGATTGCTTTGCTGGTGCATTTGGAGTTTGGACCCGGAGAGAATCATTAAAAAACTGTGTGATGAGAAGTCTATAGATTGCAGTCATTGAAATGATATCATTTAGTCTCTTAAACGCGGGGAGGGGGGGTGAGAGGGGGGTGTGGGGTTTTGGGGTTAGTTAATGGCTCAAATAGCAGATGGAGCTAACAACACGAATAACAGTGGGAGATTATAAATAAGTATATCTGCAACCGGGCCACTTGCAGACTTGCAGTAGACTAGGCATAAGAAAACAAACCTAGGAGTATTAGAAGACATTTTCCGTATATCCCAAAGCTTGATGGTCTGATCTTTACCATTTGAAATGAGATACCGACCATCTCCACGACTATCAATAAATGTGATACCTTCTAGGTGTCCAATCAGGATGCCTGCAGGTTTACCTTTGGCTCTGAAGCAGCGTCTATCCCATACCTAAGTCAAACAGAGAGATTTAACAATAATTTTTTCAAGAGACAACCATCCCCGTCCTCATTTGAAGTTTTCAGTATGCAAATTGTTTCATATATACAGTTTTTGCTAAGAATTTATCATGATTTTTCATTGTCAAAATTGACTTTGAGTGTCGCCCGAGATCATCAAAAACCAGAAGTACAAGATTTCCTTACAGTATAAATTCAAGACTCACGAAGCTCATTTAAATCCCATTCACAATAATTATTATTATGTTTTTATTCTTTTTATAACCATTCCACAATTAAATAATGAGTACAGAAGAAAGCTCAGATGTCAAAAGAGTTAGCGAAGATTTGAATAAACTGATTAATGACACACAATCTGATGCCTTGATTGCAAACCACCCATGTACAAAAAGACTTCCAAAAGGGCAAGAGTGTGGAATTGTCTAAGCAAAATAGAAGGAAAGGAAATTATATCCTAAAACCTAAGAAAAACAATAGTAGGGGGAAGGCTTACCTTACACAGATTGTCATCACTCCCCGAAAAAATAAGATGGCTACTTTCATCAGCAAAACATACAGTATTAACATCAGACTGCATCACAAGCAAAAAGGAATTCAGCGTACTAAGTGGAAACAGAACAAATTATAAAGTGCGCACCAAGAAGCACAGCTATGAGTTATTAAGCATACTAATGTTCAACTTGCCAGATTTGATAAATTATTCCCATGAGAAAAAAAAAACATCACCAAGTAAGAAGCAGCAAAAGAATTGAACAATCCATCTAGCTTGCAGTAGCATCAGGTGCTTATAAACAAAATTGAAGGAAAAGATTACACAAATGCCCAGCAGTAGTTTGTTTGGACTTAGGATCAATTATTAATATAGTCAAATCACCTGACAAGGAAGCTTTCTATTTTCCATTTTTGCTATACATGAAGAACAATAAAACAGTTACTAAGGCAGGAGTTCCGAAGGGTACTTTTGAATTCCTTCAGTTTATGCGCATATCCACAAAGGATGACTTCTTGTTCTATTTCTGTAAAAACCAGTGGAACATATACTACTACTTTGCCTCTAAATACGCAAACTAAGGTAAAATCGGATGAACTACTCCATACGATTGCAATATAGTGCAAGAGATGACGATCACAAGTATAAACAGATGTAACTAGTGCTTCAAATGTTATGAGCAGCTCTTGTGTGTATAGATAGCATGAAGGTTGCCAATAATTCATGGCAAAGTTACCGCATGTGCCGATATTCGAAGAGTTAATTTGTTGGCTTCAAGATCATATACGTATATTGCATCATCACTGCTTCCAGCTACGATTTCTCGCCCATCTGAGGAAAATTTTACAGAAAATATTCCAAAAGAATACCCTCCATTGTCTTCATCAGAGAAATCCAAACCCTCGTGGATCTCCTGGATAATAGCCGTACAAAAGCAATCATTATAAAGAAAGAAATACGGAAACTTAACCAGGAGATAAACAATAATCTAAATGCCAATGAAAACTCGCAGAGAGCAGCCAAAGGAGCCAAGGACAATGTATGAGTGTACAAGAGGTCATGAGTAAGATATGACACATATCAATACAAATAATGATACGCTAACATAACTAAACAAATTCATACCGTCACATTTGCCAGAGAGTCTGTGGTTGCAGATCCAATATTTACAATATGTACAATAGGGGACATTGTGGCATAGACCTGCAACACAAGTGTTCACGTGAAAGAAGATCAGAGAGAACTTTCAAATGAGAAATGCAATTCTTCCTATCACAACATTCATTAACTTCAAAGCATCCTCAGGCAGGGTGACAAACAATTCGAAAAATATGACTCCATAATATTAGGAAATATAAAATCTAGAATGCGATTTGAATATAATCAAGACCAAGGCCTTATTTAACGGGTAACTATTAATGTTAGATCAGTTTCACGTTAGACAAAATTAATTCAGCTTGAATATGCACTTCCAGCGTCAATTTTCTACAGCGTGAAACTCACAAGATGTCGTTGATCTGGTGAAAGAGATGTGTCAGTAATTGTCCATCTCAAGCTTTGGGCAAGAATGTTCTTCCGGACTTTCCATCCTCTTTCAACATCATATATTCTGATGTGACTTCCCTGTTTAGAAATGCGAGTTTAGCTACTATAAGGTTCATGAAATGAAATATACTATAACGAAACTGAATAATACTATCATACTTAAAGCAGGGGAAATAACATCATTGAGAACCAGAAATTTAGTTATACTTGTAATGGGGGTAAAAAAATATCATATGAAAATCCGGAAATTCATTAAAATCCATCATTGTCCAGCTTGGCAATTCCAGCGTAGGTTAGGCCGGGTTTTGATTTTGTTTTTATGCTTATGTAAGTAACAATCTGTGGCAGCAATTTTATGCAAAGGTGCAAAGCAAAACTTGCATCACAAGATAAACAACTACCTGAAATGCAGCCACAAAAAGGGAACCATCTGCCGAAAACTGAGACACATAACCCCTGGTGGTCATTTGGTCAACAACCCAAGGACCATGGACAGGCAAGAATTTACTTAGAACATGACAGCGATCCGCTGTAGTGAACCTCCCTCTTCCCGAATAGTTTGCTTCTCGACCAGCAAGCATTTTCACACTTGACACTATAGCTTTCCGTTTCCTAGGTAGGACTCGGCTTAAATTCTCATGGGGGCTCGTTCTAAGATTTGTAAGATGTGCAATTTCATGGTCCAACAGACTCGACGGCCCTTTAACTCCACCAGCAACTTCATAATTATTGGCCAGACCATCAAGAAGTTCCGATTCAAGTTCTAATCTACTAAACCAATGCCCCATGTCGTTAACAGCAGTTGCCTCGGGTACAAAATACATTTTACACCAAAACTACCAAAACAATGGTGATGTCAGAAATATCCAATACCGCAGAACCTCCATATCATTCCCTCCCAACAAGATTTTCCCTCGCCAGGTCCAACCCTGCTAAAAAAAAAATAAAGGGAAGCCGGTTAGATATGATAGATAACCTCATTCAAGCAGATGCTTAAAACCCATGAAGGGAAACCATATCCTGGTTAGACCTGATAGATAACCTCATTCAAGCAGTTGCTTAAAACCCGTAGCTTTGGTAATTGATTTCATCCTATGTCCAATTAAAACTCAAAATTCATTTTATCACTCGCCCTCCACCCTTAACCCCCGAAACCAAGAACTATAATTAATGAACTACAAGTAAAAAAGAGTTGATCACTGAAAATCAATCAACAAGTATGAGCAAATAAAATAATAAATAAATAAAAATAAACATTTACGACTTCGGAAGCATTTCCTGAAATTTCAAGGACGACTCACCGGAGATACAACAGACAAACTCAGAGCTTCCCGTTAAGTCGTTAACTGACTGAGCTTGGCCACTTGGGTCAAAGGGTGGATAGATTATAGATGGTTCCTCAAAATTATCATCAGCAGAGCAGAAAGCATGCCCGTGCTTGTTTGGATTGCGTGGAGAAATTAGTCACCTCCGGTTTGGAAATGAGTTAAAATGCAAATAAAGTTATCTGAAAAGGGAAATGCGAAAAACACCCCCAAAGTCTTTCTTGCGTGAAAAATAACATCCTTAATTAATACTCGCATTTTGATTTGTCCTAGATTTCATATTTTTTCAATATAAAAAAAATCTTTAAAATATTTTTTAATAATTAGGATATAATGAATGTGAAAATGTATTTTTAAGAGTTTTTTAACTAAAAAAATATACATATTAAGTGAAACTTATGACAAATCAAAATATCTTATAATGAGGATCGGAGTGAGTAATTAATACTCCTCTGTCCAAATACTTATCATGAAATTTGATTATGTGTTTTATTTACAAATTTCAATAGAGGGACTTAAAGAGGAACATAGTTGCTCTTGCATTTCTTTAAATCTTAGTTAGAGAACATATTCACACTTAATTTGTCTTTAACTTAACTAGGTTCTCTCCTGCGTTGCACAAAATACATATTAAAATGTATTACTAAAATGATAACAAGTTCTGAATAAAATACCACGTACTCGATTAATAGTTGATTATGAAATAAAATCTAAAGAAAAATGGATGATACAAAGAATAAGTGAACATTAAAAAATGAGGTTAAAAAGACAGTGTGAAAATGAGGTGGTATTAAGATTATAATAATTTTTTTTTAGCTTAACTATAAGAAGAATGTTTTACTTGAATTTTTTTTGTAATTTTACTTATTAGATTTCAACATTTTTTTTTTAATAAAACAGATATTACAATGATTGAGTTTGAATATAAGAAAAACGCCTTGGTTGGATTTTCTCTTCATTTACTCGCAAAGTTTCAATTTTTTTTAAAAAAAAAAAAAATATTGGCATTAAAGTGATTCAATTTGAATGTAAAAAATATATTTCGTCTGGATTTTTTCGTAATTTTACCCATGAAGTTTTAATTTTTATTTTATCATAAACAGTGTCATTTTTTCAATATATATTATAATTGGGGAATGTGATATAGTTTTTAGTAGTTCTCTCACATTATTCTCACAAAAACTTTAGTTTTTAGTTTCTTTTTCTTCTTTAAACAAAAATTGTTGTATCTTTTTGTTTTCTTTTTCATATTAATTTTTTAACATTTATTATGATCGTTTATCACAACAATTAAATTTTTTAATCTCTTTTATCTTTATTGTTTACTATATGTGCTCTATGTTTCATATCCCTTCATCTTTTGGTCTTTACTATCGGTGTTAAATCTTCTATTCATTTTTCTTCTATTCTTTAATAGTATTAGACTTTTAATCTCCCCTTATTTCTTGTAACAACTTCTTCATCAATTTGGTGTCCTTTTTTTACTTTTAGCATCTATTACAATAGTTTTACTAAAACTATTTAAACACTGCATTTCTAATTCATCTTTTATGTTGGTTTTCTCTCTTCTCCTCTTTTGTATTTATCTTTTGTCTTGGTTTTATCTCCTTTCTCTCTTCTTTTGCCAGTTTTTTTATTTCTATTTCTTTTTTACAATTTTATTGAAAGTTCAAGTTCAATTCAAACAGAAGTAGAGATGCTCATGTTTGGCTAATTGTATAACATAAAGTGGAGTTGCAAGATCCAAAAGCAGTAGATGAAGATTGTAAAAGAAAAATTTGAAATTTCTTTTTCAAACATAGGTGTCTTCTCGATTTCAGGTAAATTTGAAGCGTCTAAAATAATTTACAATTCATGAACAATAGATTTTAATCCATGTTTTTTTCACTAAACACTTTCAAACTATGATTCTCTTTTACAAAAATATTTCGAGTCATTGAATTTATTATTGTGAATGTCAAATTAAGTTTAAGTGAGATTACTATTATACACCTCTGTTAGTTCTATTTTAATAATTTATGTTATTGTAATAAAATGGATTACGAATATAAGATAAATGAAGCATTCTTTTATTGTTTCTTTCTTCATATTTAAATATTTTATAATTGCATACTTAGAATTAACATATATAATCATACTCAAGTTGTTTTATATTACAGCACACGAGAAGCGCGTTTGATCCATCTAGTTTTTAATAAAATATTGAATTAGAGAGATGAAAATAAAATAAACTGAGTTGATTGTCACTACTGAAATTTTAGGGGAGAATATTCCAAATAATCATAGTTGAAGGGGGGATTATTTGTAGTCAATCAACAATGATAATTTTTTTTTACTCATAAATGATGTTGAGGCCCAAAGAAGAGAGATGTATTGGGGGTACTATTGGACAGTGGTTGTGGCCTTGTGGGCTCACTCCAGTCCATTTTGCGAGTGTGACGGGTGGGTCAGTGGGTGGGTGTTGACCGTTGATCATGAACCATCTTCAGTTCGGCTTCCCACCTTTTCAACGAGCTCACCTAAAAAAATAAATAAAATAATAATAACAATAATGAAATGATATTACTTGAAGAATATTAAATGGTACTCATAAAGTATTTTGATTATTTTCTCTACATCAAAATTATTGTCCAATTTGATATTTTAGTTTTGGTATAATTTGAACTAAAAATGAAAATTCAGACTTAAACAATAATCACGGGATGAAAAGAGTGCAAAAATGTCATAAAAAGATCACCACAACTATCCTGACTTTCTTCAAATACGATCTTTTAAAACATTTAGGTGTAATTATCTGAATCCCAATAATACACACTCATTGTTTCATGAACACATACATATATACGGGCTCACTTGTAAGTTGCAAGAGACAAAGAGCTACACGTGTATGGATTCAGGCCCCCAAAATCAATCTACATAACACAACAAGAGGATTTTCAAGTTACCACGATCACCATTAACATGATAATAATTAGACATTGTGTGAATACGTTTGTAACTTTTGATTCGAAAATAGTTCAAAGCATGATATCAAAGCTTCTTTTTTCAAAAAAAAAAAAAAACACACACACACACACACACACGCACAATGTTTTCTTAGGACTGAGGTGGTCTCTTGATGGTGTTGTATACGCAAACGCAAGCTCCTATAAACTTCCGGTGTTTGTAAAATGGAATTGCATGGAAACTATAGATACTGTCGGTTTGGACACATCGCGTACGTACAGTAGTTTTCTTATTCATCATATAAAATGTCTCAGAATGGTTGACCGGTGACCTCTTCTCCTCAAATTCCGTCTTCATTTATTCTTCTTTTAGACAAATCTCTGCGTCTCTGTTTGATTTGATTCATTCTAAATGCTCAGATCCTGACTTTTCTTCACGTCATCTTAATTTTTTTATCGTAAATTGTAATCAGCAGTATCTAAGTTTGAAAATTATTAGAAAAAAAAACACATACACACACACAACACGAAAGAGAGAGAAGTCAGAAGTAGAATTAAACAACGACAAGTGGTGGATCGATTCCGGAATGATTGACGTTGACTTTGTCGAATCAATTACATGATCCGGTTTCTATCGTCTTTCCTTCCTGTACCCAGAAACGTACGAATGAACGTGGCCAATTAGACAATGACTTGGAACAACTATATATACCTGGAATCTGGATAATATCATCAATTGCCATTATTATCTTCTACATTATTAATTTTACTCTGGAATTAATATACTGGATATCTCTTTGTTCGTGTAAAGTAACATAGCCTTCTTATCAAAAAAAAAGAAAATGAAGAACCCGGTGAAATTTATGCTTGTGATTGCCGTGATTTGTCTGCTGGTGACGTCCGCCGTTGCTCCTCCATCAGGCGGCGGCGGTGGATCATCATCATCTGGAGGAGGAGCTGGAGGAAGGGGCGGCGGCGGGGCATCATCAGGAGGAAAGGGTGGTGGCAGCAGTACTGGGGGAGGTAGCTCATCCACCGGAGGAAAGGGCGGAGGTGGTAGCGGCTCGACACCCAAGGGTGGCGGCACTGGATCCAACGGAGGCATCAAAGGAAGGCCCGGTGGAGGTGGCGGTGGAGATGACGGCGGCGGCGATAGCAGTAGTACTCCTGGTGGGAATATGGGTGCCGGCGGCGTTGGAACCATCCCGAGGACACCAGCTGGTACCGGACGTCCTACAAACGGCGGCAACAGCTTCAGGGGATTATATACGTCGCCGGAAAATGCATGGCCGGCCGCTTTTTCCCTCTTGGCCTTCTTCATGTTCTATTAAGTACTAGTACTTCATTCTTCATTATTCTAATACACGGTTGACGATTCATTTCTGTACATACTTTTTTACTTGTACCAAATAAAAGAAGTGATTGTAGAAGTCTTCCACATATTTTAGATTTTAGACATAGCTTGCATCATCTTAGGATCACTCTATGTAATATTTCTTCTGTCCTAAAACTCTATATTTTATATTTTACTAAATATGAATTACTTTTTGGGGTTAATTTTTATCCAAAAAAAAAAATCTTTTGAACAGTTGATGTACTAATCTATCTATAATATAGTATAGTATAGTATTATACTAAGAAAGAAACCAGAGAAAGAAACAAAAAAAGATTTCTAAGGGTGCTACATAGGATAAAATCTTATCTATCATTTTCTAATGCATGACTCAAAAAATATTTACAATAATTATGTTAATAATCCTTCTAATTTTCTGTAAATCAAGTTTTATCAATTCGCATTTAAAACATTAGTTCAAAATGAAAATATGTGAGTTAATTAAATTAAATGGATATTAATGTACCGGAATTATTCTTTTCCCAAAAGAATTCCCAAAGTTGCTATACTATACTCATTTAATCCCTACCCAAAAGAATCCCCACCAAATTGTATAAATCTTAAAAAAAGATAACATACTACAATTAAAAAAAAAAAAGAGCAATTAATCAATCAACATTAATACATTAATGTTGTTCTTTCCTGCCCATATATACAGGTCACACAAAAAATTAGCAAACATCTATAGTATCTATTCTATTTTATTGTATAGTATTATAGTAAGAGAGAAATTAAAAAGAGAAAAACAAATCTTTTCCTCCCATTGTCACGTATGATAAAATCTTACATTTCATTTTTATAATGAATGCAAAAATAATAATTTACGCAATTACACTAATGGTCCTTGGTATTTTCTAAAAATAAATTTTATCATATCTCATTTAAAATATTAGATGCAAATGGAAAGATTTGAAGAGTTAATGGATGGTCATATCTTTTCATAATCAATTGATGCAATTAAGTCAATTCCCCCAGCAAATTCGAATACAATTTGGTAAAAAAAAAAATTAAAAATCAAACAATTCAAAAAAGATAATAATGGATCAATAAATAAATATTAATGCATTATCAATTCAAAAAGATAAAATCAAACAATCAAATTAATGCACTGTAATTAAACCTAATCAATAATTTCCAAAATTACAATACGTAAACAAACCTTTCCCCACTATTTCCAAAATCAGAACAATTTAAATTTGTTATATTATTCAAATTTCAAATTTTAAAACAACAATCATATCATAAACAAATTAATCATCATTAAGCATATTCCCATTATCAAACCTTATCTATAAATTAGAATAGAAATCAGTTTCTTCCTATATTCTTTCTCTCATTATCATTAACCGGGAAAAATACTCTATACTCCTTTATTTCTTCTTTTTCTAGATGTCATGAGCTCTAATTATATGTTTTTCTACTTTGCAGGTTACGGTGGAACATACTTTCATAAAAAAGATTTACGAGAGTGGAGGTATAAACGTTGGCAACTATGTCATCTCAAAATATCTTTATTATTTTAGGAATAGGAATATTGAATACGCAAAGCTATATTTGTATCTTCTTCTAATAGAGTATTTCATATGTGCCATTTTTATACAAATCCCTAATGGATCTCCTTTCAGATGAAATATGTGTGGAAATCTATTGTATTGTTGTTATTGCCCTACATAATTTTAAAAACACTATTCTCATTAGAGCCTGGAGGTACAATACATGATTATCATTGTTGTTACCAAGTAATTAAATAAAAATTATTACTTAACGAATAACTATGCCTATTACAAGTCAAAATAATTTTCTCTAAGATTTTTCTTTTTTTGCTATTATTAACAAAATATATTTTTCGTTATCATGTTCACGGATCCGTTTAGTGACGCAAATTTGAGAACTTTGGTGCTGCAACTGAAGAGGATGTGCTTGTTGTTATTAATTTTTTTCAAATTCTATTTTTTTTGTTTGATATATATTTGCTCACCCAATTCTCTTTAAATGTCTTAGAACATACAACAAAGCTTTTATAATTTAGTGTAAATCGATATAATATATTTGAATATATTTTCTCTCAGTAACTCTGTAATTTATTTTTATTTCTTCTAAGAAACTTTGCCTGTAGTTTTGATTAACTGATCACCAACAAGATTGAAGAAAAGAAAGCACGAATTCAAACATTTGATTCATTCTCCAAACTTCTTCATGGTAAGAAATTTCTAACAACGGGCATGAATTGTCAATAATTTCTATGGATTTGGAGGACCAAAATGTATACATTAAAGTTGATGAGCCAAACGATTCCTAAGTACTACTATATATTTTGTTAGCATGTTGTAATTTTTTAAGCATATAACAAGGTGGTTACTGTCAGTAATATTAACTATTATGTATAAAGAATTAATTAATTATAAACAATTGATTGAGTTTTATATATCATCATCATATTTATTCTTATCTCATAAGGGAATAAGTGTGAGTTTTTTTTTTTTACTGATGTACGGGTAACATCTAGTAAATTTTAAGTTATATTTCCTTTTGTCGATCCCTTTATGTTTATATTGTTATCCTCCCCATCCATATTGGTTTATCATGTCACTTATCTTCTTGTCCAATTTATTGTATGACTAATGAGTATCCTAGTTGTAAGAATATGTTAATTCTATACCGTCCTAGTAGTAATCTTGAATATTAATTTTTCTTTCGAGGGATTTTTTTTTATTTCTTTGTGATGGATGGTTTTAACCTCATAATAACATATACAATTGCACTAGATAATTGCTCATCAAGTGGGGCTCATCAAACCCATCAACATATTTCGTCTCAAAAGAAGAATTTCTTCCATATTTGATTCACGATCAAATCTAGAATTTAGGCGACCGTAGAGTTGTCTGTGGTTATTTTACATATTGAAAAATTGAACTTTGCAAATCCACTAACAATAACACGGATCAAATTTTTATAAGTACGTTATCTGAGAATTTGTGTTCAATATATATAAATTAACATAAATTATAAAATTTCTATAAAAAAACGTAATTTATAAAATGAAAACAAAATGGTCAATTAAGCTGTGTTAAAGAAAATGTTCCCTTGACCTATTGTGTTTTTTTTTTTTTAAATTTTTTTTTTACATACATGGGGAAGCCGAAGCTTAGATTACAAAACAACTCTTTGAAGGTGAGTTGAGCTAGGGCAGTCAAATTCTAATTCATCTTAGGATGGTTTCAGCCTTTCAGGGGGAATTGACAAAACGTGTAACCCCGAAGTTAAATCGAAATCAAGTTTCGCAACTGAATCGGCTGGCTCATTGCCTAAGCGTTTTATATGTGAAATTTCTACGTTCCATTTGCGGTTTAGAAGCTTGCCGATTCTGATAAAAATATGGCTTGACTCGTTTGTTGGGCTTTCACCATTCAGCAGTCTAACGGCCTGTAGACTGTCCATTTCCCATTGTAGTTTTCGAAAGCCTAATTGCCAGGCTAATGACAGCCCAAGTAGAGCAGCCCAAAGTTCTGCGTCTAGTATGCTACAGTCGCCCAAATTGGCTACAAAACCTGTAAGCCACCGCCGGCCGATGCCTTTGCCGGATTCAACGCCGCAGCTCTGTCCGTGTTTAGACGAACCCATTCCCAGGGTGGAGGTTTCCTAATCGGGTTGGCCGGAATTGTGTCTGTCTTGCATGGTCTAGGGAGTATCGACCGGTTGGATCTCGTTATCTCCTCTGTTGCAGCTTGAATTCGCGAGGTTAGTTCTTTGACGCTGCTATATTTGCCTTCGAAGAATTCTTCATTTCTTTGCTTTCCATATTGTCCAGCATGCCCTGGCAAATAGCGTCGGCCAGTTGCTGTTATTGCCCTGTAGAGGAGAACGAATTAGATTAGAGATTAGCCATGAATTCCAGTCTGCGTTATTCCAAAATTCTGTAGAGAAGTTTTGATTGATGTTGTTCCATATTAGAGTAGTTTTGGGGCAGTCGCGAAACAAGTGTAGAAGAGTTTCGCTTCTGCCACAGAATCCGCAAGCGTCGTCGTCTATTGTGCTCTATTGTGTTCTATTAGAGTAGCCTGAGCCCATTGAATGGGATAAAGGGACCGAAACTAGCTCAGTATATCCAGCCCACCGATATAAAATTAATTTCCAAAGCCCAAGGTTAAAAGCCCACTGTATCTTCAACTGACCGAGAACTGGCTTCCCTTGCTTAGCAGCATCCAGTCGCAATCCGCCGGACTAACTCCAAGTATAGCTTCCGTTCAGCCATTTCTCTCTCTTCCATACACAAATCCGCCATCACCTCGCCGGAAATTTTATGGACGTTTGCACCACAAATTACCCCGCAGCTTGAAGCTAATTTAATTTTGCACCAAACTTCAGGTATGGCGATGGGGGACTCATTTTATGTATTGATTATTGAATCTTTTATCTGCTTTGAAGAAATGCTGATTAGGTATAAATAGCGTATTTAGTGTGTAAAATGGTGTTTCATGCATACTTTGGTGTGTTTTAGGATATGTTTTGTACGTCTGGTAAGTGAAGGCGGTCATTAACGAAGTGTTTGATGAAATGCCTGAGTTGCGTCAGCCCAGCTTGAATGAGTTATTACTTTATCAAAGGCTTTTGAGGTTGATGATTAGGGTTTTTTATTTGATGTGGCAGTTGTTTTATATTTTCTGCTCATAACAGGATTCTACAAAAATGCCTCTCCAGCTTTTTATTAATGATGGGATTTATCTTTGCATGATATATGACTAATTCCTACTTGAAAAATTTGCATGTTCGTATTTTGTTAAGTTGGATTTCTTGAATTTATCAATAAGGTAAAAGAATTTAGGGTAGACCTCTAGGTCTGTTGAGAGAGAAAAAGCTAAACTGTTTGCTAAAATCTGGAGAAAAGGCGGTTGTAATTTACATCCAGATTTCTCTGATGTGATTAAGTTCTTGCTATTGAATGATTTTCTGCCTACATTGGTTTGCTGGGGCTGGGTAGGCCTGAGTTTCATTAGTTTTCAGATGGTATAACTTAAATAAATCAGATGATTGATAAAGTGAGCATTTAATCTAGTTAATTAATTCGGAAACAATTTGTGATAGGAATCAAAACCAGACCTATCTTAATGCTTGGCCCAGGACAAGAGCTCGCAATTGAATTTCGCTGGAGTTTCTCTGAACTA